CTAGCTAGAGGTGAGCTGAAAGCCACCAGCCGCCTCACCTCCACTCCCACGGGAACGCCTAACTTTTCCCGGATCCTGTCAGCCTAAAAATAAAATTACCAATATTATATAATCTAAGACTAAAATCATCAATAAATATAACCCCAATATGGAGTATAACCCAACGGTAAACACACGCGTTAATATACCCACTTGAAACTTGTGTAGAATGAAATAATGTACAAATAATTATTGTAATATACGCGACATATATAAATATAATCATTGTTTACTTCTATGAGCATGTAAACAAAGAGACGAGGAGGACAGGGAGGAGGAGTGGCCCCGGGGTCAACACACTGACGCAGAACTCTAGCAGGAATGCTGTACCTCCCTCTCCTCCACCTGCTGCCCTCTCCCTTCCTGCTGCCCTCTCCCTTCCTGCTGCCCTCTCCCCCCCCTCCTTCTAGTACCCTCTCCTCCTCCTACTGCCCTCTTCTCCTCCTTTCCTCCTCGCTTCCTGTCCCTACTGTTATTAAATAGATTAGAAATGAAAAGCTTAATGTTTATCCATGCACTTCTGTCTTGTCTTTACCAGAGGATGGAAAGCACCGAATGTCCCGCGGTACATGACAGACAGAGAGTATGAATGAGTGAAAGATATTCCTGTTTGTCTGTTACGTTCATAATAAATGTCTTTTTTTAGATAATACAACTTGAAGAGACACGAATCCTCGAAGTATACAAACTATAAAAATTGCGGAGAATAAAGAACACTGAATTATAATTGAATCACCGAAGAAATAAATTTTTCCCCAACAACCATCATCTTCCACGATCGAAGCAGAGGCAGGTAAAACAGTCTAGGTAGTAATCATGTAATAAATTTTAAGACTACACAAAAAATAAACCACTATCACATGTTCAATTTGTAAATAATTGTATTAACAGTAAACAGACAGTCCTCAGAGAAGGTAAACAGGACAATGACAATCACAATCACCCGAGTAAACTACTAAACTGTCAGATCATATAAGTAATATATCTGGTGACATCGAGCAACTACACAGACGCATTTTTTTTTAGTGTTGATGTTTAATGCATGATCGTGTCTCTTGTACGCCTTGAATGACCTTGATTGTTAAAGTGTAGTAATACATCACAACATCAATGTCAATAATAAGAAAGAACTTGTTTAACGTGACTAAACAAAATTGGAAATGTTTTCACTCTCCTTTAGTCGGATGTTCAGGTGGACGGTGCTACCACTATGATCGGTTAGGTCAAGTTTCATTGCTTGAGTAAAATAATAAATTATGTACGTGACAATTGATTACATACACTGATTATCTTCCTCTGTATCAACAACAAATGCTGTTCAAAATGTTCAGTTTCTTCAAGCATTAAATTGGGATTTCGCTGCAGGGCCAGAAGATGTGACCACTACTGTCAGGCCGTTAACTTAGTGAGGGTAATAGTGCAATGCTTAAACGGAGAGACGAGATGTTAGCGTTCATGAACCAAGATGGAAAACCAAAGCCAGAACAGAAGTGATCAGCGGCTCCGTGATATTCCATTATTACTGGACATTACAGGTCAATGGAACCAACTCAACGTAACCTTACAAGTTTTGTCAGTTGCCAAATCAAGTGTACAGTCTTGTAAAGTTTCCTCCAGCTAAAATTCGTTTGTGGTAAAATTAAGTTTAGAAAAGGCGACACCTGTCACTTTCCCGCCCTGGCCGACCATGTAAGAGCTGTCTCACGGTGTCTTACGTGCAACAATTGTTATCGTTGAATATATCTATTTTTTGAAGATCGCTGACTTTTGTAACCAGGAAACCAGTGAGCGGGTTTAAGCATCACCATTAATGTCGGTGAATGTTCCAGAAATCTTGCAAATGGAGTTTATTGACCTACACGAAAATGTTTGAATTCGTGTTTAAATGCAGGAACTTTAAAACAAGTGACATTACTGTACAAGCAAGACTTGCCACAGCCGTTTACCGAGATGGCTGCTTCACTTATAGGGAACACTTATTCTGTTTACAGTTTTTATCTCCATCAAGAGCCAAGGTTTAAAAAAAATAAAAAAAATAACAAATATTCCACCCAACATAAAGAAACTCGTCACATGAAAGCAACAACAGAAATCACATTTTACTTACAATATATCACTTTAAAATGACTGTTAGTGTTATGAGTGTTTTATTATAATATATCTTGCTCTACTCTAGTCAGTATCAACACCTATGATGTTTTCTTTCGTTATAAATAATTCACATATGTACAGTAACAAAAATATGAATGTTTCATTTATTTATCTCCGTGTGTTGTGAGTAAAGAACCAACACATCATAAGTCTACACAATATCCAAGTTTAAAAATAACTTACGGTCCCCTTATTTACTAAGTCGGGTAAGCACCCTGCCCTGCGGTGCTCCGCTCTTGTAGGAAATATTCTCCTATGTGCTGCAGGTCGACTTTCAGTTTGTCTTTCCCTGTCTTCCTAAAAGCTGTGTAGCATTTTATCGTAGTGTGTAGTATTTTATAAACTTTTAATCTGGTGCCAAAATACCGCCTGATGATTTTGTATTGGGAGTTTTCTTGTATAAATTTACCCCATTTGAGGACACTTGTTATTCTTGGGATCTTACGAGTAATTCTTCCCTTGTGGTCCAGTGCGTGTTTATATACCAGTCCTCACTACCTCCCCCAGTCACTATTCCCTCCATCCATTCACCTAATCCACGTGACCTCTTACGAAATATGACGTCACGGAGAATTATAACGTAAATAAGCCTGTAGAACACAACTACACAATTAATTCACTACGTACTCTCAAAGCCACTTTCTATGACGTTGCAAACTATGACGTCAACAGATCCTATCTTTGACTAGCTACCAATATTAAGCCACTGACGTCATTGCCCACTATGACGTCAATACCCACCATGACGTTATAACTTTCTCCCAGATGGTGGAGGAAGTGGTACCAGGCGGCGAGGCTGGCGACACACTACTCGCTAACAAACTCACTGCTTTTCCCCGTAACGGAACTCTCACCTCACACCGGGAATCGATTATCAAGGCTGTGTAAGTGAACGTCCGTGAATGGTTAGTTAGGAATGTTTTTGACTCATGCTTAAAGAAGGTTGGGTGTGAAATTCCTTGATTATTTTTCAAGGAAGTGGACAGAGGTTGTGGAAGTGTGAGTTCATTCATTGCTTTCACTTGATATATTGTGAGTACTAAGTTGGTGACGTCTTCTCTGGGGAGGGGGAGGTGCCCGGGGAGGGCGGGGTAGAAGAAGGGGAGGGGTTCAAGGCGGAATTGGGAAAGGGGAGAAGTAGGAGTAAGGGGAAGAAAGGGGTGGAGAGGGAGGGAGGGTGAGGGGTGGTGGTGACGGCTGGGAAGGACTGCGCTGTAAAGTAACGGGCCGGTCAACATCTCAGGGTCGCCAATATTATAATTACGTAAATAGCCGGAAACAAAGTATTGTTGACCATTATCGTCCAGTGTGTGTGTGTGTGTATGTGTGTGTGTCCTAGCATTTATGTGTATGAACAACAACATTAATAATAATAATAATAATAATAATAATAATAATAATAATAATAATAATAATAATAATAATAATAATAATATAACAATAATAACAACAATATTACAGTACAGGTAATAAGAAAAACAATAATAAAAATAATAACAGTAACAACAATAATAATAGATAAACTGCTCCAGTCCTTCCTCACTCACGGTATTAAGTACAGTACATTTACACACGGGGCTTGACCGTGCACCATACCCTTACTGTAACAATTATTTCCGTCGTTTGGACTCACATAAACAACACGCCAGATTGCTTTCATTAATTATAACTGACCTTTAAACATTTCACTCCTGTTGTAATAGAAGTTTGTGTGTGTGTGTGTGTGTGGGTGGGTGTAATAGGCCCAGTGCTGCCATGTTGTGTGGGCGGTGGTCGGCTGAGAACGGTACGGTATACTGTAGTAAGGAAAACAGCCTATAGGAGTGTCCTCAACAAGCATAGAGTACCATACTAGTAAGTATTGACGTAAATCACTATTCTACATCATAAACACCCAAATGTGAACACCACACGGTCAATAATAATACAGTATTTATCTATACAAGACATATTTTCCCCTTTTTAATAAGATGCTGTTATATACTGTACAGTACTTAGGACTGTATAGCAAGACGCTGTCGCAATCTACTTAATGCATAGCAAGTCATTACTGTACTGCATTTTATTCACTGTATAGCAAGACGCTTTAGTACTTTCTTCACTACATTTTGCAACACATCTAACCTCCCAGACAATCAACCACAGACACATATACATCAATTTATACAGCCTGATAAGACACTGCGGTACATATATAAATCTCTGTTAAAAACCTTTCAGCAAACAGGTATGACTTTACTTATCATGGGAGACATGGCTGTAAAGAGGACATTATGTTCCCGGGTGGACGTGAGGTGTGGCTGAGTGTAGGTCATCATATCCTGTGGTGGAGGTAACGCTGGCAAGGGGAGGCAGTGCGAGGGCGTGATTAAGTAAAGGTTGGTGGTGGTGACCGCTGAGGTGACGGTGTGTGTATGTTGACGTGACACACTAACATGTAAACATGATAACGGCCTTTTCATTTTCACAAGTTTGTCTCCTACATATGGTGAGTAGTAAGATCTGACGCAGATAGAAGCTTGCGACGTTTATTAACAGCACTGTAAAGCTTCATGCAAAAATAATGATAATAATTTCTATGAATTTTGATGACAGCAACAGGATTTGGGTGAAATAACAAAAGATAAACTGGTTCCATGTAAGTATTAAACTGCCAACAGCATTAAAGTATATTATTACCACCATACTGAAATCACTAAGCTATATTTAAACTCGTAATTGTGCTTATACCTGCACTGCTGTTCCTAAACAAATAATAAATAGACATTCAAATCGCGCGGGCAGAGGAGTGAGCGAGGGAGGACTGTGATTGGTCAGTCCCACACAGCTGAGTTGATCGGTGTAAACAAATGTGACACACAACACAGCTGGGCCGACGTGGACACTTCACTCAAGGGTATGTCATATATCTTATAGTCATGTATTTCTCAACTCCAACAACCTAAGGCCTTTAAGTATTCACTGCAAGTTAGTTCATACACCTAACAATAAGTCTGAGAAATAAGAGAGTAACACATAATATATATCTTGCCTTAATCCTACCATATAGTGTAGCAGGCTGGCTTTCTCCTTATAGTTAGAGGTAATAAAACCGCTATGGGTTTATGTATTTTTTAAAGATACTTTTATAATTTTATCATTTTAAAGGCCAGAGGTTCCTGGTTATCAGTACTACATTGTATAAAGGATCCTTTATAGCTGATGTGAATAAAGTACAGTGTTCCTGTTTTGGCAGTCCTGTGATTTGCTTCCAATGCAGACCGAGACTCTGTAATAATGATCAGTTTTTCTTTTTTTGGTCTTTGATTACATTCTTTTTTGTATTCCCTTTGACAATCACCAGTTGAATACTTTAGTAAGTTTGTCTACAGCAGGTCGCCTGGCAGTGGGTCGCCTGGCAGTGGGTCGTCTGTGACAATGACACCAACTAAGCAACCAATTGACTTCCTTATATACCTCATTCTGTTTGGATCAACGATATTTGTCAATAAGGTAAGTCATATTAAACATCCTCAAAGTTTGTAAGATCAACACTTTTTTTCTTTTGTTTCATTCCATTTGTTCTCTGAGATGGTCACTAACTGATCTTGGTGCAGAAACTCATGCTGCAGGAGGCTTCCACTCTCTGGTGGTATCACAAGGCTCGTCAGTCTGCAGGCATTTCTTTTAAATTATGATCTGAACAAGTAACTAACAAAGTCTACGTTTCCATAACTATAATTAAGGCAAGTAAACCAACACAGGCAGACCGTGATTCAATAATAGCTCAGGCATCTGTAGCCTTTGAAAGGAATGTCCCTTTGGTAAATACCTGGATGGAAAGGTAGTATGTGACAGCTCCTTAAAATACCCTCTGGTGAAGCTGGTCCATAGCATTAGATTATTTGCTGCCACCACTTATCTCTTCCATAAACCATTACAGTACTGGGCTGTAAATCTAGGGTGAATCCATGAAAGATCATATTAGTGGGCAAATGGATCTCAGAACTAACCCCCCCCTCCCCCCTCAGGCTTTATTGAGAAGTTCAGCTGGACTGAGGTCTGGTGCAGGAAATGCACAATGGTCAACTAAGAACAAGGAGAAGTGTGTCTGCAAGTTGCTGTACCACCAATACAGTACTTGATTAGCTATTAACTTTCAGTTGTAAGCCTCCACCTCCCAGCACCTTCTCCAGTAGCTAGGGCTATGATGGGAGAATTGTACTAATGTAATTGTTTAAGTTAGTGTTAGCTTTCTGTCTCAAGAGTTAGCTTGGGTTGCAATCCTTAGACTTGATGGGTATAATCATGAGTTTTCTTGGCTCAAATCAGCTATGAGAATTTTCAGCTTCAATCCTTGATTTTTATCTCAAGAACAATTACATACATTTTTCCATTGTTTGCAGTATGTGCTCTCTGTGCTGAACTTCACCTACCCCACTATCTACCAAGGCTGGCAGACCCTGGTCGGGGGTATCCTCCTGCGAGTTCTTCTCTCAAATAAATGCCTCTCTGTATCTGCTACAGACTTGGATAAACCCGGATTTATATCACTTTTGCCATCATTTCTCTTCTTCTCAGCTGGCATTGTCGCAAATTCCAAAGCTCTTGCTAACTTGGTAAGTCCTGTATTCTCTTAATACAGGGGTATTGATATGATTTAAAAAATTAAATAAAAAAATCGGTGACTCCTGGCATGAGAGATTTTGTGGCAGATGTCTGACACCGAGGAAAATATTCCTTACCCAGGTGAGCACCTCACTGGATGTCCATTGTGTAATTTGAGATTGATCACTAGTACAGTACAGCTATATTTTGTTACATACAGTACTGTTAGTTACATATTCCTAAAGTTGGGGATCAAATGCTTTGTCCAGGAATAAAGTATTGCTTTCTGAGTATGGAGTAAATTAAGTCTCTCTCATTTGAAGCTTGTCCAAGAGTGGATTTGCTTGCAGTTTTGATTATTTACTAAGATCTGGTATTCATTTTACCTATTCCACAATGGGAATCTGTGGGGATGGTATGAATTGTCCATGAACTAGGATTTGTAGGAATAGATTATCACCCTTCATTCTTGTATGTTTCAGGTGATTATGAACCCAAGGTCTATTATCATGGTCTTGTTTCTCCAAAGTAAAACATGATCTTACATGTTCAATCTTCTCTTTGTAGTTTATAAACGTTTCAGTGCTAATGAACTGTAAAAAAGCATTGATATATACTCTTTTCAACACCTTTTAATATTTCAGAGTGTACCTGTGTTTCTATGTTTACAAAATACACTGGGAGCGATGCTGTACCTGATGGAAATTGCTCCAAGCTTCAGGGGTGGTTCTGGACCCTTCCCTCTCCTAGCCAGCCTCGTCACCATTGGGACGGCTATAACTGCTGTCCTCGCTGATATTGATATGACGGTAGACGTCTCCAAAGCGCAGTGTTTTCCTTATTGTTTAAGAGTAACACTGTGCTGTTTTTAATATAATCTTGTCACCTGAAACTACTATTTTACCGTTACATATAATAAAACTATCACCTGTAGATATTTTCAATTTCAGACTTTTTTTTTCAATATATACTTTACAGTTTTCAGATTCACCATACTTTTGGATGCTGGTGTATCTAGCATGTGTTGCGGTACAGACCCTTCACTCCAAGATTGCTGATGCTCGCTATACTGACGTTGACCGACTTTACTTCTCATATGTGTTTAGGTAAGAGCTTGTACAGTAATCCCTCTCAATAACAGAAAGGATACAATAAACCCTCTCAATAACAGACAAGTAATGGATACAGTAAACCCTCTCAATAACAGACGACTCATTAACAGAATCCTCCCAATATCATACAGGGCTTGCAAGAATTAGTCCAGTATTGGGAGGGTTTACTGTACTGTGCTGTGCTCTAAATACAATATGTACAGTACATTATGTATATAAAAGATCTCATTATTCCTGCCACCTGTTAGTATAAGGCTTCAAAGACTAAAAATATCTTTATGACCTCATGAATCCAAGACTAAAAATATCTTTATGACCTCATGAATCCTCTCTGTTAAATCTTGTTTTATTAGTGCAAGAGTGGAAACTGTTTTACTTATATATTAGTTATACAAAAATATATAATTCTACAAGTGTTTCTGTTGCATTAGTTTTAAAACACAAGGAGGCGGGAGAATGATTAATGTTCAGCGAGAGTGAATGTATCGTCTCGTCCGCAGTGTTGTGGTGTTGGCTCCAGCGTCATTATACTTGGAAGAGGCGTTTGAAGTGCTCCATTTTCCTCACGCTATGCGGTATGACTTTTATGCTGGCTGCCTCCTCTCAGGGGTGTTAGGCTTGTTCCTTAACCTCTCATTTATGAAGGTAAGCAGCACTCTACTCTTATCTTATTATTACTGTACAGGTATTAACACTCTCAGGATTGGCTCCATCCATTAGTGTTCCTAGATACTGTATTGACTTATGTGCTATACCCAGACCACAAGGAGTGTGGCTGCCACCTAAGCCCCAAGTCTGTGAGAATGTTAAGTGATGACTATTGCCCAGACAGTACAAAGCCATAGAGTATAATATGAAGGATGTAAAAAATTATATTGACTTCAAGTGATCAGAGAAGGAAAAGGACATGAACACTGCTGATGATGATAAATTGTCATTAGAGGAACACATATCACGAGAGAGCAAATGAGATGAACTGCTTGACAGACCTGATCCAGTAAATCTTCCTGCTACACTGGGCTAGAGATCAGCAGTGACACAAAACAGTGCACAGAATACAGTATAAAGCATGGATACACCAACCCCCAGTTGTGAAGGATGATTATAGTGTATAAGCATAGCATTGATTTTGTTGTACTGCATGTGAAACAAAAGAAATTATAAGGGTAGTGTCTCACCTTTAATAAGAATTTCATTCTGGTTGATCCATGGAGTTTTAAGATGGCACTGTGAATTAATTTGGCTTCTTCAAGCATGTGGCCACAGTGACACATACAAAACTTGATAGAAAGCTTGATCCTCTAAAGCTTCATTAATAGCTGGCACAGTATAGGTAGCAGTCACAATATTTGGGTATTGTTCTTCTTCTGTAGGATGTTGAGTGTCGTTGCCACTGATGTCAAAGAACAGTGCAGTACTTTGCAACACTGCAGGATTCTATCTGTAAAAGAACACATTTTTAATTGAAGTTTATACATGCAACTTAATAATTATCCTGTCCCTATTACCATGAAGGAGAACCAACTCAGAAATAGATGTAAACAATATTTTTACAGCTGCAAACTATGGCTCAACCCCACACACATGATTGTAGTTCCATCATAATATATAATAACACTTTATAATGAGCCTTTCCATTTAACAAAATTACAGAGAAAACAATAAGGAATGAACGTTGCAGACGAATTATTTCATTACCCAAACACAAAATACTCGTACATAGTCACTCTGTAGTAAGTACTGCAAGTAAAACAAGAGAAAACCAGTGAAGTTATGAATCATTTGCACCATCAAATTCACCGTCAATCTCCACCACCACCACCAGGAGCTCCAACAACTAGGTATTTGCACCACCAACCATCTACACCACTAACTCCAATAATAACCTCTGCAATGACAAATTATAGGCGTTTTTAATGGTGTTCCCATTGTTGGTAAGCTCTAAGGTGGCTGAAGATGCCAGTATGGGATCACAGGGTCATGGTCAGAGGTTGCATGTGTGGAGGGTACAAATAGTTTGGGAGAGGCAACAACGGGGTCTTTCCAACGCTGGTGCTCGTTAACCTTGGTGCATAATTAACAATCAAACACAAGAATTTTTGTTCCCTCTCGTTTACTACTTCTCTAAACACTGTGGTTAGGGGTGATGGTCTTCTATAACAATCCGTGAGACACTTGGCAAGATGAACATAGCTGAAGTAACCCTGGCTAATGAGTGATGACTATACATGTGTTCACGCTACAGTACAGTATACTGTACTGCTTTTCATTCTTGTGTCAGAAATTTTGCTGTATTTTATCCTTTTTTTAACCGACACATTTATTACATTAATTAAGACTCTCCATTAGTGCTTCATGACACGAAATCTATCCTGTATACAGCTACTCCGACTTACGACCTACTCAACTTACGACCACCCGGACATACGACCGCCCCAGTCGTACCAAAAAATTTTCAAATTACGTATTTTCGAGTCCCGACGTTAGCAATTGCGCTGTGTACTGACAAAATTTTCGTTTGTAATTCCATTTAAAATGGCTGGCAAGCTTAAAAGTGAGAGTTTTGTGGTGCTGAGAAGAAAAAGAGACACCCATTTTAGACTTTCTATGTATTATCTTCGCATTTTCGACTTACGACCTGGATTTGGGTCCTTGACCCCGTCGTAAGTCGACGAGTGGCTGTATAGACCATTGAATTTAATTAAAACCAGTATAGTATATCAGAAGAGCCATTTTTAGGAATATTTAAAGGATATATCAGCACTGAATTTTAAAAGAGCTTCTTACTAGATGGCTTTTAGTGTATGATTCTCACACGTTGATTGTCTTTGCAGGTTCGGAGGCATAATTTCTTTTCAATAGTGGACGCATCAGGAAGATTGCTCACCTCTCTCCTAGCACTTGCCACGTTTGCTGATGTAACAACAGTCACGGTTAAGATTTTAGTGTGCGTAAACCTTGTGTCTGCTGTTTTTGTGCCTCTTCCAACCATGAAAGATGCAGAAGGGTTGGACGAGGCAACCGAGCCACTTAAAGAAGGAGTGTAAGATGGAAGTTTCACTTGATCAAGAGAGCAAAGATGGAAGTTTCACTTGATCAAGAGAGCAAAGATGGAAGTTTCACTTGATCAAGAGAGCGAAGATGGAAGTTTCACTTGATCAAGAGAGCGAAGATGGAAGTTTCACTTGATCAAGAGAGCGAAAATGGAAGTTTCAATTGATCAAACAGTGTAAGATGAAAGTATCAATTTATCAGTAAATACTGTGTTGAAGTTCTAAGCTAATATAAATATGGCAGCATACTTGTACTGTACTGTTTATGGAAATTAAATTGATATTAATTTTAAATACTGTATACAGTATTAATCAATGTTGAACTTTACTGTAAACCTTTAATGGTGTATATTAATGAATATTGTGATGTTTTGGTTTTTTCTATTTGTGATGTGGATGATAAGTATGTGTAAGGCATAACACCTAATGCTTTAATAAATCACCTCATTTTGTTTATCATTCACCTTATCATCATCAAGATGTGGTGTAAGCAGTAGGTCTTCCTTCAGAAGGTATAGAGTGTATACTGTACCTGTATGTTAGATGATCAGTGGGAACATAGATAGTACTATAGGTTAGGGTTGTAATTAACTATTATTTTAGTTAGGTAGTATATAGCATTTTTAACTTGTAAATTATAAATAAGTAAGACTACAGTAGCTGGTTATTTTACTGCTCTCATGTGTAAATTTGATCCAATTATTACATGCTCTAATAAAAAAGAAAAATTTACTTGAACTCTTTATCCTGTTCAGATGATAAATGTTTAGCAAGTATGGTAGTGTAGTGTTAAAGCTTGCTTGATGTACTGTACTGGGTAAAGGGATTCTGTTTAGCCTCCTACCCAATCCAGTTATTTACAAATCGCATTCCATTATAAAGTAGGTTTGAGATAATGTACTTGAGTCACCCATAAACACAATCATATATGGTACATATGAGTGATCAAACTTGAGGATAATGTGCACACAGACTCAGAGAGTTAAGATAGTATACAAGAACCCTGATCCTGATAGAGTACATCCCAGAGAGTTAAGAAAGTTGTGTGATAAACTCACAAAACCCCTAAAATCCTGTTCTGCAAGTACATGGACAATTACAGGCAGGTGAGTTTGGCCACAGAGACCCTACATCAAGACCTACAGGCTGATTACTGACTCTGCAGTGTGCCTCTTCGGGCAGTGGATAGTTCACCATCCCTGGACTGAAGTACTTAGCATGGATGACGTGGAAACCAAATGGATAAATTATACCAACACCACCACGGAAGCTCACCACCACTTCTTCCCCGAGAAGTCCGTCAGATCTCACCCAGCTGACTTGCCCTGGATCACACCGCGGATCAAAAGACTTATGCAACAGAGAGACAGAGCCTTTCATCTCAATGACCACATCCGCTACAGGTCCCTTCGCAACCGAGTCATCCGCGAAATACGCACTGCAAAGAAGTCCCACTACCCAACCAAATTACAACACCTGAAGCAGACCAACATCAGTCAATGGTATGGTAAGCTTAAAGAACTCTGTGGACTAAACAATAAGACACACCCCCTCCCCTTCCTTAGCCATCTCACTAATGTTGACGAAGCTGAGCAAACAAATAACCATTTCGCTACTATATGCCAGACGCTCCCCCGGCTTGACACAACCACTCTCCCTGCTTACCTACCAGCCCCCCTTCCCACTGACTTAGTAGAAGAATTTGAAGTAGCAAAACGCCTGGACAAACTAAAATTAAAACGCTCTACCACCCCCATTGACTTACCAATGAAACTCTTCAAGGAGTTCTCCCCGGAGCTTGCTAAACCCCTATGCTCCATCATCAATGCTTCTCTCAGTCAAGCCAGATGCCCAGCTGACTGGAAGACCTCTTATGTGTCACCAGTGCCCAAGTCAACCAGCCCACAATCCTTAAATCAGCTACGACCTATTGCAATCACCCCAATACCCAGCCTAATCTGTGAAAGTTTTGTGTCTGATCAGCTATGCTTGATATTGCAGGAGCTTTAGACCCTCAGCAGTTCTTAAGTAACATGAAAAACTTCCTCCACCACCACTGTCTTGTCAGCTTCATTACATATACCGCCATCTCGAGAAACGAAAACGTTCGTAGCTGTCGCCTTCATTGATTTCACTAAAGCGTCTGACCTAGTCGACCACAATATAATCATCAACAAAGTTATTGACTCCAGCTTCTGGAGAAGTCTTATACCATGCTTTACAGACTTCTGTGACCGACGCTGCTTTCGTACGTCCTGAGGGGCTAGTTCCACTTTCAGTCACTCACCTGTGGCGTCCCCCAAGGCACCAAGAGGATAGACCACTCTGCTTCCTTATGCTCATCAATGATGCCCTCCTAAGAGAAACCCCTGCTCGTTGGAAATATGTCGACGACTCCACCATTGGGATCAGCGTCAACAATTCTGCTCCCGACTATACCGCCCTTCAGGATTTATTGAACAGTCTCCAAAACTGGGCCACCAACAACCATGTCACCATCAACCATACTAAGACCATGGTTATGCACATCAACCTCTCCTCCGACATTGTCCCACCTCCTTCCATTACCCTAGGTCCGAACACACTCCAGGTTGTAGATTCCACGAAGCTCCTCGGCGTCACCATAGACAACAAACTAAATTGGAAACCACACGTCAGTGAAGTTGTCAAATCCTCCAGTTTCCGTCTCCACCTCCTCCGCCGACTCAAGTCCCTCGGAGTTCCTGCACACGAGCTCCTCAGTGTTTACACAACATTCATACTTCCCAAGCTCACCTATGCCTCCCCCACCTGGTCTTCCTCCCTAAATGCCACACAACGTAAACGCCTAGAAAAAGTGCAAAAGAGGGCATGCAAGATTATTCTCTCTCCTTCCTACTCCACATATCAAGAAGCACTCAACACACTGACCCTTTCGACTCTCACTGACCATCACCACGACCTCATCTGCAAATTTGGTAAGAAGCTTCTTCACCATCCCCGACACCGGCTCCTACTACCACCTGAGATCCCTTGTCCGAGAATTGCTGTTCGACACCACAACCGCATCCAGCCCATACGTGCACGAACTGATCGCTATAAGAACAGCCCAGTCCCAACCATTGTAAAGATTATCAATAACTTGTAATAAATCAGTGTATTCACTCCCAGTAAACACTGCTCCTTACACTGTCACTATGTTGAAATGAACTGTAGTTTGAGCTTTTCCCCATCTAGTTATTATATGTCTTATTTGTGTCACTTATGTTACTTGTATATTATTTGTAATTCGTAACCCATTCCCCAAATATGTAACTGTATATTTTCAGCCTTCTGGCTGCCAAGCTCTTTCAATAAACCGTTAATTATTATTATTATTATTATTACACTAGTCACTCTCAATTAAAATTAAACATACAGTATAGTATTATAGTGAACCTTGTTACTAAGTTCCTTAAAGGGAAAATTAGTGTCCCAAAAACAAGGCAGAGTCAAACTACTGTACTGTATTATTTGGCTAATAATAACGACAGAATTTGTAAACCAAACAACTTGTTACTCTGTATTTCAAGAAGAAAGAGTAACTATTCCTTTCATTATTTCCGATAATTACTTAAATATTGAATGAATTATCTCTTTAGGACACTAAGACCACAGTCCCAGATCATTATTGTCATCATGAAATACCTTCAGTATAATGGAGTTAGCTAACACTTCCTCTTGGGTACAGTAACCAAACATAACTCACCTCAGTACTATGAACTCAAGTTACTCCGTTGAACAGTACAGCAGACACTCCAGGACAACACAATGCGTGCACCCGTCATGTAATTAACAATCCTGTGGGATAAGACACGTGTTCTCTATCCGGGGGTTAAAAGGTGACTATTTTGGGATGAAGTTATGAACTGTATTAGTGACTCAGGGTTCAAACCACGTGAGCCAACTCGGTGAACCTAATTCCTCACTGATTCAAATATAATTTAATGAACCCTGAATCAACTGAGTAAGAAGATTACAACTATGAAGTATTACCTAACAGCTGGTCGGTTGGGTGGTGTTATAACCATTAAAGGCTGGACCCTGTACTAGTGAGCAGTGCCCTTTTATACGACAGGACAACTTCACTGTGTCAAGGTTCAGGGGTTGTCGACCAACCCACGTCCGTCTCTTCGATGATGAACCTGAGTGACAAGTGTCTCAGACTCGTCCAACATCTCCCAACATTGGTCTCCAACCATTTAGCACAAGTGGATCACAAGTGTTAGTAAATCACTTTGGTCTCCAATAATATTTTCTTCGTCAGTGCCACATTGTGCTAATATGAACTTGGTGCTTATCTGGCTGTGTTGAGTACATTGAAAGTGTTGTAATGTGAGAGGCCAGGGTGATGAGACATGCTGATGAAGTACAGAAAATAATGCCTTATTAAATTACTCGTTATATAATGATTATTTATATTAAGTGAAGAAATTATTTTCGTACTAATGTGACATAATTTTGCTTTCCACTGCTCCGGATGAGAAGTGAAAATTAATATGTTGGGCGACATGTAAACTTGATTAGTTTCAGCTTTATCCTCTTCACCAAAGGGTTTCTTCTGGTGCTCAGGTTTCTTCCTGCATCAAACACTAGACTCGTGGTTGATGGCCTCCACTGGGACTTTTAATGAGACCAGATAGTTATCCGCCGTAAATATTGCAACGTATCCATGCTTCCTCTTCGCCCTCCTCACTGAATTTCTTAATCTTCTTTTAAGGAAATTCCTTAACCTCTTGTGCATGGGGTTCCCTCTGAGCTGAATAAAATTGTCTGGCATTAGTCAAATATAATATTAAAATAGGCGACCCCGTAGTGAAGGGGTTAAACCAAGGAGCTAATACATGGAGGAGGCATGACGCAGGACTCGTGAAGCCAGTAACAGTTCAGGGGTGTCAAACATGCGGCCCGCGGCCCATTTACTGCTCCAGCCTTACCTTCAGGAGCTAAATTAAATAGTGAGTGTATCCCTCAGCTGAATAAAATAGTCCGCTGTTTCCTAGAACAATATACTCAATCACCATCACCAATGAGCTCCAGTGTGATTCTGTGTTGAGGAACAAGTTTTCGAGTGTTGATGTTGGCACATTTTATCAATATTTTGGACCAAATTATCCCAGGATTAAATGTTTTGCCTCAAAGATTATGTTAATAAGTACATATGTCTGTGAACAACTCTTTTCTGTGATGAACTTGAACAAGTCTCGACTTTGGTCTCAACTTACTGATGCGCTCCTTAATTCAATACTGAAGGTTGCTACAGCTCAGTCGTTAGTGCCAAACTTTGATGCACTGGTCCATACCAAGAGGTGCCAAGTATCAGGAAGCAGCAGTAGCAAACAATAAGATTGATCAAGGGAAGTAAACACCTGATTTGTTTGTTTTTAAGGGTTTCCCACGAGGGCAGGCTAAATCCACCTTCGTTATGTTGTCGTACTACTCACTAAGAGGTGATGGCGAAGTGCTCATAATTATGTTACTTGGCCCGCATACTGTGTACTCATATTAAATCTGGCCCGCCTTGGCAAATGAGTTTGACACCCCTGCTTGAGTAACTGATCTGGACTCATCTCTAGTTTTGGCTTCAGGTCGGCCTTCTCAGGAGTCCCTGGGGAAGCTAATGTTTGGGTAACACCCTCCTGAGGATCCCTATTCTCAACAGTGCCACCTCACCCTCATGTTTAGTTGGTGTTTTACTTGGCCTCTGTGTTTGCCTTCGTAAATAGCCTAAGAGAGAAAGGCATCAAGTACACAAGATATTACACCTTACTTACTCTTAACACATGCAAATGCAAGGACGGATCCAGGGGGTCAGACCCCACCCTTTTCACCAGAAAATTCCAATACCTTTCCTTCAATGCAGTATTATACTCGGGCATTTTTGTATCGTAAAAAGTATTTACTTTTGACTTCAGAATATCTCCTAATATCAAGTGCGCACGGCATCAAAATAGCCATGATATTGGTCAGATTTCAAAAAAAATTCTGGGGGGCTTACAGTGCTCCACCTGGGTGGGCTTACAGTGCTCCACCTGGGTGGGCTTACAGTGCTCCACCTGGGTGGGCTTACAGTGCTCCACCTGGGTGGGCTTACAGTGCTCCACCTGGGTGGGCTTACAGTGCTCCACCTGGGTGGGCTTACAGTGCTCCACCTGGGTGGGCTTACAGTGCTCCACCTGGGTGGGCTCGCTGTACTCGCCATGTTCCCCCACCCACAACTTCTTGGACCCCCCCTCCCCCCTCCCTTTTGATATTCCTGGATCCGCCCCTAAAATTATGTTCTATCTACATATTCTTTAAAGTATCGGGAATACAGAACTGTAGATTTTGAAGGATTGTAGTTCTTCTTGCGTGTATTGTAGCCTGTAATCCATTCTTCCAGAGATTCATCTTTGGGTAAACTAGAAATGAAGGCAGTACCTACTGTATACTACTACAGCATACTGGCACTTCTGCTTGATTACAACACTTACCGAAGGAATGTTATAGAATCTCTCCTGTCTCTCTGGATGCATCTATATGTCGAGCAGGATGGCTTAATGAAGCAAAGTTTGGGAGTTGCAGCACAGTGTGTATGTTCAGTTAACAAAAATGGCGGGCTGGCGGCGCCGGCTGGGCGGTTGTAGTCTGCCGCCTCCAGTTTTATAAAATCTCCTTGGGTCTGTTAACAGCATTTTCACTACTTTTTCTATATTATGTTTGTGTACAATGTGCACTAAACAATTTTATGGATAAAGCTTTCGTTTATGTAAGAAGTTCTATGTAAAGTACCATCAGCCCTCAAGTTCTGGGATCTAGTTTGCTTAACTGGCAATTTCAGTTCATGGGAACACCCAGTGTCTATATTTTGTTATATATATATATATATATATATATATATATATATATATATATATATATATATATATATATATATATATATATATATATATATATTAGTATTTCCGATGACAACTATGGAAATGTTAAATTGACTTTACAAGATAACAGTAGGTTTTTTAAGAAATGAAGAAAAATAGCGAAATACTGTACCTGTATAAGACTACTGTACAGTACAATGAACATAGCGTTTTTAATGCTTTGTGTCATCCTCGGTGTAAAGTTGGTATAAAGTGAGGCAGTTATTTGATGAGTGCTGGAGCCTCAAGTACAGTCTGCTTGAACCTGTATGTAAACTTTACTGAAGGCAGCTTTTAAGAAGACTCCTAAGGATTGCAGAGGTGATAAAATACTGTTTGAGGGAAAGTAATACTGTTAATGTAAAAAGGAAAGTTTCAGATATTTAGAGTTAGGGGAGACAATGCTAATGCAGTTTACTTTTCTTTTACACCACAACCGCTATATCTACAAATGATTATTACAAGCGAGTTATTGCCTTTAAATACCGTACAGTACAGTTGCAGACAAAATTCCTTGGACACTCGTCAGTACTGTAACTGGCATTACTTAAGTACAGTACTTTTAGATCATTAGGTGAGGGGGATTGGACTTGTAATGTATTTTCTTTTGTGGTTCTGATACTGTATATAGTAAATTATGTTATGAAAAGCAGTGTTTCAGATATGAATTAATAATATATATGAACCAGGTATAGATGCCAGACGTTGCTATGTTCAGGGAATTAAAAAAAATAATGCTTTAATTTTACTTCATAAAATCAGAATTACACTACAAGAGGCAGCAACAGAAAGATGGCTAGGGTTGACATGGAGCTGGTGGTGGCTGACTCTGGAGAGGTAGAGCTGAAGCTACGGCACAGGTGCTTGCCTTTACTGTACATACTGCAAATATGGTGGTACCTGAGATTGAGGTATAGGTACAGTGGTATTGGTACAGTGGTATTAAAAAAATGGTGATTGGCACTTGCGAGAAGGACGAGCAAGGCACCTTCTTCCCATATCCTTAGTGGCGGTGGTTGGGCACACAACAGATGCTTGTTGAAACTTAAAATACACTGGAACTGTATTTATGATGTTTTGATGAGAGTTAGCGATGTCCATTTAAAATCATCTCTTTTGACTTCATGGCATCCATTAACTGTACCTTTTCCTCCCTCTTTACAAAATGTCATAAGTGTCAAGCAGGAAAACTGTGGTGAAAATTGAGGCAGGTGTAGAATATCCCCTCCTGTTCATATTTTAAACTTTCCTGTAATAGTAATGCTGTTTGGCTGATATTTTCTTTTCTTTTTAACCTACAGCAGGTCAGACCAAACCCCTATACATGCATACAGTATTCAGATGGATATTCCACTGTTAGGATATAAAAGCCAATATTACTGAATATATTTTATCATTTATGTCTTGTTATATAATAACCATGCTTCTAAATTAGTTTTGGCCCATTAGAAACAGTACTGAACGAGTGGGCAAATATTACCATTTTTAAAAACCATTTTTTTCCATAATTTTCTGATAAAACCTATTTTTTCACAAGATAATGTTACTTCCAAGAGACATGAATGGCAGAAATGAAAATCTCATACTTTTTAGATACAGTATAAGTCAAGTAATTAAAAGTTAAAATTAACATTTCCATTTTTTCATTGTGAAATTACAATTTTAGAGAATGTCCAGGAAATCTTCTGACACTCAAAGTGTAAAATTACATCATTAGATCAGTTTAGGATGTGATTAACCCTTTAAAGGGGAGCGGTGCACTTAGGTATTTTATTCTGGCAAACACCAGATGATTTTACTCAGCTGGGAGACACCTGTGCCCTCTAAAGGGTTAAGATAAGAGATGACTTCAGTAAACTCTAGAGCATCATGTAGGTTATGGTCCTAAAGAATTCTGTGGATATCGATTCCATGGAAAAAGAAGTTAATAAATCATGAGAAAAATTGAGATGTGTTCTGGGTCCCAAATACAGTATCTACCATCATCCGACTAAATTTAATAATAAACCCAAACTTCACCATTATACTATAGCAGATCATGTGCCAGGTGTGTTCATTTCAGAATGGGAGTGAAAGATTAATAAAAATCCGTTTTAAGGCAGAGCCAGGAGACCATACAGTGGTGGCATGTGGCGGCCAGCCGAGTGGTTGTGCTCATGATTTTTGTACAATACAGTACAGTATACAGTAGTCTCTATGTGCCTCCATCACATTTTCACATATGTGTTTCATGTTAGTGCTACTATACTGAGTAACTAGTTGGAGATGAACTAAATACCTCACCTAAACAAACACACACACACTTCAGCTAGTTACAGTGCGAGAGGACCAATCACAACACACCTCTTCATGCCCCGCTCACCTACTCCTTGTAAATATTCGTTAATGATAACTTCCAGTTTTTTTACTGATTTGTTACCCACACTAATGCTCATGATTAAGTTCCCTAAAAGCTGTGAGAACTGAAACATTGGTTCTTAAATTTAGCTTTGTTCTTCCTCATTTTTTTCTGGCAGAGCATCTCAGATCTGTGAGTTAAGCTGAATCTGTTGGAGCAAATATTCTAAGTTATCGAATTTGAGAGGAGTTGTATTTTGAAATAAATGTAGAAGCTACAGCCACTGGAGTAAAACTGATATCCTTTCTGGTAGACAATTATTCCATAAAAATTAAATCACCTGTAGATACTGTACAGTACAGTAATCCCTCGGTATTTCATGGTTTGATATTTTCTTTAATTTGTGGTATACTGTACTAAATTACTGCCAGTGTTCTTTGCAGTACTGTCAAACTTTGTTATGTCATGGTGTAAACCCAGAAAAATTTAAAATTTTCAGATGTACCAACATCTTCATCAAATGACAAAAATTAATTACAGGATCAGCTAACAACAAACAAAGGTTTCCTCACTAGATGGCAACAAAAGCTGCTCACCCAAGGCCAGAGCCACATGTGTTTGCATCATCTGCTAGTGACGGCTGCCAGTGAAGTGAGGAAACAAAGTACAGTACAGTATTGTGAAGTTAGAAAAAAATGGTGACAGGTGAAGTGAGGGAAAAAATAGTTGAGTGCAAGAAACCAAAATAGCATTGCTTAGGGATCGAGCAAAAGAACTAAACATAAGTTTTGCTTTATTTTCCAAAGGTGTAGAAGCTGTCCACCGTAATTTTTGGTCGCACCCTTGTGATATAACGAGGATCTACTGTAACGTACTGTATTTTGATTTTGCCCCATAACTCCAAACATCATCAAGTGTATGGCAATTGGCAGAGTGGAATTACAAATTATGGTGGTTTTTTGTGGCACAGTACACTATACAAGTACGTACTGAATTTGTGAACTTGGAAACTGTAGAGATTGATGATTCCCATCTCATTAACCTAAGAAATAATATGAATATAATGTATTAGGTTCAGCCAAGACAAAGTTAACATTAGGTTTGAATACATTTTGGTAAGTTAGCATTACACTGGGTTAGGGTTAGGTTATGATAATATGAGGTCGGATTACATAAAGTGTGTTACGTCAGAACATTCTGAGATTAAGTCTGGATAGTATTAAGCTAGATTAAGTTAGGTTTGGATAGTGGTAGGTTAGAAAAGGTTAAGATAAACTGGGATAAAAGTATAGGAACATGTTGCTACTGATACAACAATCAGTGATGTACTGCATTGCTTCAATTCTGGTTTGCTGGGCAGGGAGCTATCTCTGAGGTGATGCTGACCATGGTGGCTATTGGCAGAGGGAGTTCTAGGGGAGGTATCTTAGGAATCACATGAGCAGCTCATAAACCTATAACGTAATTATTTCACACAATTTTCACTATTGAGAAGTATAAACTGCAAAACTCTAAAACTACTTGTTGTAAGCACACTCACACTACTGTACACCCAGCAGTGTTTGATTAAATTTATTAACAGTAAGCCACTTGGATAAGGTCACAGAATGAAGAAAACTAACTCTTCTTTGACAGGAACTCTTGAGGCTGGCATATGAATCAGGGTTCACCACATCATTAAAATATATCGTTTGGATATAAGGGTCAAATATCTCATAATTAAAGGTTTCATAAAATATCATGGATCCAGATAATTCTATTCATTTTGCCTGTTTCAAGATATCCAAGTATCTGTCAAAATTAATCCTGAAATTCATGTACAGTATAGTCTGGTTTTGCGCGGAAGGCCATTTACGCGGCACCTGTCAGAAGAGACAAATATTATTTACACAGTAAATTCCATCATGTACGCGGCAAGCAGCAGGGCGAGGTGATGGGTGCTGACATCAGACTCGCGCCGGCGACGTCGCAGACTGTGATTGGGCCACGTATCCTTACTATCCACGTACCCCCTCAGCCGCGCGCTGTGATTGGTTTCATCCTAGCCACCCCCGCTCTCCACCACTGCGTCAGTCTCACTGTCTCCGTGCATATTCACTCGTGCCCAGGAACCAGTGCTTTTTTTCTTTCAACACAATGGCTTCCGCTGGACCCCCACCACCCCCAAGAGGCCCTGAACTACCATCATAAAATTAAAATGTCGTTTTTACTACAATGTACAGTATTGTGTCAGCGATAGCTAAAAAAAGGTGAGTCTGGCGGTCGGCCCAGTCTCTATTTCAATTAATCCCATAGGTTCTGTTATTTAATTTACGCGTTTGCTTTATACACGGACCTCCATGGGTTTAATTAACTGCGTAAAACCAGACTATACTGTACAAGGATAAACTTTGTCCAGACCAACTCTAGTTTGTAAAGGTTACAAGTTGACTGAGTGACTGGTATCTAAATTCTGGGGCCTCTTTTAACTTCATTGTATATACAGTAGTAGCAGAGATTTGGACAGTCTTTGCGATTCTGTATTTCTTTTTATTTACAGTACTGTTATCAGGGGATATTTAGCCAGTAATTTATAAAGGAAAGGGAGGGGAAGGGGGGTGGGGGACAACTAATAACTCTCAAGTACTGTAACAACATAATGCCTGGAAGTAACAAACCTCTGTCATAAAACACATTCCTTGTTCAGTTTTCTACAGAAGACACAGAAGACACTGTTCCTTCAATAAAATCGTTACAAAAAATTAGGTTCGTTTAAATATTATAAAATTCCTCGGTCTAATAACACTGCAGTGATCTGATACTGTTCTAGCTACACCTAATTATCTCTTATATATACAGATTAATTTACTCATCAACAAAATTTACCTGAGAAATACCTTGTTTCTAACAAAATGAAAATGGTTAAGGCAGATTCCTTCCCTTAAGACTACAGTATAGTAATGTACTTAGGACAAATAATGACTATTTCTAAGCATCACTTAAAGCCTCTGCTGTAGTGGATTTAGTTATTTATTCAAAATACAATATACTGTAATATATTTGTCCTATATTCTGTACAGTCTGACATAAAAACTTAAATTATTATATATGAATAACAAATTACATTAAGTATATATACACAACTTCACTAAACAATCTGTTGACAATGACCCGCAGGTCGTTAGAAGTAATCTGCCGCACAATTTCGGGATTTATCTCCTTTATCACTTCCGTGTGTATCAGTGGTCTTAGGTCTCTTTGGCAGGTTAAGCAAGTTATCAGTGAGTCCCAATGATAATTCACCTTCACCGGCTACTCCAGCAGCTTTTTTCTGGATTTGAAGTTTTGGTGTAACGCTTCTACCTGTAGACGTAAGATAGGCAATATTTGGCGTGATGGCACCTGGGGTTGCTGTTCCATGTCGTACGCTGGGAGATGGTGTGTAAGATGCTCGGAGGGCTTTATCTGTGCTGTGTCCTACCCCGAGCTTGGTAGTCAGGAGTCGCTGTGCTGCTGGAGACATAGACGTTACTCTCTCTGAGGATGACTGTTGGCCAAACTTATTTAATGGGGTGCCCCAGTTGTGCTTGCCTGTCAATACTGCTTTTGATTTTCTATTCCTGTGCTTCTGACTTGCTTGCTCCGCTAATTTGTGTCCAAGGCGATCTCTAACAAATAATAATAATGGTCATGTTAAATTTGGAAATATTTCAATATTCTATAAAGAGGTAGAGTACAGTTGGTAAAAACATCCAATGCATGGAACCATCTACTGCTCTGGATGGGTGGCTCAGTGCTAAGCGTCCCACACTCTGAAGCAACTGAAAACTCCCCAGCAGCCACATTGGATCTAACATAAGCTTTGAAGATGCTGGAGATCTGCCTTTCTTCATAATTTATGGTCAACAGACACCAGTGGACTTGCAAAATGCCTGGATGTGTTGCCTACAGGTGCACAAATTAAGACCAACATGAAATAAATGTAGGAGTAACTTTCTATTTGGTACAGTATACTCAGGATCAAGAAGAATATACAACAGGTGACAGTACAAGTCTGGCAAATATGGTTGAAAAGCATAAATAACCTAACCTTATACAATCACACACCAAACATTATCCAGAAAACTGTATTGGAAAAGCCAGAACTGTAAAAACAACTGAAACAGAAAACAAAATGTAAGAGAATCCACAATACCACCACTGATACATCCTGGCAACACTCAGACTGACAATAAGAAACTGATGGCTGAATTAGGTTACTGCATGTGTTCAGAGTACATTTGAGCAACGCAGGCTGTAGCTAGTCACTAGTTCTGATGTGATTAAACCCACTGGTCCTTGAAACAGCCAGAGGAAAAGTATACAGTTTAGAACTTTAACTGTGGAAAGACTACTACCATTGTTGTTTACAGCTATACACTACAACCTCATAGACAATGGTAGCCTCTGTGTTATGGGATGCTTATTAACAGAGGTACATCTCACACAACTACCATGTCACATAGGTGTGGTTAAAATTATAAAGCCCAAGAAGGGTCACAAATTTAGTAAATAAAGCTGGAAAATGCCAATTCTTAACCTAGGTATAGATATTCTTGATATGAAATGACATACAGATTTTCATTCATGCATCAAATATCATATGAACAAATGTATGAAAGTCCCCTTCCTCACCTTATAAGGCAAGGCATAATGGACTTATCTCTCCATATAATCTGTTGGAGGAGGGTTTCATATACGTATAACGGACCCTCGATATAACGGACTTTCCCATCTGTATAATTAATGACATAAGAGGTTTCACTGCATTCAAACACGAGATTATCAGAAATAAAAATAAACTTTTAATTCACCTTCATCATACCTGTTAGGAACTTGTGGTATTCTGTAAGAGGGTCCTGGTGTGTGTTTCTTTAGCAAGGGCGTCTGGTTACCATCAAGTTGGAATGGTGTTCCCTCCACCTCTCCCCAGGTCATTAGGGGAGAGGCATCCACACCAGGAACTGGAGACGGAGCAGTTACAAAACTATACCCATTCACTTTGGGCGTGTCCTTTCCAAGCTCTTTACCTGTAAAATACAAAACATTTATAAGATACAGTACACACACACACACACACACATACATACTCACACAAACCTACACCATAGAAAATTTACTTAGAGACAGTTTCCTCCACTCTCTTCAGTACTGTACATGTACAGTATTGACACTCTCACTGCTTCAAATACCTAACCAACACATTTTGGATTAAGATATTTGATGAGCAGCAATTACAGTGGTCCCTTGATTAACGAACGGTTCAATTAACGAAATTTCGGTTAACGAATTAGCTCCCATAAGGATTTTCAGTTCCATTAACGACAGCCTTACGAGAAACACGCTTTGCTGTACGCATCAGCTGATCGGCTAGTCCGTCAATACAGTAATTTGTTCTATGTTTACATTCGTTTCCAGTGGGGTAAATATCAAGAAAGTTGTGCTCTTGAATATTTTTACATTTTTTTATATTGGTCATTCTGAAATTTAGTTAACATATTGATAATGTATACAGTACAAGGAACAGTTTTTGTGTGCCCTTCAGCTAATCGAATCACCCACCAACGCTTCTCAATTTAACTCTGCTTACAGTGGAGTGAACATCGAGTTTGTTGGTCTCTTGAATATTTTGGCATTTTTACTTTAAAATTATTGGTCATTCTGAAATTTAATTAACATATTGATAATATACAGTGCAAAAATTATTATGATTTTTGAAGAAGGCATTAGAACCAATGCACTCTGTAAAGAATATGGCATGTCATCATTGACTGCCTCTACAATCAGCTGTTTGATATGTAAACAAAGCTGCCAGGAATACGACATACACACCTCAAAGTAAGTTAAAATACAGTACAGCTCCTTCCTGACTTACGACGGGGTTAGGGACCTAAATCCAGGTCGTAAGTCGAAAATGCTTAAATAATACATAGAAAAACTAAAATGGGTGTCTCTTTTTCTTCTCAGCACCACAAAACTCTCACTTTTCAGCTTGCCAGCTGTTTTAAAGTGAATTACAAACGAAAATTTTGTCAGTACACAGCGCAATCACTGATGTTGGGACTCAAAAATATGCAATTTGACAAAATTTTGGTACGACTGAGGCAGGTTGTAAGTGCGGGTAGTCGTAAGTCGGGGAGGAGCTGTATTCTATTGTTTGTTTATTTATTATTGTACAGTATGCTGTACAGTACAGTACTGTATTTAGTTTATATTCAATGTTTTGTTATATCTATTATTGGTATACAGTACTTTGAACTGTATGTTTACTTTTTCTGTGAGTTGGAACCAATTACTCAATATCCCATTGAAATAATAGATTCAGTTAACAAAATTTTCTGTTAACAAACGACTCTGTGGAACCAATTGTGTTCATTAATCGAGGGACCACTGTACTGTATATCATTTACAGCCCATTTCTTGCTAAGTTCTCAGCTACCTCCTCACCCAACAGTCACTGTGGGCTTGCTCCAAGGCCTGTTATCCAAACATCATCTAAGGTCAAACTGAGAGCTGTGTAGTCAAAATGAGTAATGTGACCGTTGTAGTTTTCAGCAACAGTCCAGTGATCGTTTTTTTACTTTAATGTTAATAATTCCATATTTACTTTAGCAAACCTTTTTCTATTTAGAGATGAGGAGTCCAGCTATGGGATGGAAAGTTAAGCCACTCTGGATGCTATGATTAAACATAACAGGGATGTACACTCTAAACATTTCATGGAACAATTTACATAAATCCCCATTATAAAAATTCCCACTGCTGTACTAACAAATCCTATGGTATAACATGGAAGAATGGTAAAGAAATATTAAGTGGGTGAGAGAAAGAGATAAACTTACTGCTAACACCTGCAAGTATCTGTAGTACAAGATAATATGTAACCTTACCATCCACTCCAACTTTCCCTTCCTTCTTGCTAGCCTGAACTGCCGATGCCTCTAACATTGCAGCCTGACTCAGCGTCTCCGTAAAAGGATTCCCCTCAAAGCGAGTATTTCCCAGACTCACTTCCCTTTTCTTCAGCTTAGCAAGTTCAATTTGTTTTGCTTGTGATAATTGAGCTCCTTAAAAAAAAGAACAATTAAATGTTTTTGGATATTACTTTTTAAAGAACATTCATTTAGAAAAATATCATAACAGAATTTAGTACAGGTATCTTATTTCATGACTGAGGAGGAATAATCAGGTAACCAAGGAAATTAATTTCTATGGCAAAGTCCTCCATTTCCTTGGGACCAACTACACTCTGAGGTAGAAAAACAACTGAAGTCTGCCCTAACCAAAAAAAAAAAAGTAAAGCAGAAACTTGTACCCTAGTTAATATTGGATGACAACCCTTGAAATCCCTTTTATATCTGAATTAGAGAAAGCAACTTGCTATAGTCAGCAGGTCCTGAAGTTATAACTCCAGGGAGCTAAAAGTCTAAGTGAATAGTTTCCATTAAGGGAGAGATGTTAATGAACCCTGTTGTTAAGTAATACACATATTTGGGATCTTGACAGGAGCTCGGCAGTAAGGTCACTTGTCAGGATTCATGAACCATAAAAAAAAAGAGAAAAAAAAAGACATTCTTCTTACCATCAGGGACAAACATGACAGAGTTGAAAGTTGTGTAATTCCAGTTTTCTAGCTGCTTAGGTCTAGTGTCATTCTGTACCGATGTGCCCGTGATAGACAGAAGAGCTGCTTCTGCCTGCTGCTGAGCTGACTGAGGTTGTAAATTTGGTGTATGTTCTTTGTTATGTTTCTCTTCTGCCTCAAACATCCATGAATACTGCAAAACACAACTCTTGGTTACAATCTGCCTGAGTGACTTGGAAACATTAAGAATTGTGGAAGTCTTAAATGCTGTACTGTATAACTGACAACCTAATATAAAGATAGACTAAGAAAGGAAAACTAATAAATATCTCTTTTTTTTTTTGGCTATATCTTTCTATAAAATATGAAAGGGGCTAAGGTAAAATATACAGTATAAGAAAAATAATATGAAATGCAAGATTGAAGTGAGAAATGTCATTCTATAGCCGAGTGAAGGAGAGGAGAGACTTGTGGTACTGTACCTCCATGTGATGAGTTTGGTGGTGACACATTCTCAACATGAATGAGTAAATCTTCTCAATTATCAGAGTCAGAGAAGTTTAAGTAAGTTGCATGTCATTAACACTTACACTGTATTGTACCAGATAGATGTACCAAAACCATTACATATATACATTGTACTCTATAATATAAGTTCACATAGTTACTTAAACCAGAGTATAAAACTGCAGAACTGAACCAACATTTTCATTTTTAAGGATGATCTTACCTTCATTTTAAATCTTCTTTCATTTTCCTTCATTATTAGTTCAAAACTTTCATTATCCTCACTCGTGTGTTTCTCAAAGAACTCATCTAGCGTTATTTTCTTGCCACTCTTGGAACAACTGTCCTCTTCCGAGCCTTTATATAGTTCAGTGGAAGGTTCTTCTGTGTCGTCTGCAGAATACTTCATCCCCGGGGTTCCACTTCCCCCCCGGGTGGTGCGTCCTGCGTCGGGAGTCTCAAAAGTGGCTGGACTGTCTTCAACGTTGTGCAGCAGAGGAAAATCTTTGTCTGTTGTGTATTTTGCATAAAATTCTCTGAGCCTCACCACATCATTCATCTCCTTCGCCTCTAGGTAGTCTAATTTTTCTTTTAGGTTCTCCAGGTCAGGGAAGAAGTCTCTCTCAATTATTTTTTCCACCTCCTGCAAGTAAATAAATCAGTTGAAGATTAAAAATGAATATTATCAGTGTCAGGGATGTCCTTAAAAAAATAAAGCAATAGAAACAACAATGAAAACAATAAAGACAATAATAATAATAATAATAATAATAATAATAATAATAATAATGTACTACTACTACTACTAAACTCTTCCTCCACAATCCAGAATATTAATATATAAATAATAAAATAACCATCATTGCAGTGACAAATAAGTGAAGACACTCACTTTAATATAAGTCTCCTCGTCCATGACTTTTTTTCTTCTACGAGCTGCTGGTTTATCTGGCTTCTTGAAGATTTCTACATTTTGTTCTGCCACCTGCAAGGCTGTGTTCCCTGGAGTTGTTTCAGGTGAATCAAGGTCTGCCATGTTACCTGTAAAAATTAATCAGTCAAATTTAATACATGGCTACCATAATTTTTATATGCTGTACAGTACAGGGGGTCCCCGGGTTACGAACGGATCCGTTCCTGAGGACGTTCTTAAGTTGGATTTGTACGTAAGTCGGAACACATGCTATATGCATACCGTACTTACAGAACAATGTTTAAAATCCCACTATATCATAGCTTAAGTCCTTATATACATCTAAAATCACTTAATTTAAGGCAAAAGAAGAAATAGAATGACAAAATACAGTAAATGAAAGTAAAAAAATAAGTCATCAGGTAAATAAAATACCGTAAATTTCAGATTTAACTCTGTTTAATTTGGCAGGCATTCATAAGTTGGAGATCCCCTGTACTGAGCCATGCAAAATTAACCTTCAAAATTTCACCAAACTGATACAAGAAAAGATGTTATAATTATCAAGATTGTATAAAAGAGACAGAGAAGGACAACCACAATTTGCCTCTCATGGAGCTGGAGGAGGTGAAAGGAGAATGAGAGACTGACGTAGACAAGACTGTAGGAAAGTGGAAAATGGTGGCAAACAGTGTGACAGGACTGATAATTAACCCCTTCACTACAGGGATGTCTCTTTTAACATTTTATTTAGTTAATACCCAGAGGATTTTATTCTCAACAGAGACTCCTACTGCCCAAAGGGGTTAAAAGTGAAAACAGTGATTGCAGTTTGGACCACCACATTTGCCTTCCTCCTTCTGTTGACGGTACTGTATATGAAACAAAAAAAGCTGACCCTAACTCTTTCAACCTAGTATAAGTGGGTTAGGTTAGATTTGGTGAGGTTAAGTTTTGTTGGTACTCCATTAATATTGATTTGCACAAGAAATCATATGAAATTGTATATTTGTGTTTTATAGTCTTTGTGTCTGTAATATTGAAAATTGTCAACCTGCAGACAGCCAACGGACGAATATTAACCCAATAGTGTTCCTGTACACATATGCCAAACTATTCATATTTGTTGACTACTATTGACTAGTGATTCCATCATTTTCTCCTTACAGCTGCTTCTGTCAACCCACCAACAACCCCAATAAGGTGATATAACAAAATAAAACCTTTCAATCCTAGAAGTTGGTCAGGTTAGGTAGGTCTGGTTGGTTAGGTTAGGTTATGTCAGGTTAGGTAGGTCTGGTTGATTTATCTTATCAACAATGCAACATTAATATAACTGTGGTAGAAAAGTCTATGCTATTTAGGTAACTGCTAAAGCAAGATCACCAAACTAATAACAATATAAAAATTGCCATAAATCATTGTTTTTACTTTTCTATATCTATCTTCATAATTATTATTAATAATATTATTACTGTAATATGGAATATAAATAATATAAGCTCCTGCAGCCAGCCTCTTGTGCTTATTTAACAGAAATGTTAATATAGGAAAGTTGCACTTCCTACACACTTTTTTCTATTCATGAAATACAAACAATTTTCTTCAGTAATAAATGTCCCTAAAGCCGTGGTTTCTCCCATGAGCCAAACACCTAAAGTATTACCCAATGATTTTGTGGTAGAGCCAGAGTAGCCCTTAGGCCTCAGCCACTTGAAAATATATTACGGAAGATATTTATACAGTAAATTCGTCATACACGTTCATAATCGTTCAGTATGTACATAAACGGTACATATATACAAACAATAGTAAACAATAAATGGGATTCAACCAAGGTTAACCCAAGCTATTAAAACATACGCATTTACATTAAGGTCTTTGACGGTAACTTAAGACTCGACAAACTCTCTAAACAAACATCAAACCTTATAACTTACATGAATTATTTAGAACTGGTGATTATATTATTAAAAATATAATAAAAAACACTGGCATTTACCTCTGACAGTTGTTAATAGAAACGTTTTAATGTTGTGCCGTAGAGATATATAAGTGACTAAAACAAATAGTCGTCTGTATAAGGTTGAAGGTAAATAAGAAAAAAAAGAGCATCAATTATGTTACCTGAACCTAACTTGACCTTCAGATACCTTTTATAATGGCTACCTTGTAACAGGTCATTTAATAATATCGGGATTTTATTTATTTTTTGCTTTATTTACCTACTAAAGTGGCTTTGTAAAGCAATGATGAGCTTTTAAGTTGTAATGAACTCTGTATGGATTTCAGACAGCCAGACACAGGAGCCACAGTGTTGTGTCATATTTTAACTATTCTGGAGTGAAAACTGTTCAGGTGATTAGTTTTCACGTCATTTATATTTGTAATACTGTAATTATAGTTGATTATCTTCGGCTGATGGGTGGGAGTGCTTATGCTCGTCTAAACTATAGGAATAGCCAGGCTGCCATCAGTGCCTTCAGTATCTAACTACAGTAGCTGCCCACACACGATAGGCCAGGAAGTTGATGTTTTTGATAGGGTCATGTAACGGCGTCAAGTGTACCTAATGTCACTACTGTTGTGCTGTCACTTCTGACGGAGATAACCGCAGGTCCTGTTCCACGCGGAATGCTGTCCACAATCTCCAGACTTTGATATACAGTACTGTATGTAGGAAAGCTAACTAACGGTACAAACTCAGATCTCAGTCCAAAACAATATTTGCAATTCATGAAGAACTTCAGCAATGGACTTGTTACGTGGAAAGCGTAGTCCTCATTACACAGGATAGGCCTCTTTCACACATGCGTTTGTTTTGTCGGGCGACACAAAAAATGCCGACTATGACTCGCCTACGCTTCCTGAATTCAAACATGAACATCAGAGAGATTGGATATTAAATGTATGTCAATACTGAAGGGATTAATTTAAGGGGAATGCAAATAATCCAAGGGGAATGTGTATTGCACGTGTAAGTAGGGTAGTAAATTGCAGACCCAGAAATGGATATTCCAGGTTATTGCATTTTAAGTGACACGTGATACGCAATGTTTCGTATAGCGGCGCCAAAGAACATAAGAACATAAGAAAATAAGAAGTCTGCAATAGGCCGGTTGGCCTGTGCATGGCAGCTCCTGTCAAGAGTTACTACCACTCTCTATCATCCATGAATCTATCTAGCCTCCTTTTGAAACTTTCCAGCGTTCCAGCACTTACTACAAGGTTGCTAAGCTTGTTCCACTCGTCCACCACCCTATTTGTGAACCAGTTCCTTCCTATCTCCCTCCTAAATCTAAACTTATCCAACTTAAATCCGTTGCTCCGAGTCCTATCCTGCTCGGATATTATAAGAACTTTATCTATATCACCTTTATTGATTCCTTTCACCCACTTAAATACTTCTATCATATCTCCCAGCACTTCGTCTTTCTAGGAAATGCAAGTTTAGTTTCTTTAACCTATCCTGATATGGAAGGTTTCTAAGTCCCGGAATCATTTTCGTCATTCTTCGCTGCACCGACTCTAGTGAATTGATATCCATTCTATAATATGGGCACCAGAACTGAACCGCATAATCGAGGTGCGGCCTGACTAGCGCAAGATATAGTTGCAATAAGACCTCTGCGCTCTTATTACTTACACTTCTAGATATAAAATCCAATACTCTGTTTGGCTTATTTCGAACATTAACGCACTGTTTTCTAGGCCGTAGGTCCGGGCTTACAAGTACCCCTAGGTCTCTTTCACAAGTCGACTTCTCTAGGTTGATGTTGTTAAGGCTGTATACATTGACAGTATTTGTTCTTCCAATATTAAGTACGCTGCACTTGCTGGTGTTGAATTTCATTTACCATTTTTCAGACCACCCCTACAGTTTATTTAGATCCTCCTGTAATGCATTTGCATCCTGCCCTATTTTGGTGTCATCCGCAAACTTGCTTATGTCACTGCTGATCCCAGTATCTAGATCGTTTATGTAGATTATGAACAAAAGTGGGCCTAGTACTGACCCCTGGGGAACCCCACTGGTTACACGGCCCCACTCAGATTTAACACCATCTACGCTGACCCTCTGCGTTCTATCGGTGAGCCATGATTTTATCCAATTTAAAACTTTCCCCTCGATACCATGAGCCTCAATTTTTCTTAGAAGCCTCTGATGCGGTACTCTGTCAAATGCTTTGCTAAAGTCAAAGTAAATAACATCGTAATTTTCGTCATTATCTACTACCTCGAAGACTTTCCTAAAAATCGTCAGCAGATTTGTTAGACAAGATTTTCTCTTTGTAAACCCATGTTATGGTTTGTCTTGTTCAGTTCATACATCTAGTTTTAAACAATGGCCCTCGGGCACCGAAACCCACGTTCTACAATTGGTTTACACTATACTCTACTTATATTCCAAAGTTTGACTTACACCTAATACACATCAAGGAAACCATGACCTACTGAAGAACGGTGTGACCTTACGATATCATACCCCAGGTGTATAACGTTACCACATTATTGCATCTAACTGTACTTGTTAACTCAAGTGATGCACATTTGATGCAATAAACTTGTATCTTTGTACACTAAAACAATGTCAGCTACTCACCCACTCCAGAGATTATCAGAAGCCTCATGAATTTAAGACGTCGCTGACAACAACAAAAAAACTCACATCCAATGACGAACAACACGAGTTTAAAGTTTCATTGTTCACGTCACATCACACACAGAGAATGACCAAGTTGTTCCTCTTCGTGCAGCAAAGCACCATAACATACAGTAAGTACTTAACTTTCTGATGCTCTTTTATACACAACTGTAGCTGCAGCATGTAGTCTGTGACTAACAGGAAAAGATGGAAGTGTATTACGTAAGCCTCTGTCAAAAGTGCGAACTATTTAATTTATTTAAAGAAAGATAATTTTGAGAGCATAACAAGTCTTAAATGTCCAAATTATCTTTATATAAACGTGAAAAACAACTTTTATCATGCAAAGTTAGGTTAGTTTCAGGATTCTGCGACCTGATACAGGTATAAACAAACGTGCATTCACCGTATTGAAACATGTCTTCACACACACACACATACACACATACACTGTTTAAACCTGGTTAGAATTTCTCTTATCACCTCTAGTTGTGGTAGTAATCTGGTAAATATATAAACTTTTACAGGATCGGACATATTAACACAATGAGCCTGGCGCCAGTCACTAACTGTAAACACATCCTTAACGTTAGCTCAGCCCACTGCGACTTAACAGGTCTTGCGGCTGGTTACTGACAGGTAGACAATCACCTGTGTCGTCATCAGTTGACGCTGCCTGTAATAGGAAAAGTATGGGTAAAAATTCGGTGAGGACAACCGCCAGAACGCTATACTGATTTGAGTATAGGGAAATGGAGCAAAAAAACAAAAAAACAAAGAGAGAGGGAAGTTGTGGGTTAAAAACAAAAAAATAACCAATCCAAACCTGACCTAACTTAACATTACCTAACCTAACCGTACCTTTACCTTTTTACCGAATCTTAACCGAATAATGTTTATGCGAGTCAATCTGTGTAATTCATGATGTTGCGAAGCATTACGTGATAAATATTTATTATGTCATAGTAAATCTAGCTGTCAACAATGAGATGCAAGTGAAAACCGATGTAACCTCCTTTTGTTCATAGTATAACACCCGCAGGAGAAGAGAAAGTGTGGGGCAGCCATGACCCACACTTTCTTATTGCTCACCTCACCTCGCTTCACCTCACCTGCCCACAAAAAAAAAAACGTGTCTCCGTTTCAGTACGATTTTACGCTGACTTGTACTGCATATGTTTTGATATTAGAAAAATTTGACGGTAAAATCAGATGATATAGGATTCTAAATAATGGTCTCCGAGTAAATAACCACTGAATTAATCGTAATGTTATATTTTTTAATACGGCCTTTTGTCAGAAAAATAAAAATATAATATTAGTGTTACGTAATGTGTAGTGAATAAGTTTGATTCTCTCCTAAGATGTAAAATATTGTTGGTCATGTGTATTGCCGCGCCGCAACATTAATTAAACTCCCAAATCATCAAGAGTTCACTCGTACCCATAATTACGTTTATGCGCTATTAATGCTGATCTCATGTCTTTGATCGTAGAATATAGAGTAAATAGATTGGATAATTGTCAGAACTTCAATTCACCTACATAACTATACATATTTGTGTAAAACGTCATATTTGGTGATTCGCAGGCCACAGTGAAGGTAACTATTGATATTACAAGAGGTTTCTGATCAATAGAAAAGTCGGTCTGCTCGTTCTACTATTATCATTGCTTGGCCGAATTTGTAGGGAGGTAAGAGCGGCCCATTCACCACCACCACAACCACAAACTTGACACTATGATGATGAAGTGTGCAAAATTCCTTGCTTCCTGTTTGGTGACTTAATAATCATCTGGGGGACAATGGCCGCATCTTTAATGGTTCTCTTTGTCTTAAAAATCTATCTACCGGTTATTAATTTGCGCGTTAGCACACACACACACCTATATATATATATATATATATATATATATATATATATATATATATATATATATATATATATATATATATATATATATATATATATATATATATATATATATATATATATATATATATATATATGTGTGTGTGTAGGTGTGTGTGTGTGTCATGAATTATCTTGTTCTTTTATGACATCCTTTTTCCATTTCATTATCCCTCTCTCTTTGACCTACCCTATCCTCTCTCTACCCTTCACACATTCCTCCCACGTATTGTTTACAGTGTGGTATTCACTAGGTGGCATCTGTGGGCAGTGGGAGGGGGTCAAGACGGCCACTGGCCCACTTACTGGCGCGCTGGTCAGTCACTGACTCTGTTGATCTCACAGCGTGAACATCTTATTGATTTAGTTCTCGAGAGATTGGGAGTATAAGTTTGTCTTACAGTTTCTAAAAGTATTTAATTTCTCCGAAACTGACCAATTCTGACAGTTTATTTAAGACTCCCTTGGGTATTTAAATGATGATTTATATAACATATACATTTTGTATATTAATGAGACTTGTTGAGTAATTGTCAAGTTACGGACAAAACTTATACCAAAAAAAATATCAGTATAGATTTGGAACTGATTTGCAAGTTCAGACAAACATTTGAAACTGACAGTGTGAAAACCTCGTCATATCACAGTGGCATCAGTGCTGCAGAAATGAGACAGAGAAGTTTAAGGAGCAACGTAGTGACGGTAGTGTTCCTGGCGGCAACACTCCTCACCTCCGTCAGTCTAGAGCTGCCCCGCCACCACCAAGAACCTCAATTACTGGAAACTGGAGTGGATCCCGAAGGCACCAAGTATGATGTTGAAGAGCAACTAACTCCAGATGTATGGAAAAATAATGCTACGATTAATGCAGAGCAGGAGACTGGGAGAAACGAGACTTTAAATGGCAAAGGTTGGGAGAACGCAAGTGAAACAGATCAAGAGGAGAGGACAAACGAGACTCTAGACAACGAAGATGGTATAGACACAGTCAAAAGAAAAGAAAAGAAAGAGACACAGGAGGCTCTACATGGTAAAAATGGTAACAGTACAAATAACTCAGAGGTGGAAGAAGAGAAATATGAGGGAACTAAGGAAGAGTCATCACAAGACGAAGGCTGCAAGAAAGTAGTTGAGGAAAACTTAACTGGCGGGGAACACAAAGTAGTGAGCACAGACAGTAGTCTTGTGGCCTCTCTCCTCATGGATATCCGGGATGCACTCTACATTAAGAAAAACATCCAGGGTGACCAAGTCTCAAGAGACTGTTCGGAACAACGCCTCGACAAAATCAGAGATGAAACTGAAGGTTCTATCAGCAGGATTTCCAGTGATTTTGAAAGGCTTAAAGAAAACATGGACCAGAAAGTGAGTCTTGTACTTGATACATTTTCCACACTAAAGCTGCTGGTACTGAGTCAGGGGGATCAGCTAAGGTCGCTGCAGGAGAGGCTAAAGACTGTGCACGATCAAACAGAAAATTTTCAAATTGAAATGGATAAATTCCAGAGGTCGCTGAAGGAAGTCAATAACACTTTAAGGTCTCAAGAAATGAAGGTAGAGATTACCTCGTTTTATAGTGACAACAGCCTTCCAGAAGAGCATATTCTAGACCCACAGGTAAATATCACGGACTACGATGACAGAATTCAAGAAACGAAGCCTGTACTCGACGATTTGACCGCAGAAGTACAAAAGATCACGGCAGCTGTCAAATCGATGAGGGACGAGTTGGAGGAAGTGAAGAAGAACATCACCGACCATACTGTTGTGTCCAAGACAAATTCACTACAGCAAGCACAAAGAGACACTCATACAAGTGTTAGTGATTCCACATCATGCCAGTGTTCGACCGATAAGTTCAGAGAAGCCATAACAAAGATAGAGGAAGTTCAGAAGGAACATAACAACAAGCTAAACGAGATTGCCAGGAACCTGACACTGATGGAAGATCAGCAGCACCATACAGACAACAGGACCTGGAGCTACAGTCAACGTATAGGAGAGGTGGAAGATTCTTTCATGGACCTGAATTCAATGAAACATAAGGTCAATACCGTACAGGAGGACTTGAGTAACTTGAAGAAAGAACTGGAGAGGAACACGACACAAGGAGTCATTAATGTTATGAGGGACAGCACCAATATGGAAGGTAAGATCTACTGTGTCTGACAATTAAAATTAATGGACAGGACACTCCCAAGCAGTAGATTAGAATATTTTAATAGGGACTACAGCTTTCAATACTGAACTGATATAACTTCATTGCATATGAGTTTACTGTGATTGTAGGAAGATAAGTCTCGCTTCTCAGTTATGCTTAATATATATAAAATAGTCACCCTGCATTTTTAGCTAGATAAGTAAGAGTAGGTGTTATTTGACACACTTTGCCAGCAATATGTCATATCCACCATGTGTTCATCACCAATCTTCTACAATAATATACTGTCCTGTACTGCATGTGTTGGTTGCCTCAGGGTTGTGTGTGTGGCCGTACCGTCGAGGTGGAGGTGGGTGTTTCTATGTGCATACGGAGGAGCGCCTCTCCTGGCAGGGGGCGCGGGACCACTGCCGAAGCCTGCAGGGAGACCTGGCCTCACCCACACACTACAACCTCTTCAAGCTCTTCATTCTCAAACTCAGATGTGAGTTACAGGGTATTTCTCAGTAAATAGCTCTGACTTGAGATAGTTTCTCTTAATGAACTCTGATGTGAGATAATTCTAGTCATTTAGCCACAAAGTAATATATACACAAAATTGGGATAAAAAATTCATGAATATAATGATTTATCAATGATAAAGTCTATAATGCATATACATGTACTGTGTTATTTTTCAGTGAGCCGAGCTTACACATACTGGATAGGTGCCTCGGATGTTGGAAAAGGTGAATGGATGTGGATAGACGGACGGGTTGTGACCTCCGACGTGTGGGGCAACGGCCAGCCAGTGGAGCTCAACAACAATTGCATGGCACTCAAACCCATCTATAAATTTGTGCCGTCAGCCGAGGCGTGTCGGGAGAGTAGGTTCTTTATATGTCAACAAGAACGGCAATTGTGATAAATCTACAAGAAGCTCGGTAAAGCAGCACGTACAGTACAGTTGTGGACAAAAAAGAATTCAGCAGGGGGGGAGGGAGTGTAAGTCACGTCTGTCTCATAATTAACGATAAAAATTAATTTGTGGTGTGGAAAGAAAATCACACTTTTTATCGTCACCTATATGTAACGTTGCTAAGTCTCCATCTACCCCTACCATACACCACCTACCCTTACCCTCCCATACACCACTACCCCTACCATACACCACCTACCCTTACCCTCCCATACACCACTACCCCTACCATACACCACTACCCCTACCATACACCACCTACCCTTACCCTCTCATACACCACTACCCCTACTATACACCACCTACCCCTACCATGCACCACCTACCCCTACCCTTCCTTTCTGCCTACTGAATTATTCTTGTCCACAACTGTACGTTTCTCTATCTCCATAACACCAACTGCCGATATATTTTGTCAAGAATACTTATGATGGTGATGTTGTCTACTTATGATGGTGATGTTGTCTACTTATGATGGTGATGTTGTCTACTTATGATGGTGATGTTGTCTACTTATGATGGTGATGTTGTCTACTTATGATGGTGATGCTGTCTACTTATGATGGTGACGCTGTCTACTTACCATGATGTGACAGTGTTATCTACGGTGATATAATTTAGTTAATATATACTGATGCAGGTAATAGCATATATTTTACATGTACAGTAATATATACAGTACATGTAATAGCAACTATGTATTCAGATAAAACTGTTTATTCTGCAGGTAATATTATCTTTATTTGCAGGTTGTCTACTTATGGGGTCAGTATTACCTACCTATGCAGATACTCTTATCAACATATAAATATGTCCCCTTATTTACAATGGTGTTAGGTTCCTGAAAAACCCATCAAAAGGTCAAAATATCATAAATTAAGAGCATCATAACATGGGGTTAGATGGGATACGTTTCCAGCCAGTCAGACACCCCCGTGTATCACAGAAAATTCCTATACTAATAATATTCAGTACCTACAACACAATTAAACAACACTCACCACATCATTAAAAAACATCCTGGTTGTCATCACATGTCCCCTTCGAGGCTAGGGGGGACTCTTGAAGATGAAGTGGAGATGTCACTCTGACTTCCAAACAGCCTCTGGGGAGTCTGGGGGAGGCTTCACAATGTCAAGCTTCACTTCCCGACACATGGTTTTCTTAGGCGCCTTGGTCTTCCCAGACATTTTCAAAGTTACATTGCTCACATCACAGTTACAAAAATAGAGCAAAAGCACTCGTCACAAAAGCAGAGTGAATGATGATAACGTTACTGTGGCCAACACTGGTCACATCATGTTCACTACAACAGAGGAAAAACACTTTACAGTCACAAAAACAGCAAAAAATCACCGACTAATAATTTCATTGAGCTACACAATCACTGCTACATGCAATCACTATGGAGCAAAACTTGGTACTGTAGTAGACTGGGCGGCCACATGGCCGTGATTGGGGAGACCGCAGCTGACAAGTAAATTGAGAGATGCGTCCATGTTGACCATTGTTCATGTGGATTGTTTACATCGTCGTAGAGGGTGGTCTTAATACATCACCATCGTTAAAGTGGAATACCATAGATAGGGGGCTACCTGTATTATTTATTATGATATATTAACCGGTATATTATTAGTGAAACCTCTATTTAACGGACTATATTATGCAAGAGGTTTGTCCATTAGATCAGTCTGTTATATGGAGGTTTTACTGTATTTAATATGACTTGTTTTATGTTTCCTGGCATTTTACTCATTTTGACAGTGTTGTTGTTATGTATTTCTATAGTAAATTTGTTATTCTCATACGGGTCATGCTATGGTTCGGTGGTGGGCAGTGTAACTCCCACTCGCTGGAACTTCTCACACACACACACACACACATTACCTGCTAAACACTACACCACTTTGTTGATGTTGTATACTTTTGTTAATTTATTGATTATTTATTTTACTTGTTACTGTATTTATGAATGCTAAGTAATTTAAAATTCTAATTTGTATTTATAACCTCTCAATGTCACGTGAAAAAAAATCTTGAAGTGCCTCCTTGCTATCTGATGTTAACACTCTTGTATGGGGCAAGGAGTCATGCATCAAGCAACCTCTGAAAAATCTGTGTTTTGTCTCTACATGTTCTAATGGCCAAACTCTTGTTAAGCTGAAGTGAAAACATAGCAGCCAAAATATAAAAATATACAAAGGAAAAGACAAGGTATAGTGACATCAGTAGTAGATTATATAACAGAAGCTTCCAGTACTATAGAAAAATGAAATTAAATACAGAATGAATATACAAATTAACATTGAATCTTTGATTTTTTTTACACTGGTTTGAAGGGGCTGGTCTTGTGTGATGTTATGTTGGCTTGATACAGCTGTTGTGAGATAATGAGGTGAGTGTGTAGTGAGTGTAGTTATTACAGTATTTGAATTCATTTGTTATCTAAGCATAACTTATTTATAATGGAGTACAGTACACATAAATGAAACATGCCAATTTTACATATGAACAGGACTAGTTCACACACACACACACACACACGCACAAGGAAATAAACTACATCTGTACTGAATCAGTTTATTACAATGATGATTACAGTAGCTTCATTATGACTCAAACAAAGCAGTGCCAGAATCTGCTTCTTAATAGCAAGTCACTCCACTTATGATGTATAAAACAGAAGCTTATAACAATTATGGTATGTTAAATCAAATAGCAAATTTTTACATGACCATTCCAAAAAAAATGGCATAATTTATTAGTTATAATAGAGGGCAGCAGAGTAATTAAATAATTACCTGTATTAACAATCAAGAAACCACCTATGATGGATGATACATCATAGAAAACCCTGATGTAATCTGTAGTTTAAAAAAATATTTCCCATTAAAAATGGATACCTGACAAACTCTAAACTAACCTACCAATAGAATATCTACAACACTCCTTAATCCTAATTCACTTCTTTGTACATAGTTAAGTCTCACTAAGACTATTTAGCAGTGTGTATCAGCATATTTCATACCTATCAGATCCTGATTTCGAAAAACAAAAAATAATAAAAATCCAGCACCTCACTAAACTGAACACATAATGATCCAAGCTTCAACAGATGATAGAAAATGATACAAAATTCTTCACTCTTATTTACAATATCTCTCTCAAGACATTAACAATAATACATTCAAAGATGAGTCACCTCAGTAGCTCTATGCGGACGTGGTGTTTACATTACCTTACAGGAAATATAATAAATAGTTTAGAGCCCAAGTCTTATAACTTTTAGAGGAAGAAATTCCAGAACAAATTGCTTATGCTAAACAAAGGCTAAAAAATGCTTGTCCCCCAAAATTATATACTGTATATATACAGTATTTAATTATAGACTAAAAATCAATAAAACCTTGAACTATTTTGCTTCATTGAACAAGGCAAAAGGACATACAGTGCTCTTCCAAGACAGGATGTGTATGGTTTTATTTATAATTTCCAACTACACCCCTGTATATAAAACATCCCCATTCAGGCAGTCAGTAAATGTTAAAATTTTAGAGTTTTCACCCACAAAACATGTCTTGACTTCATGTTTACTACTACTAGCAGGCTCTTGTAAAGCGCAGACCATGCTATTGGGTTCGGGATTTTGAAGACACTAGACATTGGTTGCATGTGATTGTCCACCCCCAACCCACCATAACTACTGACCATCTCTACCCACTGCCATGAAAGTGAGAAGTGAACAATCATTAGCACCCAGCCATCAACGCCAAGGGTGTACTGAGTCTTGCCCCAACAGTATGGCCAATTGGTGCAATACAAGAGGTGCCTAGCAACAGCCTCAGTCATAAGATGGGACATCTGTGATCAATCCTCTATGTTTAGATAATGAATAATCTAGTCAGAGTTAACCACCCCACTCAATGATCTTAAAAAATGACTCATAATATTCTTGTTGCATTATAAGAAACAATAAGTATTTAAATTGTGGGGCTTCACTTTCATTACTGAAGACAGGTCACAGTGAGACAAATTGAAAATTAATTTGAGAAATGGTAATTACGTATCAAAGTGCACACAAGAATTGGATGCATATTGGTAAATGAAGAACATGAATATTCATCTGACAAGTAACAAGACTTTAATTTATCATATACAGTACTACTATAGTGTTACTTGTCATCATAAGTTATAATATTATGATACCCACTCATTATGTACAGTATTTGTCATAAAATTAAATTCTCATTAAGAAATAACTTTGTATAAAACTGTAAAGTGGGAAAACTTTCAACAGAAATTATGGTGGAATACTGAGTTATTTCCTGCTTGTGATTAATGAAATGATTACCTAGTATTACCCTCCCCATGACAACCATCACCTAAATAAGAGTTTCTGAAACAAATGTCACCAGTTAAAGCAGGAGGCTGATGAATCATTGTGCTACTCTAACAGTGCTGGTTCCATCTATCAAGTGAAAGTTAAGTCATATGGTCTAGTACTGCAGGATCAACCTAACATTCAATAAACCTCAAAAAGAGACTGAGAGTCATCTGATCCAAGCTCACTAACCACAAGTGATTTCCTGATCAATAACCTCCATTTATGCCTGGCTCAGATGATATGTTTAATTAACACCAGCTAGAAAAAAGGTCAGGGTTGGAAAAATAGTTTCAAGTGCTTGTGTGGCTATGGACCCCACATAGGGAGCTCACCCTACTGGAGGAAGGGCTAAAAGATCTAGCTATCAAGCTTTGCAAACTTCTCAGTCCCACACTGTCCTTAAGAGATAGTCTGGGCAACAGAAAATATTAGCCTATGCCAACCAACACCTCTTACACAATGAAGGAAATATTTAAGCTCACAGAAAATGTCTGAGGTCAGGTGAGGCAAAAGAAAAAAGATCAAGTCAACCCCTAGATACCTAGGGAACTCCTCATTCTAGTTAAAATGTAAGACTCTTAAAACTAGAACCCAGCCAGCCAATCATCATGGGAGATCATGACTTCCCTCTCAATTAACTGAGAATTCAGAGGCTATTGAATAAAAATGAAACTTTTCCTTGAACTAGCCTTGTTACTTGGGCATAGGAAAAGGAATTAAACCTCCCTTTTCCTGAATGAGCAAATCTGCATTTGGGGTATTTGGTCCAAACCTATCATAAGGTAAATGGCACAAAAGACAAATTGAACACCCTTGTGTTCCACAGTGTGAGTTATCAATGAAATGTTGAGCCAGTAGACCTGGAGGGTTTTCCAAATTATTTTTCTGAGCAAGATCTATCAGATGTTGAGTTAGCCCACCAGTGACATTTCACAGCCCATCCTTCCAACTGTTACACTGCAGGAGGCTAACAAGCCTCGACTCACTGAACACTATCATTATCAATACAACATTAAGGGACTCTGAAATATAACAATCTAATGCTCATTAATCTTTTTATCCACAACTTTATGCTACATACAGAAGGAAAAGTTACTCATTAAACCAAGATAACAGCTACAGGACTGAGAACATGAGGAGTAAGTAAATAATCCTACATGCATTATTTCATTATGATGACTCAATGAAAAAATTTATTTAAAATATAAAACAAAATCATTCTCCTTTGTAAGTAACTGTATTCTTACAATGCTAACAACAGATGAAGGAATACCTACAATGCAATAGCAATAACTGTACAAAGTTATGGTGCAAGTAAAAAGTTCAACAAACTTGTTACAATGAAATGAGAGCCATTTAAATTTATAAGGGTAAATAAATCTCTTTGTTCTCTTCAGGGTGTTAGCCTTGGTTTATGGGTGTTGCTTCCTTCACTATGGGTAACAATATGTGAATGGTTGCTAGGTCACATCCCAGGGTAAATTTCACATTGCTCTAACTGACCAACTAAATGCAGCCTAAACTGGCCGGCACATACATTGAAAAGTCCACTTAAGATTTGTTTCATAGGCTGCTAAGCCATCCTAGGAAACCCTAAGTGAATACACAACATCCTCTAAATCAAGTTGTTATATGCAGGTTTGTTTATTCCAGGTGAACCAACCAAATCATCACTAAAACAGAATCTTTTAACATTCTATTGTAAATCATACCAGGGAAATGCCTTAGTCTTCAGGATTGGGCCCCAATACCTGATAATGATAGGCAAAATGAGTTACTGGCTATGAAAGTGAAAAACAACAAAAACATTTAAACAAGATATAACAATTATTAAACTCAACTTAGAAATAATAAAAACACTGGGAAATGCATAGATCAGCCACAAACACTGCATAGACAAAGAAATTAACTCTGAAATGAGGAGTCACAACTATCAAAGAGATGGTGTGTGTGTGAGAGAGAGCGCAAGTTATAAATGGAACTGAATGCTACCGATGCCAGGAGAGGGACATGCATGCTAGTATGACGTTATAACCCACTGCATTCTGCTTAAAATGGTGACATCTTTCTGAAGGTCTCTTGCAATGACTTGTCTGTGATGGAAAGGGATAACTGATTCATGAATTAATGAATGTAATACAAAAGTTGCTTAGAGGAAGGAATTATACTGTGAATGACAGCAGAATACCCTTGAGCTTGATGTCCTCAGAGAAACATTTTTACTTAACATATCAGAACATCAGCAGTTAGAGGATCATGATGTAAGAACAATAATAAAGTGTATCATTCTATATGCATCTCTATCATATTATCTGCAACATGAATCTTCTTTTTCTAAAACTTAAAAACTGATAAATGGATAATTAAGTACAGTACTTCTCTACCAAATGAAAAGATCATATTCATATCATTCATCTATGTTGACCTTCTTCTCTTACTACAACTTATGATTGGATAAAGAAGAGCAAACTTGTTAAGAACAACGTGAAAAACTGACACAACAATTTAGAATACCGTGTTATTCTCAATCCGAAATCTTTAAGAATCATTAATAAATTAAAACCTAATTTTTAAATGCTGAGTAATACCAGGAATTAATAAATCTTCTAATTCATCAACAGGTTTAGACACACACATTCACCATAATCATCCTGAGTTATTATGTGCAACACTTCACAGGGGAAACAATGGATAACCTCCAAGAAATCTTTCTCATATCAACTGAGACTGGGCTTACTCACCTCTTCTTGTACTCAAACTTTCAATTTACAATATTTTACATTTCAGAAGATGAAGTAAAACTGTTTAGTATTTTAGGTAGTTTTCACTTTTTTTTACAAAGTTTTCATTCACTCAAATGTTCCATTCTCTAAAGGTTCTGACTTTAATTTAGCAGTGTCCCTGATTTCCCTCATAGGAAAGTCCTCATCGTCCAGGTCCACGCCAGCCACCAAAGGCCGGATCACCATCTTGATTTGATTCAACGCTCTCTGGTAAACATTGTTGTCCTCCTGGAGAGAAAAAGAATATTGAATAAATAAAAAATATATATAAGTAGAACCTCGATAAATTGGAGGAGGGGTGGAGATAACACTGCGTATCTGAAGTGTTTAAAGAAAATTAGTTGTTATGTTATTACTGCACTTCAACAACTAAGGTCTTTAAGTGTATAACAAGGTTATTAACCCTTAGGCCCCGGGTGACATTCCAGAACATCCGAATAGCGCGCTCCGGGTGACATTCCGGAATGTCCGCCTATTTTCCCGCCATTTTTTTTTTTACCGTATATACTCGTCCATAACCCCCCCTCGTTTATAGGTCGACCCTGATTTTTTTTACCAAGAAATCGTTAATTTATGATATTCCTTGTTTATAGTTTGACCCACGTTTTTGAGGGTAATGGAACAACAAAACCTTCAGTAAAAACGTTCTACGTCCTATAAACTGAGGCTCGCCGTGCCTGAAACACGAGTGCCGAAGGCAAATTGTTTACCATTGATTATTACGACACTTTACACTGAAACGCGGGTAGTTTCAACAAAAATATTGTATATTTCCATTCAAGTATTTATTCAAGTCAATTAGAAAGGAATATTATTGTAATACAAAAGTTTTTTAACTAAATCATTCGAAAAGCGATTACGGTAACATCTTTTGAACGAAAGAAAGCGAAAGTCATTGTTTTCTCACGATTTTATCCCACTTTCCACTGTAATACGTACGCCATTTCAGCAAAAATATTAAATTTCTGTGAACGCATTATGTCAAGCACAGTATGAATAGAATATCATTGTCAGATAACAATATTTTAACCGAAAACTATTAAAAAACGAGTAACATCTCAAGAACATCGGAAGCTTAGCTAAAGTCTTTTGTTTTCGTCATGTCTTTTATCCTATTTTACATTGAAATACATCACGTTTCAGCAAAACTACTATTTATTTCTGAGAATATATTCATTCAGGCGCAGTTTAGGTCAAATATACGTGTGATGTGCATGTGTTCTGGGTATCAAGTTCTATATACAGGAGCGAACACAAACACCTGTAGAGTTTTCGTAGGTTCTATTTACTGGATAAACAGATATGTACATAAGGGAGGTGGCGCTCCTTGCTCTGTATGGGGGTCAACTAGCCTCTAGGGCGACATGTGGCAAGTGATACATTAACAGCTCCCATATGTCGCCAGGCACATTAATTAAGCGTGTGGGACATGGTAAATACATTGCCACACGCTGCTAGCTAGGCTGAATAAATAGTGTATATAAATGGAGCACATACATAATATACATACATAATATACTTACAGCATACATAATATACATACACGATGTAACAGTTTTTTAACTGAAAACAATTCGAAAAACACGTACCCTCTAGCCCTGTTCAAGGAGAGGACTGGGAGAAGCTGTTTGGTGCTGCAGACGATGACAAGGAAAATGATTTTGATGGATTTTAATGAAAATATTCAGAAATATGGTATTGTAGTATTTATTCAAGTCAATTAGGAAAGACTATTATTGTAATACAACAGTTTTTTAACTGAAAACCATTCGAAAAGCGATTACGGTAACATCTTTTGAACGAAAGAAAGCGAAAGTCATTGTTTTCGTCACGATTTTATCCCATTTTCCACTGTAATACGTACATCATTTCAGCAAAAATATTACATTTCCGTGAATGCATTATGTCAAGCACAGCATGAATAGAATACCATTGTAATATAACAATATTTTAACCAAAAACTATTAAAAAAACCGAGTAACTTCTCTTGAACATCGGAAGGTTAGGTAAAATATTTTGTTATCGTCATGTATTTTATCCTATTTTACATTAGAATACATCACGTTTCAGCAAAACTACTATTTATTTCCAAGAATATATTCATTCAAGCGCAGTTTAGGTAAAATATACATGTGATGTAACAGTTTTTTAACTGAAAACGATTCGAAAAACACGTGTACCGTCTAGCTGATACTCAACAGCTGGTGGTGCGTCATGCGTCGTTGTAAACAATAGGAGGTTGAAGTAGATTACCGGGTATTATATTAAGTGTGAAAAATCGAAAAGGTTTTTATTACCGGTATTTTTTGTAGATCAATGAGAACTGTGATACCGTATATGATATGATAAGTTAGCCTGTGCTAAGAACTTCAACATAGACTAGTGAAAGAACGTTGTAAGGTAATTTAGCCTATTGTAAGTTGGTGAGCTTCATTTGCTGAAGGAACTGCACAATTTTCATTACTAATTGGTACATATTTTACGTTTCCATTGTTTACTGGCAGTAAATGGTAAATATTTTTCATGTCTGAAGCTAAAAGTTGCTCCTCGCCCTTCCCATCATGCACGGGTTCAACCTAACAAAACTATTACGCATGTATAGGACGACCCTCAATTTTTTGCCTAAAAATTTGGTCTTAAAAACTCGAACTATACACGAATATATACGGTAATTATTTTTGGAAAAGTTTATTTATTTTTCTTGATTTAACCCCGCTGGGGGGGGTACTGCCAGCAGCACCCTAACCCAGGGTTTAAGAGTTAAACGAATATTACATCAACAATAAAAAAATAATATGAAATAACTCTCTGGGTTGAAAATCAGATACAGTATGTAAGTCTGGTTGTCACCGAGATGATAGTTATTTTCTGTAAAGTGTTTTATTTAAGTAACCAGAGAATTTGTCTTATGAATAAAGAGAAAACTGTAAACTGTACAGTACTATTAAGAATAAAATAAGAACAAATAAGTGTAGGAGTATATTGTATGTGGAAGACGAATGTTTATCTGGGAGCAGCTGGCAGAGGGAGGGGGGATAGCATGGGTGGGTGGCTCCCTCCCCCTCTCTCCCACAAGATTCCTTTAATACTTCTTTATGCAATTCCACCACAATTCTCAAATAATTTAGGATCATTTGGTGCCAGGTTGATAAAATATTATCCTAAAAGAATCAACTTTCCTGAAAAAAGAATCCCACACTGAACACTATGAGTCAATTGTTTACAAAGAGCAAACAGCTGATTGGCTTACCACAATTTCTGTCTTCAATAGTTAGTAAATTAGTGCAGAACAGTTGTGTATTTATCATCACTTAATAACTACTATCGTAGTGTATTTATCATCACTTAATAAGTAATATTGTAGTGTAAAGTATTATGCATCTGCATGTACCCTGGTATATTCATTAATCATTTGTCTGAATACAAGTAGCCAAACTGAGTCATCATATAACACTCAAAGGTGGTACATAACATTTTTAAGAGGATATCTTCATTTCAAATACTATACAGTGTGTTATAGTGACCCCTGACGTAAGCTGGTCTACTGAAAGCTCACACGAAAGCATCTTTGTAAACAACCTTCTGATACAGCTTATCCTTTATTTTCAAGTCATATTACAAATTACATACAGTATTGTATTTTTCTATATTACTGAAGATGTTACATTAATCATGATGAACCATAAACCATAAGAGGCCAATCATAGGAGAATATAATACTGAATCAATAAATATATAGACCTGACATATGTGGCAACACCTGACCAGCCCCAGTCTGCTTACAGTGTCTTAGTTCTCAGTAGGCCTATAAAAAATCTCATTAGACCAGTGTACAGTATTCAGTAAGTGTTGTTCATTTCATCAGATTTTTTTTTATTTCATCTTCCTCATTTCTTTTTTTGTGTGTGTGTGTATTTTTGGTGACCAGAGCACATTTCTGTATATTAATTCGCAAAGAAACTCTCAATGTTTCCTGTTCCCATGTTTGAAGGAAGCTGGTGGGCGCTAACACCTACATTACTTAGGAATTGAATGATATTAGTAAGAGATGTAGTACAAGGCAATTTAAGAAGACCATTTCATGATAATTTTTAATCAGAATTGGGATTATTCTTATTTTATTATGACTTTAAGATCACACTGTTGGCAAAAGAATTTAATCGACAATGCCTATGAATATGGGTGTGTGAGTAGTGTCTGGTTTTCTCTACATAAATATAAAAATTATGTTTTCCTCTACCGTTAATTTCTCCTCCATCTTCATCAATCCGTTATGATTTCCTTATCTGAAGAAGGAGAATCAAGAGAACTTTTAATATTCTAATGAAGCATGACCAGAGACCTTTGATGATGATCCATAAGGCAAAAAAAATTACTGCATGTATAAAATCCTTTGTGTGGTGAAGGAAAAGCCAAGATACAGCGAACAAAACTTAGTAAAATACTTACTATAGCCTTTTGAAGTTCCTCTTCCATTGATTTTAGATTAGAATTTGTACTTTTAAGCTCTTTATTCAGCTTACTGCATTTCTCATACGACTTCTTTGCTTCATCTTTGCTGCACACTGAAACAAGAATACTCTATTAAAGCTCTTTATTGCAAGAGTAAGAAATTAAAGAAATGGGCATTATTCTCTTTCTCTCTCTTTTGAGCCTTTTCACACTTAATGTATACTGATGCCACTGTTATTCACTCATTCATTCATACTGCCTGAAAACTGGGATCTAATATGGTGCTCCCCTCCACAACAAGGCCCCAATGTCTGGCTTACTTCTGTTGCTTCACACACTCTCATCCTCCTCATTTTTTGTGCATCCTTTATCCCATTCTTCCATCTTCTTGGTCTTCTCCTCTCCTTCCTATCACACACCTCTTGACTTAGGCTCTCTTCTTATCCATGATTCACTCCCCATTTTCTATACTGTATTTTTTCCCTACCATCTGAGCACTTCTTCATAACCTTATTTCTTAACTTATTCTCGGCATCTTCTTCAACCCAAGACTGTCCTGGAGTAACTTAATTCAATGGTATATAATTTATTCCCTTCTCTCTCATCCACAGTCTGTGTTTCCTAACCATACAATAATAAAGTTAGTTGTGGAATTCTTTTGACATACTGTAGTTCTCTTTCTCTCATCACTTCTTAAAATTACTCTCCTTCTGCTGCTCTGTGATTCACTTCAACACACACATCACTATTTCCCAACACAGGGCAGCAAAGTGCATTTAGTGGTGTGGTCGAGTAAAAAAAATATAATAAAACTTCCCTTGTCCTATACAGCTCATTATGATTGAATTACTATTAATTATTTTTTTCTTAAGTTTAGATAAGATTTGTCATGTCAACTTTGAGATAAAATTAAAAAAATAAGGTGAAAACACTACGGAAATAATTTACCAGCAGGGAGGCAGAGCCATAGACATGCAGCGTGTGTGTGCCGAGTCTTTCCCAAACATGAGAACTAAGATGCGGTGAAATAAATAAACACAAATAAATATTATAAACAAAAAATAAAAATAACTTACTTAGGTCCTTCTGTAATTCTTTAAGTTTTTCTTCTGTGTTGCTTCTGGCATTTTCAGACTTTTCCAGCTGTTGAATCAACTTGCCGATGTCCACCAGTGAGCCTCCATATTTCACAACTCCTGTAATAACCACACACGAAAATATTCCTTATAAATTTTCTCGTCCTATGTAAGCGATGGGATGGGTTTTGTTGCTCCTGAAAACTTTGCCCAGAGAGAAGCACATTTCTACACTAACACAAAAAAATACATTATCATCCTGTGAAAGAACTAAGCAAGCGTGGAAAATGGCCGTGTTGATGGTGATGATGAAAACCAGCAACTTCAAAATAGAGGATTATGAAAAACAGATATAATTAAATACTGTACAGGCAGAATGACAGTTGACTCTTACACTAACTGTCTCCTGTCATTTCTCCTTATTAGATATTTCTCTTTCCTCTGATCTATCACATACAAGTGGGAGTGAAGATAGCACCATCTAGTATCTACTGAGGTAAATAAACTCTATTCCTTACTAAAAAAAAGAGAGAATGAAGCCAAAGAACTGAAAAAAGTCCCTTGAATAACACAGTGAATAAAGAAAGAGTTCATAAGACCTTTGCACAGGTGACTACTGACATCAACAGGACCTAGATAAGTTAATGATCTCTTAAGTGCAGGTAACCAAATCAGGGACTTAACTCACCCAGCAGAAAATATTAATTCAAACATACCTGTTGCAGATATCAAAGGTTCTTCTTTGTTACGAGAGTTTTTTCTGGTGATTATCTTCAAATCTCCACACACCGCTGCAGCAAAGGCGTCCGTGAACAGTGGCATCACAGTGTTGTTACCTGAGGAACACGAGGACCAGTCTCAATCTTTTCATTTTTTTTCCATAGTGGCAAATAACACCTGTCTCCCTTAGATAAAAGCCAAACCAAAGATAGAAATCTTCACCAACAAGTATTTCACACATTGTAGTAAAGAATTTGACAACTAAAATCCACTAATGTCAGATATCATGGGTCTAAATCAATGGCTTTAGAGTGCAGATGAAATTTTAGTTGTTTAGTTAAGATATTACAAAGGTCTGGAGCCATGATGATACTATACAGGATGGAGGTAGGTACTGTAGTCATCTGAAACAAAGATTACACTAACTTTACCCAACATTATTTCCCTAATTTATCTTTTCAATCAATTTAGCTTTTTAACCACTTGTGTATGAGATCCCCTCGGTGATGAATAAAATCACCTGGGGAGTTGAATAAAAATAATAAAAGCAGTGACTCCATAGTAAAGGGGTCAAAGAGGTTAGCATATGTTCCCTCACATACCCTTAGCCAAGGCCTCCAAGTCTAGGATAGGTGGAGGATCCCTCGGCTTGTCCTTGTCATCTAGGGAAACATCCGTCAGTTTCCGGTAGTGTAAGACGTCTCGGGACATAACCTTTGACATTAGTTTCTTTTGCTGGAAAAAATAATTATGAATAATATAACAAAAATGTCTACTTATACAGATATATCTAACAACATTCCAAAATTCAACTCTGACTACATCATTCAAAATGCTCAATAATGATGAAGAAATCCTTAATATACATCCCAAACAACCATGGATAAGGCTGCTAAAAATCCTAACCTGTGCTCTGGAAAGGTTCAGGCCAAGCATATTAATGATGTCCTCTAAGTCGCGGTCGATTATATAACCCGTATGTGTCTGGTCGAAGTACACGAACGACAGGAGAAGAAATGGGTCAATGGTGAACATCTTCTTCTTCTCTTTCTTCTCTCTTCTTTCTCTGTCTTTCTTGTCGTCCTTCTTCTTCCCATCTTTACTGTCCTTACGATCGTCTTTCTCTTTGCTGTCTCCACTCTTGGTACCAATGGTTTCATCTTTGGAGTCTTCATCATCCTGGACAAAATAATAATTAGTTGAAACTTATTTAAAGGAGAGAGAGAGAGAGAGAGAGAAAATAGACATCTACCCAGGAAGTGAGAAATGCTAAAGCAATAATTTGTCCTTTAATTGGTATCTGAAGGAGAGTACATTGGTAATACTCTACTTACAATTTCATCATCATCTTCATCCTCCATCTCCTCATCTTCATCCTCTTCCTCTTTCTTTTCCTCCTTCTCCTCTTTTGATTCTTCTTTTTCTACCGATTTCTTTTCCTTCTTCTCTACTTCTTTTTCCTCTTCCAGTTTCTCGTCTTTCTCGTCGTCTTCTTCCTTCTTCTCTTTGTCTTCTTTCTTTTCTTTGTCATCTTTTTCATCCTTCTTCTCCTTGTCTTTCTTCTCTTTGTCCTTGTCCTTCTCTTTCTTCTCTTCCTTTTCTTTCTTCTGCAGGAATAAAAAAATAAATAAATTATCAAATGGAATAAAAAAGTCAGAGTGGGTCGCTAAGGCACGTGACTCGATAACAAACCCTTCCACAATCCTGTCCAGAGTCATCTCCATCTTGCCACTAAAATCCTGTCACTCACACAAGTTAGGAATTCTCTCTATTAACAACAGCTAATGTATTCCAGAACAAATATCTAGTGGAGAGTAAACCAATCCCATTTGTTGCCTTTTGAAACTCTTAGCCATTCAAGTCATACAATAAAATAACATTATCCTCACTTCCTCCTTGGCTGGCTTCTCCGGGCACTCGTACAGGGCGCGATAGATGCGGAAGGCGAAGTCTCTCATCAGCATTTCGTTGAACAGCTCCGCAAAGAGACTGACTTCAAAGGAATGTTCTTTGTTATCTTCCTGAAAAAATAAATAAATAATAGATAGGATTGAATAATTAATGAGTGACATTTAATAAACAAGTAAGAGATATATATAGCCTGAAAGATCACCTGCCACAACACCCCAGCCACACACACAGTTACTTCTCATGTCGAACTTAAGTATGGGAAGCAAACTCAAATCCTGGCTTAGCAGTTGTTTCAAGAGCCACCAAGCCAACACATACACTGAGATAAACCCTGGACTACTTCTCTTGACTCTAGGAACTCCTGAGTCATAACCTTGGGATTCATTCATACAGATAATGAAATTCACTTTGGGTGGAGAGGAATTCCAAGTCACTTGTCTCCTCCCTCAATATTTGCTGGGATTTCATATACTTCAATCCTTTGTTTTATAGCCTACAGGTCATTTGTCAAGTGAACTACAAAATAGTAAGTCAGTTTCTGGTCAGCTTGGGTAAGTCACAGCAGTTGAAGTTCTCCTTATAACATTACACATCAACACACCTTCCTTCCCAATTAACTGTCGTCTTGACTGAAGCCCGTATAATACGTCTCATTTTAAACTAAATAACAAGAGTATACTAAGAGTATTTATAATCTTTACCGACCATTGACACTTGGTACACTCACCTGTCTATAATCCAGAAGCACGGAGAGGGACATGGTGGTACAGTCAAATTTACCGGACTTGGCGGTGCGAGATGGATGCACAACAATCATGGGCTGGTCTGGAAGGGTGTACCGCTTCTCGAGTAAATTTCTTTCCCTCTCCTCCGCCTTCTTTTTCTGAGCGGGAAACATAAAATAAAATTATCACGGCCAATTCATATCATCTACTATAAATCACATCCTTTTTTTTAGTTGGTAAAAATATTAAAAACCAATAAAATATATATTTGCATTAAAATCAACAGGCTTGTAAGTGAAGAGGGTTTAAGAATGATCCTCACTAAATCTCAGTCTATGAATATTGAGCTAAATTAACAGGTCAACTCACAAGACAGGGATCAGCCCATCGCAGGTAAGTATGTTCATAATAACTCAAGTCATGTGTTTATATTCACAGTTATTTTATTTATTTTAAGTCTTCATATACATACTGTACTATGAAGGAGGGCGGCAAGAATCAAGAGTAACTATATACCGGTACATATTATCCATTCACTGGCAGTAAATTCCTTCCCTCTTACCATTTTTATGTGTAGTTCCTTCAAATATGTTTCCATAAATATACATCAAAGTGAAAAAGATCAATTTTACTAACCTCTTCCTCCTCTTTCTTTCTCTCCTCCTCTTCTTTTCTCTTACGTTCTTCCTCTTTCTTCTTCTCCTCCTCTTCTTTTTTCTTCACCTCATCTGTTTCAATATTTTCAGCAGTTGCAGCTTTCTCAGACTCCTCTTTCTCTTGTTCATTTTTCAAAATCTGGAGAAAAAAGAAATAAATTTGCTTCATGTAATCGTGACAACACCAAAAACATGCCAAGGCTAAGTTTATTTAATCCACTGTCTTACATAAGGGGGATGTGTGTGTGTCCAAGTAGCAGCAGTGAGTGTGTGAAAGAACTGGAGCAGATATAAAATGATTCTTGAGGAAAGGACATACTGTGGAAGGAGAGCATCACATCTCTTAAAACAACAACAAGAATGAATGACAACCAACGAAAAAAAAGAAGAGAGAGAGAGAGAGAGAGAGAGAGAGTGTGTGTGCGTGTGTTTGCTCATTTCGTAGCTACTGTACCTTGCAATAATTTAGGAAAGGCTCGAAAAAGAAAAAAAAGAAAATCTGAGGTTGTAAATCGGGTAAAGGATATGGCACTCTAACATGTTACTCTTTACTTATATATCAAGGATTAAATATGTTCCAGAATCCTCCAGGAATATAAAAATTAACAAATATCATTTAAGTTTTGCTTAGAATGATTTACTGTACCTTCAATAACTGCTAAAATAAAGAAGTAACACTCAATAATAATAATAAGAGAGTCTAATAAACAAAAAGTATACTACAATACTGTACAGTTCAGTAATAAATAATATATTGATGTTGATTATTTTATGTACAAATAATATGAGAGGATGCAGTACAGTTACTAACAAAGAAGATATTGCTGCACATTGTCTTTTATATAATAAGGATGTGTTGAGTACAGTATAATATTTCAAAATATATAAGAACAACTACTGTTTACCTACATGTGATTATTTCTTTAGATATTACCCAAAATTGTTGAGTGGAAAAAGACATGACAGTACAGTACTTCACCAAACACACCTTGAGAAACTAGACGGCATCAAATGACACGAGTGAGGTGGAGGGACAGCTGCTGATGATTGACCGTGAGGTGGAATCATGGAAATGGCTCTGAATTATATATGATGGTGTCCTTCATATATAACTATACTCGTATCTATTCCTTGTGCACTATTACCAGTACTACTGTTAATAAGAGAGAGTGAGGGAGACCCAAATAAACCAGTACAAAACAAATACAAACAAGTCATATATTCATTCACTCACTTTTGTTAGGCGTGCAATCAGCTGTGATTTCAGACCCTTGCTATTTAACATTCGGGCATCCAACTCCGCTCGAAGTTCAGCCACCTGCAACGTGATATAGCTCTCAGAAATGTCTCCATCTACTGACATTGAAAAGAATTCTTCCAGACACACCATACAACTAAAAAAAAATATTACCAACATTTATCTGAAAAAATTGTCTTTATTAAGGAAAAAATAATGAATGTGATGGCACAGGCTTGAGGTTGGATCAGCGAAAAGTGAAAATGTCTCATATACTATACATGAAAGCTGGCCACTAGAGGGCAGTACAGATGAAGTACACTAATTCTGAAGCCTTTGTTAAATAAAGGAGGCAGAGTAACCAGCACTGCACTCCACTGCCTTTAGTTTCCCCAACCATAGTGTTAAGTACCCAGTCACACCTTCGTGGCCTGAGGAGCCTCGGGCAACCATCTGGATAGGAAGCAAACACTGTACTTTACCCTCCAGGCCATCACACCCCAACTGGTTAAGTAATTAATTAAACAAGGGAGGGGCTGTGGAGCAGGTAAACCACAAGATATATAATTACTGTACACACATTACTGATTTCTATGATCACATATAAAACTAAGACATTACCAGTGACACATTAAGGTTCAAACACATTAATAGGAAATGATCATGATATAAGAATTAATAAATGTATAAAGACAAATGAGGATAAAGCAGGAGAAACACATCGGGTACTAATATATGAAGAGTGCTGAGGGGAGGGAAGGATGCAAAGATACATGAGGAGGAAGGTTATATTATCCTGACAACTCATGATATTATACGGCCAGTGAGGGGTGATCAACCAGGATTTTTGGGAGGTTTCACCAGTTGTCACAGGACACCATAAAAAGGCTTGGGGCACACATTCACAGGTTGATCAACACACTGTCAAACTTTTACATAATTCTAGTACTCTTACTCTTCCACATACAAAAAACTCACCTTCATACTCTTAGGGTCTAAGGTGGCATAGTGGCTGGGATCCTTCTTCTTGGGTGAATCCTCCTAGAAAATATGAAAAACAGAACTATTAGCATATGATCCAAACCTGGATATAAATCAACAGTATCAGCAGAACCTAACCAGACTGCCACAATGAATCTCAGGGGAAAGGTTGGTCTATTAGATGTGTTCCTATCCTCACTCACTGCAGCTCGAACCTTAAGAGGGCATGTATGGTGAAGATACAAAGATGCTACACAACAGGGAAATAACACACCTTCAATGGGTGGGCAACTGATATAGCTACAGATCGATGCTGGCTAAATTCAGAGGTTAATGACAATAACAAGAGAATATGAAACACAGAGGTAATATTTAGACCAATTTGGAAAAATGGTGGGATCCAAACAGGTGATATGGAATGGACAGAGGAACTAAAATCCAATAATAAAAAGGTGATGAAAATAGAGAAACGGCTAGTAGAGTCTGCAAGAAAAGGCTGGTGGTGGCTGACTGATGTAGCAATGAATGATAAAAGAGTTGAGAATGGACAGATGGATGATTGTGTCCACCAGAGGTCACACACTCAAGACCCTTGGGTAAGTGACCTTTCACCTTCCCTGACCTCCAAGAAACCTGGCTGCAGCCAAGATTTTAACACCACGTCTCAGGTGTTCAAAGGTATATTTTACACATTGCTGGAGAGAAGACCCATCATTGAATAAAAAAATAAAAAAATGCTGGGATTCCACACTACCTTACCACACAGTCATGTCTAAAATAAATAAAATAAATTAATATTCTAGTAAAGTGATTCATAGAGAAAAGCCAAAATAATGATACAGAGCAACAGAACCAATACAAAGGTATTCTACAATAAATCTGCTCTCCAGACTTGTGATGAGTAAGGTATTATGGAGAGTGAACTTCATGCTTAAACTGCTTTCTCTCCACCAGTCTCTCAAACAGCAAGTTCCAGAATGGAGTTCACACAATAATCAACCTTGTCATCACCACATTCACCATCCATTAAACTATTCAGGATTTATATTGTTTTTTAAGTTGTGACTGCAGCACAGATAACTGGGATAAAGCACAGGGAGGTGTTCTGCAAAGGAGAGTAAACCGTAGAGAAGAAAAAGGTCGGGTGAGTGCCTTGTCTTCCTCCTCCTCCCCCTCCTGATCCTCAGGCTGCTGCTGGCATCCTGCCGAGGAGGAGAGCTTCTTGTCCAGCTGCCGCTTATAGTTGAGGTGGAGACCGTCCCACTCCAGTTTGGCTGGGCAAACGTTCCAAACATCTGGGAGAAATAGTACAGTGGTTTCAACCCGGGCAGGCGAACTCCGGCCCTTGTGTGTGGATTCTCCTCGGCGATAGTAAATCTCCGCAAACCGGTACCTGAGATGGAATGGTGGTGCATCAGGATGCAGCTCTTGGAGACTGAGGGTCAGGCAGTGTTAACATCTACGCGTACGATACAAACGCGCAAGCATTCAAACTCAGCAGAAAATTGTAACACTCTTCCCCTCCTCCTTCACCTGTTCAAATGTAAAAATTGAAACTTTGTTCTATTCTACTTCCTGCTCTCAGCCATGAAGACCTGGCCTGATCAGTGGTTCAACAGTTACAGATGGGCTGGAGTTCATACCTGGAAACCCATTCACAGGCACACACAATCATGGATGCCTGAGATCCTCCACCTTCGATGTTCTTTATCCACTTTCATTCCTTTTCTAGCTAAATATTCATAATGTATAAGCACGAATCCCATAAATATTTACACTGATGACAAATAAAAATATCTGCAACTTACAATAAAATAACCGTAGGGTACAAGGTACAATATTCTGTCAAGGATTCTAAGGTATTCATTAAGTATCGTACCAGTACCGATGGGACAACCTTCTATGGGTCTTTATGATGCCAATCAAAACTGAAGCCAATGTACAGCAAATTCATCACTCAACATCTGCAAACTAGAACTTCTTTTGTTAATAATTTCTGAACATAACGGAGCACACCGGTGAGTGCTGATCACCTGGGGCCTGACTATGAGTAAGAGTAGACTGTAAATTGCTTGTAAGTTAAATAAAGGCCACAATACTAAGTCATTACCCAATCACTGTAGGTGAATGATGCACACCTGACATTGTTTTATTATACATGAGACACACACAAATTATCACCACAGCTAAGCACACAGGTTCTTGTAGAGATAATATAGTTAACTGAAGGTTGGATTCTAATAATTCATTTTATAACCGAGTCACTGAGAAGCAACTCATGTATGTATAATGCTCAATGTATAGACCCAGCCGGAGACCCTAGCTGGGACCTCATCCAACATCAGACCCATGACAACCATCACAAAAAGTTTATAAACTAGAGGACACAACTATCTGGAGTCATGAACTGTGCAACCATAGTATAGACCAGTGACCCAGTGAGAGAACAGATTCATAATACCAACCTCACTTCCAGCAAACTCCTAAGGATTACTGCCCCAAGGATGTAAAGCGTGGGATCAGAGTAACCCTTTCTTAGCTCAATTACAAAATGGGTTATCAGGATCATACCCACACTAATGAGTTTTAGCCACTTTACAGAGTCTCATGTACAGGGGCCTCCCAAATTCGCAGGGATTAGTTTCTCAAAATGGCCGCGAATCTCCAAATCCGAGAATAACATTTGCGGACGGGGAGGATTACATTTTTACTTGTGTACCAAGAAATGTATATTCCCTTTATGCATTTGCCCTTAGGACAATTATTTCTTTTACCTTTAGTATTGTATGTGTGTGTGTGTGTAGACACACACACACACAAAACACATACAAATAATAATTGGAAAATCCTCTCACAAATAATCAAAAGCAAATTTATTAAAAATGTAACAGTCTACCCTCAAGTCTGTGCTCTCTTAATAAAGTAATAAAGCACAGATCTGAGGGTATACTGTTACATTTTTTAATAAATTTGTTTTTGATTATTTGTGAGAGGATTTTCCAATTATTATTTGTATGTGTGTCTACACAAACACACATATTTACAATACAGGTAAAGGAAATAACTGTCTCTAGAACAAATGGCTCCCTGTCCCAGCCGCAAAAATGACGGCAACTTTAAAAGTACCCACAGACATTCTTGGGTACATCCAGGGTGTCATCCGCGAATAACCGAGAACCGCGAAGCATAAATCAGCGAACTTGGGGGGCCACACTGTACTGGAAGAGAAGGTGGAGAGAAGTTGTAAAGTCTGCCTGTTATGTACAATACCCCAACTGGTAACTTATTCTACAGAACAACATTGTAGTCACATGAACTACCCTGAACTATACAGACCTCATTTAACATCCAGACTATAAGGAGAACCATTATCTAACCAATAACACAGCTGTAATACTCCCAGTTAGGGACAGTAGCACGGTTCACCCGGTTAACATAACTGGGCGATGTACCAGTGAATAAAAAAGATAAAGCCATCGTAACATCCGGGACACTCGACCCTCGGACACAAGACCTAACTAAAGCTAAACTAAGATGAGTAAAACGAATACTTGTAGATCTAGTCATATAACTTATATACTGACAAGAGAACACCACATCTCTCCCTAAAGTTGGAGGAGACGACTAAACAAGCCTCACACAGTCAAACCATATGACAAAACTCAAGTCTACTAAGCTATTATAGGTAGCTGCCAACGTTCAACATAAACTGTGACTTCTAACCTTTCAATTTCTGGTGACGGTTAACATGGGAGAATATGGCTACACTAGTGTACGTTTTGTCGCCAACATGCGATCAACAACAAGAAGCGTCAGTCCTGTGTCACCATTTTGTTTTGTCGATCACATGTTGGCAACATAATGTATGGTAGTGTGGCTTCAACTTTAGACTCCATATACATTAGTCTCGTGCTTCCTGGGCCCAAATATGAGTCATTCCTCAATGACGTCAAGTTATAAAATTAATATTTCCAACACCAATAAATTTTTTTCCAAGGGTTAAGAATTTGTTCTGTTAAATTATGTACAGTACTGTACAGTGGTCTCAATGAAATTAAATACTTTGTTTCTGGAAATGAATTATTAACTATCTTCAAATAACAGATGTACAAGTTATGGGTTTAATAATAATAATAATAATAATAATAATAATAATAATAATAATAATAATAATTATTAACCATCTTACCCAATCAAAAATGTTAATTTTCTTATTTACTTGATCTGTTTTATAATGTATTGGGTTATCATTATCCCATATCCATGAAAATTGTCTAATTTCACTCAAACAATTTATTGTGCATAGTGTTGACTGTAAACGAACAAGTCAGGACAAAATGTGATGCTAGAAAACTGATCGTAAATCTCTCCTTCTGTCCAGTGGTCACATGAACAAAGTTGAAAATAGATCTTGGTAGAATGTCTAAAGTTCTCCTCTATTTCTGATGCGTCCACTGTTGTTAGTTAGTCTCCTATTGCTTGACACATTGAAATATTTCCCTTACAAGCCTGAAATGATTGATGAAATTATAGGTATCTCATAAAAAAAAGCAGAGTGAAAGATAATATATGAAAGCTGGGTAAGATAGCAGTACAGTAACCATAAATTACCAAGTTCATGGAAAAGATAAATAAAAAAATAATGTTTTTTCATGTGTGTGAGAAGCTTCGAGAATATTCATTACAGAACAGTACAGTACAGTCAACCCTCACTTTACGCGGTCCCACATTCCGCGTTTCCATGTTTACGCGGTGCCCTGCCAGAACCCAGGATGCTCACATTCCGCGGTGCGTGTACCCCTTTACGCGGGTGAAGTATAATTTTTTTATTTAGCTCATAAAATTCATACAAATTATCCGGCCAGAATATAATTTACATTGCTGGAATTCTTACAATTTGATGACCATTTTGAATATAAACATCATAGATTTTGCATAAGACATACAAATTTTAGATATAATGTTTACTCTGAGTAAATATGTTATCTTTTGTGCAAAATATATGACATTTATATTCAAAATATTCCTGGTCTTACAAGGAATCCAGCAATGTCAATTATATTATCCTAACTTTAGTTTGAGGTATTATTTATTACTATACCTTAAAATCCAGTGGTTTTCCCCCAAAAATTTCTCAGAGAGGGAAGAGCCAGCGAGTGTAGTGTGAGAAGAGGGGGAGGGAGTTGAGTCCATTATTTGAAGGGACATTAACTTGGCGACTGTATTTCTCTTAAGTATTAATTGTGTGCATGTACCATCATAAAATTAAGATGTTATTTTTACTAGAACATAGGTATTGTGTTGGAAAAAGTGGAGTTTGGGGGTCAGCTGGTCTCTATTTCATTTAATCCCATATGTTATGTTATTCACTTTACGCGTTTCTCACTTTCCACGGTACCCTGTGGGTTACATTAACCGCGTAAAGTGAGGGTTGATTGTACATGTAAATGGTAATTAATCTTACTCACTTTACAAACAGGGATACCCATGCTAGACCCCCCCACCACCACCACCCATCTCCTCCTCCAAGACACACACACCCATAGCACATTTCTTTTAATTAATCTATCTATGGTAAACTCATGAAAGGTACAAGTTATGAGGACTGTGCTACCATATTTTCTACCACCCCACTTTGAGGACTCCCTTGTTCTTGTCTTCATTCCCTCTAACTCACCATCCAATCCACCCTACTTGATGACTGTGCAGGAATGGGGTAAATACTGTACTGTAAAGGAACTCTTATACATATTTCCTGCACCTCCCACAGTGCCTCTCGCGCGCTGTAATGAGGCGACTCTGTTATTCTAATATTTCCATCGCCTCATAGCCTTCACATTCTTCCCTCAAGACAAGTGATAAATTTAAAGCAAAATTTCATTGCATAAAATTAATTACTATGTTGTTTTGTTTTGTTTTTTTCTGTTGGGGAAAACAGATCAAATAGAATATTCTTCATAATAAAGTATTTACTACGGTACTTTAAATACAAGTCTACCGTGGACAGTATTTTGATAAAACAAGTTAAAGTTTGTCCTGGACCCACACATGTACACACCACTTTAAGTTCCATATATTTACTCCAGTGATTTTTTCCTGTTACATTTCTCAGAATATAATTACTAACGAATCCCCAGTTTGTTCTTACAATGTTCAGGTCGTAAAAGTGTGCAGTAATACAAAGTACAGTAACCAAAGAACTTTGAAATATAGAAATAATGTAGGATGTCTCATTAAACCTCCCGAGTTCCTGACAAAAATACCCAGTCACGCTCCCAACCCAATCTTAGCCACAAATCACCTACATCTTTACCCAGCTGACTAGGAACAGGAACGGAGCCCAGCCATATCTGAGTGTGGAGTGACATACAGCACTATTTCAAACTCTAACCCCTTTACATTTTAAATGACTAATTAATTCAAAAGTTAAATAAATACTGCAGCTCTTTCTGTAAGTTGCAGCAAATGAGCTAAGAATAATATCACTGCAAGTACCTACAATAATCAGAGACTTATTTATGTGCCAGTTAGAACATCGTGAAGAGAAGGTAGTACGGAAATGTTAATTTACCTTCCTGGGGATTTATTGAGAGAAGCCTTAAAAACGGTGTGAGGTATACTGGCCGAGAGGGTCGTCCAAATAAGGAAACAGGAAAATTCTCAAAGTGTTCTCAGTTTAAACAACCAAACACAAAGCTGTAGTTATGAGAGCCACTGATATGTCTTTTCCACATATGTATTATTAAAACACTCAAAAATATATGATATTCCCTTGAAGGAAACATTTTATATATACCCTGTAAGGATGATCAAACAACCTCTGTATGTGGAACACCATTACCACTAGGTGAATGACGAGAGATGTCAGAACAACACTAAGCTGCAACACTACCTTACATGTTGCTATTAAGTTTAGTAGCTAGTCGCCGACCCATCAGGAAAAACACCAATTGAAACAAATGACGGGACTACAGTAAGATGGTTCCCACTAACAGACACACACATTGTTGTTAGGTTGTTACCTACACAAGACACTTGTAAAACTATATGAAAAAATGAACTCCTACTTAATACAACATCAATAACTATAAGTCTCACTTAACCTTCAGGCCAATGAGACAAGAACTTAAGTTATCAGAACTAGAAAAGTAATTACACACACACACATTTTACTGTTATAATAATCAATTGAAATATTTTTCATTTCATATTCTGTACAGTAAAGGTTTTTGAAAATTATAAAACAGTATGAATCCTTTTAGTTCAGGAACCAGCGGCCCTCACCCCTGATGAGGAAATTTTTTGGCTATTTTTTTGTTTAATGTCCAAACCAGTTTCAAGCCAACAGTAGCAGAGACCAGTGAACAACAAACAGTGAATAAAAGATCACATTCCTACAAAACTAAAGGTCAAATAATCATTATTCAGAAGTCATCTCAAAGAAGCCAATATGCCACACTGCAAGATACTGTCCCAGACTATATGGTAAAACCCCAAAATTATTTTGTATTGCAAGAGAAAACCATATCATAAATGACACAAAGTAAACAATACACAAGTGGAGAGAGAACCCATATGAAATCCTCAGGGGGGGCATTCTCCGGGTAACTGCCTGGAACGATCTGACATTGGAGGTAAATATTGCTGGTTGAGGATTATCTCTGACTGAGCAAACTCTGCCCTCACTGAACCAGGCCATAGTTAACCAGCTGTCAGAACCTATAAAGAACTCTAATCTGCTTTATGGAGCACAGAATGACCCCAAGATAGGCTTTGTTATGTAGAAATCTGACTCATCCTTGAAACATAACTTACCTAACATGTAAATTCATAAAATACTCATTTGAGAATCTGTATTTCCTCTTAGTAGCGCTCAGCCAGATACCCACACCTCAGAAAATCAAATCAGTGATCATTTGTCTACTAATTAAATACTGACCAGTGATAAGCATATATAAACTCTTGTAACATGAAGCATATACATTATACCCAGACTATGGGTGTAACAGCAAGTTGTACACCATGGCAAATAGTCTTTTCTTCACATCAATCCTATAAACAATTCATTAAAGAACTTAGCCCCAAGAACACACTACCAATGGATCAGTTTGGAACCCAATTATATATACAGTACAGTATATACCCAGGTTGAGGCACATGCACACTCAAAAGCTTTTTCGTATTAAAGGAATGATCAGAATCAAGAGCGAATATACCATTACATACATATTTCCCCTTCATTCACTGATAATATTTGTTCAATTTCATTACTGTAATACTGTGGTCATGTTCTGCTAAGGAACAATACAGTACAGTACTCCCCTTACCACATAATGCCCCCCCCCCCCTCCACCCCCAATGTCCTTCTGGTTTATACCTGGTGGCATATAAAACCCTATGATGCCAAACTCTCCACTCATTTTAGCCTCATTCTTCCTTGTCCTTCTCGATCCCTCTCCCACCAACCTCTATATTATACCACACTTTTCCCAATTTTCTCAATTCATTTATTTTTCCCGAACCTTGATCCTCCGAGAATTAATGGATGGTCACACATGGTCACAATTCAGCCTTGAACTATAGTCACATTTTTGTGTGTTAAATGGCTCTAAAATAACAGGAAATACTTCATAAAAAATCTCTACATATTAGTTTGTTTGTCATATATAGGCAGCAATCACTAAATGTTTCCTCACTTACAGTTTCATGTTATTTGATTAGGAATTCACTTAAATCGTGTACTCACCAAATCTATCTTTTTTGGCCAATTACCTTGTACCTTTACTTGTGATCTTAATTACAAGTACAGTACAAGGTATACCATGGAAAGGGTACTGTCATTCTATGCTCCGCCATAGGTTGGTCAAGCAGTCTCTAACTCTGCTCCATTTTTACACTTTGGTGGTCAAATTTAAAGTATCATTTTTAAATGCATAATGCAAAGACAGCGTTAAGTTTTCAATTTTCAGAATACTGTACTCTATGTTTTTGTGAATGAATCTATATATATATAAAAATAGATGTTTTATATAATTAAGGTACAGGTTGTACCTCTCTAGTCCGGCATTCTGTGGTCCGGAAACTCCCGTGGTCCGGAACAATTTTAGTTTGCCCATGGAAAAAATTAATTTGAGTCTGGTACTTTCGATGTTTGGCTAAATTATGCCTTATTTACCCTACTTTTTTGGCGAATTACTACCTGTAATAAAGCAACATCCTAATAAACCAACAAAAATAACACAGATAAAGTTAAATAAAAACTAAAAACAACACAGAAAAAGGTTTCATGTTCTACAGCTTCAGCTAGAGTTGAACCTGATGACTTGGCAACTTCGTCATCCGAGTAAAAACACACAACAACATTGGCTGTCCTTATGTTTTCAACTTTACCACCACTGGTGGGTAGAATTTTTGTTTTAAATTCAGAAACATTAATCAAAATATATATGAACAGTAAATAAGTGTTGTGTTCATATTCTTATGTATAGTAATGACAATATGTTTTCACATGTGTGCACTTACATACGTGATCTCACTTTTTTCTTTACTATTAATGGTTAGCTACTTAATATTGTTCCATTTATTAACATTAAATAACTTTACTTAAAACAACCATATTAATTTTTTACATTAATTTTACTAGCTACAACCAGGGTCCTATTTTCTTCAGTTTTATATGTAGAACCAGTCAGTCACTGGTTTTATAATCAACGAAAACAATGTCGTCTCGTTTCCTCGCGTGTTTTAATATTCTAAGTATTATTAATGAATTGTATTGTTCATCTTGCACACATAAAAATTAATTAAATCAAAAAGACATTCAGTAATAAACAATAATGAATTTTTTGTACACAAGAGAAATGACACCATTTACACGATTTGTGCACGTCCGAACGTTGGCGGGCCGCTCAAACCCGTCGAAATTTGAGTTTCTGCCGTCGAAATTTTAAATTGCGTAGTGTTTTTTTTGTGTCCAAATAAAAAACGTCGAATTAAAAACTCACAAAATTTGAGAACCTACCGTACAACATTTAACCCTTCAATATGTCTTCAAAGAGACCACGAAGCAGTGAAAGTGGTGCTAGTGCTTCCAAGCATAAGCACAAGTCACTATCCATCCAGGAAAAGGGCGAATTTCCACGGTCCGGAAATTTCCACAGTCCGGCACCGGTCGGGTCCCGAGGTCTCCAAACTAGAGAGGTACAACCCGTATTGTGTAATAAAATATTTACAGCTCATAGGAAAAGTTTACACAGCAGCTCATCAAAGGATGTGAAGAGACATCCTGAAACAAAGAAGCAATTATGGAAGCAACTCAACTCTATATACTGTACCGCCTTCATTCACAAAAAAATTTATTTCTGTTTAATAACGTTCTACAGACTCTGAGGACTGATGTCAGCCCTCGTGTGAAGTCTATAGGGACAAGTTCTTACTGTTTAGTGGGACAATTCATCAAGGTTAGATGATTGTTTTGTCATGCCAGGTATCTCACTAACAGTACAGTATTCTTGGAGTCAGAGAATTTGTCTTCAAAACATTCATGTAGTTCAGGACCAAAATGAAGTCCATTTAATAACTGGCCACTGACTTTACTGGCCAAATTTAACTTTTTGTGTAAAGTATAACAGGTTCTAACTTGGAAATCTCTGATATGTTGTTAGTCTCTGTTATTTGACCGTAATGGCCACGTTTTACCGGGACAATGCACTATTAAATTGTTCTTGTACTTCCTGTGAGACATAAATATCTTAGGATGTGTCATACGCAATTCAAACTCAATATAAAAACATCACTGGATAAAGATGGAATATTTAGATCATAAAGAGCATTACATGAGCCAGTACAGTAGATGTCAGGTACAGTAACTGGATACAGGCAGGGACACCCTTGAAGTGTGATGGAAAGGCTGTGAAGGAGAATGTATGAAACAGAAATGTTAGACTGGATGTTAGTCTTTGCATCATGTTAATTAATCAGCACGGATTTGTTATAAACGACGTTTACGTTTTCAAAACCGAGTGCTCCAACATATTCGGTCCAACCTACAGCCTACCCCACTTTGGAGAAAATAAAAAAAGATCAATCATTTACTGGGTGCTTAACAAGAGAATTCCTCTAGTTACCTTAACTACTGTATTCTTTTGCTGCCAAAATCCTTATTCTCACCCCACAGCCCTAAGTCCTGTTGTCTCCTGTACAGTCACACCATGCCCTCTTACCCCTGACACTTCACTGCTCAGAAGTCAGTCGTTTCAACCTCCTCACAAACACACACCATACAGGAGAATAGGACCACACAGATGGTCTGAAAACTAGTCCGGAGCATTACCAGGTAGTGCACCCTGCCAGGTCAATGCCTGTTAGGGCTTTGCAGGTGCGGATCGCGGTATGAATGAGAACGTTTGGGTCCTTTTCTGGGTTGGGGCCATCAAGAAAGGGACTCCAGTAGCCACCAATAGCCATAGTCTCGTTCTTGCCCTTGAGGCCCACGAGGAAGTTGATGAGGCGTGTCGGGTGGACAAAACACTCGCGAACATCACTAGGGTCTTCGCTCAGTGCACAAGAACGACGGAAAATATCTTCTAATGCTGGCACTGCCATTAACATCACCTGTTACAAAATTTTCAAGATTTAATGAGGAGCGTCATCATTCAAATACAAATATTGAAATATAAATAAATAAAACTACTGATGCAAACAACAAAGATAAGTTCACAGTTCCTACACCCTAGAAAAAACTATTTACTGCTTATTTACTATGGTGGTTGATTCCACTTTAGGCTGAATACAAATAAAAGTGATCAAGAACTGAATATGAGCCAAGCTATCACATGGGTGGTGAGCACTTGCCCAGAATGAGCCAATCATTTAAATTAGTAAAGACAGAAAATTCCTTTCCTATGTTAAGTCTAGTTGCATCCCTGTAAATGTGGTAAATATTCTTTGGTTATCTTCAACCTGGAAGTCAAACACTTAAACTGACAAAAAAGTTGTTCCTACACTGTATAACAACTGACATCTGGCAAAAGTTACCTCAAATCTTTCCTTTTATTTGACCAATAATAATTTCAAAAGTTATGTGAAAACAAGATTGACCTTCTATTAATATAAATAAATACACATCAAGGTATTCAAGGCTATTTATTCTATCAGAAAATAATTACTTGTGAACTCCCCACTACTGTACTGACAAATGCCACAACACACTACAAGCTCCTTGGACGTCAACAAACCCATTTAACGCACATTCACAGAACCAAAATGTGCTGTGTGACAACTGACTCATTTCTGATTCACTATCTCCCACACAAATGTATTTTCTTTATCAAACCTTTCAAAGAAGGGCTCGAGTTGCTTCCAGGAGAGAAGACTAATTTCTTAAATACTATCCCTAGATCGTGGCTTTCATGGGTACCTTATGACCCAAACCCACAGATAGGATATTAAAAGCGTGTCCTAAACAGGCTAAAGTTATGATGATATGTAGGATTCAGAAAAAAAAGAAGGTATTATTAAGTGTACATTACCTTAGCAGCATAACTATGATTGGCGTCTGGAGCATCATACACTGAGTCATTCTCCAACACTGGCTCAACTTCTTTATTCATGATGTGAAAAGAGACTGGCCGGGGGAACTGGAATGGCCGGTGAGCAGGGAACGTGTCTGACCAGAGAGGGCGCGCCAAAAAGACATCAGAAGGAACGTACAAGTTACTATATCGTTTCTTCAGCTCCAACACATTAGCCTCTTTCCTGAAAACACACACGATCAAGGTAAAGTAGAGTAGAGGGTGCAGCTGAACACTTACAGTAACAGAATACAGTACAGTATTGGTAAACTTGAAATATTAAGAAGTCTTGATTTGGCCTTAAGAGTGATTAGACCTTTCAAATTAACCAACTACAGGTATAGTAAATATTGCATTACAACTAAAAGGAGCAATATTAAAATCCCCTTTTCTAGGTGAATGTAAAACAAGGCTGTTAAAGTTACCAGGAGTCCTCAGGCAGAGCCTCCCAATGTCAGTTTGGATTAATCTGTTACGTAATTCGTTGAATAAACCAATAAACTTCTTATCAGTTTTCACAGAAGAAATTTGCGATGAAATTCCAGAAGTAGAGCTGATATTTAAGGGAAAGGAAGAAGAGAAATTAAAGAATATCACTATCAGAAAAGAGGATGTTCTTAAGAAGATAAATAAACTAAAGAAAACAAAATCCCCAGGGCCGGATGAAATTTTCCCTCGAGTCTTGAAAGAGTGTAGGGAACAGATTAGCGGACCCCTCGTAAACTTATTTACAAAATCATTTAAGACTGGATTTGTGCCAGACTTGTGGAAACAGGCAAATGTAGTACCCATATTCAAAAAGGGAGACAGAGCATCAGCGTCAAATTACTGGCCGATCAGTTTGACGTCAGTAGTGGGGAAATTTCTTGAATCAATTATAGCAGATAGCATCCGATCGCATCTAGAGAAAAGCAAATTAATCTATGACTCTCAACATGGGTTTACAAAGGGAAAATCTTGTCTAACAAATCTGCTAACGTTTTTTAGGAAAGTCTTCGAGGTAGTAGATAATGACGAAAATTACGATGTTATTTACTTAGACTTTAGCAAAGCATTTGACAGAGTACCGCATCAGAAGTTTCTGAGAAAAATTAAGGTTCATGGTATCGAGGGGAAAGTTTTAAATTGGATAAAATCATGGCTCACCGATAGAACGCAGACCGTCAGCGTAGATGGTGTTAAATCTGAGTGGGGCCGTGTAACCAGTGGGGTTCCCCAGGGGTCAGTACTAGGCCCACTCTTGTTCATAATCTACATAAACGATCTAGATACTGGGATCAGCAGTGACATAAGCAAGTTTGTGGATGACACCAAAATAGGGCGGCAAATTAATTCAGGGCAGGATGCAAATGCATTACAGGAGGATCTAAATAAACTGCAGGGGTGGTCTGAAAAATGGCAAATGAAATTCAACACCAGCAAGTGCAGCGTACTTAATATTGGAAGAACAAATATTTATAATGTATACAGCCTTAACAACATCAACCTAGAGAAGTCGACTTGTGAAAGAGACCTAGGGGTACTTGTAAGCCCGGACCTACGGCCTAGAAAACAGTGCGTTAATGTTCGAAATAAGGCAAACAGAGTACTGGGTTTTATATCTAGAAGTGTAAGTAACAAGAGTGCAGAGGTCTTATTGCAACTATATCTTGCGCTAGTCAGGCCACACCTCGATTATGCGGTTCAGTTCTGGTGCCCCTATTATAGAATGGATATAAATTCACTAGAGTCGGTGCAGCGAAGAATGACAAAAATGATTCCGGGAATTTGAAACCTTCCACATCAGGATAGGCTAAAGAAACTTAATTTGCATTCCCTAGAAAGACGAAGAGTGCTGGGAGATATGATAGAAGTATTTAAGTGGGTGAAAGGAATCAATAAAGGGGATATAGATAAAGTTCTTATAATATCCGAGCAGGATAGGACTCGGAGCAACGGATTCAAGTTGGATAAGTTTAGGTTTAGGAGGGAGATAGGGATTAACTGGTTTACAAATAGGGTGGTGGACGAGTGGAACAAGCTTAGCAACTTTGTAGTAAGTGCTGGAACGCTGGAAAGTTTCAAAAGGAGGCTGGATAGATTCATGGATGATAGAGAGTGGTTGTAACTCTCGACAGGAGCTGCCATGCACAGGCCAACCGGCCTATTGCAGACTCCTTATTTTCTTATGTTCTAATAGTATACCCCCTTGTGTTGACAGACTCAAATAAAACATGAGAGTTGTTCTTTAGGTCTCAATATCTGTTTATAGCCATGATTACCTCAGCCAAGTGAACCCCTTCAAGCCTCTTTCTGCTTAATGTATGGAAACAATACACATACAACTTACACTGTATATAAAACTTACATGTGTAATAAAATCTTAGGAACTTGTACATTATAGCGAGGGACTACTCTCATTCTTCTGCGAGGTGGTGAACGAGAGCGCCCCCGACTCCTACTTCGTTTTCTGCTCTCTCGTTTTTCTTCCTTCTCTTTTTCGCTGCGTTCACGGTCTCTGTCTCTCGACGTCCTGGTGCGCTCTTCTCGCCTATCTCGTCTCGGAGAGCGGGCTCGGGGACCGAGACAGCCGCGGGTACCAAAGCTCCCGGGTTGAGTTTCTGTGTAAGGCAAGTTAAGTATATTTGTAAGAGTTAAGACGAACAAACCTGAATTCATTCCAGATCCAAAACAAGATTACAGTGCGTGCCTCTGTGTCAGACGACAAGATACACTACAGTAGGTACACAAGTGAAGGCCTGAAGGTACAAACCACACTGTACAGTATAATATGAGGATGCTTCATCTATTGGTCGTCTCCAGCTGTGCTATCTATATGAAGGCAAAAATAATAAATTAAGAAACAAGTGATAATAATCAAACATTAAAGACCCTCTCCTAACCTACCACTACTGAAATTGGGTGGAGGCACGGCATTATAGGAACCTCCGCGACTATTCATCTCCCTCACTGGCAGGTTGCTGCGGCTTTGGTTTGGGGTTGGAGCTCCTGTGGGTCCAGGAATTACTTGTACACGGTTGGCATTCCATTTAAAAGGCATGTTGGGATTATACGTTGCCTCCACCAACACACGATCTCCCACTTTGGGTGCTTGTCCTTTAACACAACTGCTGAAGAGTAATATGTAAATTAAGCATAACACATGACCACTACTTCCTGCTGGTCAAGAGGAAGGTACATTACTTAGATAGTACAGTATAATGGAAAATATAAATTCATTACTACAGTCCTGTTAAGGTAAGGATATTATTACATACTCTTTCCTAAAGCACATGAGATCATCTTCCTTAACAAATATTACTAGACAAGAAATACAATTTCTCCTCAGTCATACCCTTATCAGACATTAATCTTGTAAAACAGTTTTACTCGCTTGTACCAACTTTGTTGGCAAACATTCTCACACTATAGCAAAAGTTTATAACAACACGTTGACCTTCAATATCAAATCTACAGTAGAATATCTGCACTGTGATTGCTGGCAGTCTCCCCCTCCCTCCTATGGATGCTACAGTCTCCCCAAGTTATTCATTAAATAACATAATTCTTTGATGTCTTGAAACTGAATCGCTGTGACCTAAAATAATGTTAAGCATTAATCAGCTAACAATATGGTGCTGGTAAATCTCTCCTGCAAGCTTGGATATACAGTACAGTGGTCCCTTGGTTAACAAGCGCCTCGGTTAACGAGTTACCTTCCATAAGATTCTTAACTTCGGTTAACGAGCAATCCCTCGATTAAAGAGTTTCTTGCAAGCCGACCTCCACATGTTTTAGCTTGCATTTGGCGGTCCACCAGCTGTAGTATTAGTCCGCCAATACAGTAATCGGTTCTACGGCTTAAAATCCTTACCCTTTTAGTAAATATCAAGAAGTTTATACTATTCCATAATTTCAAAAGTTTAATATTAAATTTTTTAGTCATTTTAACAATTATTGAACATAATTGAAGGTAGGGTCACTAGTTTGTGACACGCCATCCAGCCTGCCAACACAGCATACAGGCGTCAGTCTTTTCAGTGGAGGTAACATCTTGCATGAGACTCTTCAACTAAATGCTTTTTTCTGTGTTTACAAGCAAATTATTGGTCATTTTGAAGTTTATTTTACATATTGACAATATATAATACAGTGCAGTGTTGATTTAAAGAAAATAATCTTGAATTACACCAAGAGAACTAAAATTTTATGGGTGAAATGGCACCATGGGGTGATTTCTCTTCCACCCCAATGCCTTCTCTTCTCCCTTCTCCTCCACCCCCATTCTAATTCCCATCATCATCCAGGAGCCTTCTACATACACACCTCAAAGTAAGTGAACCTTTCTACCTTTTTTGTTGAATTTAGGCAATTTTCGGTGAGCTGGAACCAATTCCCCAAAAACCCATTGAAGCAATGGTTTCGGTTAACGAGCAACCTTCTAGAATGGATTGTGCTCGTTAACCGAGGGACCACTGTATGTAACTTTTGCTAAGTCAAATTACTGATCAGATAAAATACATGTGAGGTGTATTAATGTTAGGTCACAGTGACTGTGTACCAACCTAGATAATAAATCAGAACTAAATCACTAGATAGCAAAGTCAGCCTCTAAGTTTTAAGTCATAGATTGATAAAGTTCACTGGACGGAAGAAGTGAAAACTAATACAGTACTTTACAAAAAGGGACCGTCTGCATCTATATTGTCATCACCATTCCTGATGTGTAGTGTGTTGTTGTAGATGGTCATACAGGTCACTGGACACAAAACTGCATTTTCATTAAAAAATATAGCCTAAAAAAATCCTACCACAGTTTACCCAAGAAAAACAGGATTCATCATCCTTACAAGATTTTTATTTTTGGACAAAACTATATATGTCCACATGATACCTTAATACAGTACTGTACATTCTTTTCATTAGTTTTATCTAAAGATATAAACTGAGCAAGAATACAGTACAGTATTCTCTCTAGGGAGACACTAAGGTGCATGTCACTGAGGAATTTAAAATCAGGTAAATTGCTTAAATCACACTGGCAGAACTGAGCAACCAAGTGAAAATAGAGATTGGAAATTGGGCCGACTCACACCCAAAGGAGAGCTTAATGCATTACTGATGACCAAATTTGTGCCGTCTGGTGAGTTCTGCGACAATAATCAAAGAATTTCAAAACACACTACGTACTCTTTAAATTACAGGGAAGAGTAGCATTGTTTAGCATCCATATTTTACATTTTGCCCAGGTATACCTCATTGTACATTGTCTCACATATACTGTACTATATGTTGATAAATGAGAATTAATATTATTTTTACCAAAAAACAAAAATGACAAACACAACAGCCTCTGAATGCTGAACAACTGCCTACTTCCTCTGCTACAGCATTGCCAGGCTTACTTCAGTAATGTAAATATGTTTTATTAAAAACTTTTAATATTTTTTCATAAATCATGACCATATTTTCTATACAAACCCAACAGATATTAAGATATTTAAATATAAGTCATCAGAACCCCATGAGAATTTCTGGAATGAATTGGCCTGGTCCTGCAGATTCCAATAAGACCAATGACAATGGTCACACAGAGTGCACATCACAACATGTTAAACTTCAAAGGAACGATAAAACTAACTGCTGGCTTAGTACCAGCCACTGTATCAAGGGTTTCTCTGGTTTAAAACCAATAAATTTGATGATGACTAAACACATTAATGTATAATAAAACTAAGGTTACAAAAACTAGACACCGACCATTACAGTACAGTACATGCACGGTCAGCTGTGTGAACAAAACAAAATGCCCATCTAGCCATATAAGAAATGAAACAAACACATACAGTGACCCCTCGTTTAACGAACGCCTCGGTTAACGAAATTTCGGTTAACGAACTGCCTTCCACAAGGATCTTCAATTCGGTTAACGAACAAAAATTCGGTTCACGAATTTCTTACGAACCGACCTCAACATGTCTTCCCTTCCACTGGCCGGGCAACCAGCTTTAGTATCAGTCCGCCAATACATTAATCGGTTCTAGGGCTTAAATTCCTAACTATTTTAGTAAATATCAAGAAGTTTATACTATTCAATAATTTTAAAAGTTTAATATTCAATTTTTTAGTCATTTTAACAAATATTGAACATAATTGAAGGTAAAGTGACTAGTTTAAAGCTCGGCATCCAGCCTCTTAACACAGCAAACAGGTGTTAGTCTCTCTCTGTTTTCACTGGAGGTAACATCTTGCTTGAGACTCTCTTCAACTAAACGCTTTTTTTTCTGTGTTTCCAAGCAAATTATTGGTCATTTTGAAATATATTTTGCTTATTGACAATATATAATGCAGTGCAGTGTTGATTTAAAGAAAATAATCTTGAAATACACCAAGAGAACTAAAATTTTATGGGTGAAATGGTGCCATGGGGTGACTTCTCTTCCACCCCAATGCCTTCTCTTCTTCCTTCTCCTCCACCCCCATTGTAATTCCCATCATCATCATCATCATCCAGGAGCCTTCTACATACACACCTCAAAGTAAGTGAACTTTTCTACCATTTTTGTTGAATTTTGGAAATTTTCGGTGAGCTGGAACCAATTACCCAAAAACCCATTGAAACAATGGTTTCGGTTAACGAACTTTTCGGTTAACGAACGACCTTCTGGAACGGATTGAGTTCGTTAACCGAGGGGTCACTGTATTCATATCAGAACCAATTACAAGGTACAACAACAAGAACATCTATGTTCTGGTGTAAACAAGGCATCAACTGACTTATGGAGACAAGAGATTGTGGCAATACTGGTACTGTATAAAACACTTCTGAATGACAGAACAAAAAAGTTTTACACTATTGCTAGATCTTTATCCCTCCTTTTTTCTCCTTGGGTTTAAATAAATCTCGGGAGTCCCAAACTGAGGTTAAGGCACACCAATTTCTAGAGTCGCAACTTAGAGGCGACTAAAAATTTCCTGATGAGGCCATTTCCTTGATAACACACCCCCATTAATATACTTGCCTCGTCTGAAAAAAGACATCTTCGTCAACAAAGCCGAAATCGGCGCACAGTTTGGTAATAGTTCCCGTAAAAACTCGCTGCTTTTGAGGCTGCTGACCGGCATTGTTGTTTGCAATATTGTTCTGTAGATTAGTCTGTAGGTTGTTGGCGATAGTGGCCATGTTACTTGGGGTGGCTGCTGGATTAAATGCACCTGGAGGAGCCAAAGCCCTTGGGGTTGGGTATGTTACAGCCGTCACCTGCAGGAGAAGATAAAAAATTATTCAGTGTGAAGTGTAACTAAATATAATAACAGATAAACCACAGTTTAGTAATGCAGTAATGCTTTGGATTTAGTAGATAACAGGTGCAGGCAGTGCTGTACTGTACTATACTTATATTCACACAGTTTGTCACTCAGTTCAGTGAAACACATGGACCTAATTACAGTATGTGGTAAATTAAAAATGTCTTCCTGCTGACCTGAGGCTGTGCTTGTGGCTGTGCCTGTGGCTGAGGCTGTGGTTGAATCTGTGGCTGCATCTGTGAGTTGGTCATCTGTGCAGGATTGACAAGGCTCGGGGGTTGTAAGGTCTGGGTTATAGGTGGCTGACCCATGAGACTGCCGCCTGTGGTGGGTTGTCCTATTGTCTGTTGGGTAATAGTTGGTTGGCCTATGGTCTGTAAGCCCCCTAGACCTGGAGGCTGGATCATGCTCTGCTGCACAGGTGCATACTGTGGCTGTTGAGGAGCACCTCCTAGTACCAGCTGCTGGTTGGGAGCTGATGGATGCTGGCCCAGGAGAGATGGCTGCAGCTGTGGGGTCGCCTGTGGACGCTGCTGCCATGGTGGAGGAGCTTTCCCACCACCAAACTGTGCCATCCTCCCTCACCTGAAACAACAATATAGAACAATATATACTAACTTGTAAAGCTGTAGATACCTGTGACTATTAGACCATCTTGCCAGGGGTCCCTAACCTTTTTCATCTTGTCTACCACTTGACATTTTTATATGATAACCTCATACCACTACTGAACTGTATACCCACAGTTGCATAAACATGGGTGAAGCACATGATAATCAAACCAGTGAACTGAAAGGTATTACTGTGCCTCTATATTTTTCAAGAGAACTAGGAACTGGTGAAGTTAACAAGTACAGTAATCAATTTGGGTTTAACATTAGTCTCTATGGATGAATAACAATGAGGAGTATGAATAAACATTATGAAGAAGAGACATACATACATACACAGGACAACAGCTAAACAAAAAGAGACAAGACTAACTAAGCAATTTCTTTCATTCTTCATTCATGTTTCTTTCTTGATAGAGAAAAAGAGAAGACCCTACCCAGAATAAAATCAAATTCCTTACTATGAAAAGAACTACATTCTATACCAGGTAGTCAATACATGGAGCGCAAAGCAAGGTGTTTGGTCTTCCTCAGCTGACTGTCTTATTATTAAATTTATTACTGACACAATTAACAGTTAAACTACCAAAACATATCTGTGGCTACTGCAGTACAGACACTCCTCGACTTACGACCACCCGGACATACGACCGCCCCAGTCGTAACAAAAATTTTTCAAATTACTGTACGTATTTTCGAGTCCCGACGACGTTAGTAATTGCGCTGTGTACTAACAATTTTTTTTTCTAATTCCCTTTAAAACGGCTGGCAAGCTTAAAAGTGAGAGTTTTGTGGTGCTGAGAAGAAAGAGAGACACCCATTTTAGATTTTCTATGTATTATTTTCGCATTATCAACTTACGACCTGGAATTGGGTCCCTAACCCCGACGTAAGTCGGGGACTGCCTGTACTGCTTCAGTGAGTTATGACCTCGCCTTGGCAGCTGTTCCCACCCTGTGTATTGGTGTTAGGAAGAGGAACTGGGTCATCAGAGCTGTGCCCATCTCCTCGTCTCTGTAAAATTTTCTGGACTGGTGACGAGAGTTTGCAGTGGTGTGGAGGGAGGGGAGGGGTGGGGGATATCATCATGGTTTTACCCAACAGCTATCAACAGGTTATCGGAGTTAAACTATGCAAGCCTGTAAAATGGCCGTACAATGTTGAATGAACTTACCTAACCTAACCTAACCAAGGGTAGATCAGTTCATTTTATCACCAATATATCACATATGTAGCAGTACAGTAGGTGGGAAGTTTTCATAAGCATCTCAAATTGCCCAGTCATAAAATTGTGTTTGGGACAGAAAAATCGTAAAAATTATATTACTAAAACTTTCTCTGGTCATACTTGATGAGAGTGGTCCAGCCTTAGTGCCAACCTGAGTGTTTTTCGTTCCCATTGTTGAAGTCTTCAAAAGGTAAGAGAGCTTTTATCCTAAAGGGCTTAATTTCCTCGAGATGTTGGTTAAGGGCTTGTTAACTACAGTATTACCAATTAGGACTACAGTCACCCAAACCTAATGGATTCTTGTTCATAGGATGGTAACACTGCACTACAAACGTCTAGTTTTCAAGTTTACATACAATAAATTAAAAAAAGGTAACTAAAAAAATAAAATACCCATCAGAACATATTAAGTAACAATATGGCATCTCTCCTCTGAACAAAACCGTTTGAGTCTATTAATAAATGTTTTTGCTTGGCTCTGACTCACTGAGGTTGGTGACAGTATACTCCTTTGACCCAACAATGATTTAATTTATTATTTCCTAAAACTGTGTCACTCATAAGGTCGTGAATATCTTAAAACCTAAAACTCTGCTTCAGAACCTTAACAGATGGCATCCTCTTGATACTAACTGATATCTGCTTGATTTAGAGAGTCATGTACGTCAATAACCGAATGATTGTCTTGTGTTAGTGAAGTAATTACCAGCATCAGTGTTGTACTGTACAAGGTGAGGGTGTTGGTGGGCGGTCCTCACGAGTCTTTCCTCCTCAAGGTATCTTTATATCATTAGTTAACCCTTGTTGTCACTCTCACCAAGTATCTCTAGTACTCATAGATGATAAGTTTACTCACGTCTTCACAATTACTCTACTTTAAAGGTCTGCCGAGGCTTTGTTTACACACAGTTTACTCCTTCTCTCCCTCACGTCTCTCATCTTTAATGAACTTTAAGTTGTGTTCACCACAACCTTCTATATATTAACAAGCACAAGCTTTATGTGGAGCAGCACACTGTGGTCACTTACCGTGGTAAAGCGGTAGAAAACGTCCCAGAAAATATATATTGACGAGGCGTCTGATAACAATATGGCGGTGTAGTATTGACGACGTCTGCGGCGGCGGCGGCGGGGCGCATGCGTCCCTCCCTGGCAACTGCACACTACTCCTCTCTATGATCCATTTTCACCCATTATGTAACTCGTCTTACTCATTAAAGTATCCTATCAGCTGCCTTTTTTCAAGTTTTAGCTTTCTCTTTTATAAGATTATGTTATATAATTGATAACTTGCTGTACGGATGAGGCAGCGTTGTTGGGGAGGGCTAGAGGCGTGTCCTGTATTTATATAAATATAAATAATATATGTATCTTTAAAATATACAATGTATATAGATTATATATAATATAATATATTATATTATATTATATATAATCTCAGTACCTACCCGTAAGTTTTATAAGCATTGCAGAATATAACTACATGCTTACCTCACCTCATATTCAGGGTCGGCGACCTCGTCCCTCCCCTTCAAACGTTTTCAAACTGCCTTTACTTTATTCTCGTCACCACCGATCAGTTTGTTAGTCGCTGGGTGGTCGATCACGTCTCTGTTATTCAATATTGGTAAATAATGGGCACGTACTGGCTCCAGAATATACAGTAGCCGCGCCAGTGTTGGTAAATTCTGGTCTCAAATAATCTCATACTTTTACTTTATCCTCTTCGCCACTGATCGGCTCGTTAGCCGCCCGGGCGATCGGTCACGTCTCTGTCACGCACTGTTGGCAAGTACTGGGCACCGGCTCCTGAATGTACCTGAACCCGCTACAGTGTTGGTCAAGTCTTCTCTTGAAAGAGCTCACACTCGGTGCCGTCACAACACTCTCTGGTAGATTGTTCCAAGAGTTTACAACTCTCACTCCGAAAAAGTTTGCCCTCACAGTTTTCTGGACTTGTGGCTTCTTCAATCTTGAGCTGTGACCAAGGATTTATCAGAGTTAAACTAACAAGCACTGCCTCAGTCTTTACCACGGTATATGACCTCATACACAGTGTGTATGTAATTAAAATCAATCTGTACATTTTGCACTAATTATGAAATAACTGTTACAAATACTTATCTTAATATTTTACCAAGTAACCATAACGAAGACATATCACAAGAATATGTTAAGATCGCGATAAGATAACCGAGCTCTTGCCGAATCAACGTTTTGACATCAAAATGCTAATAACGTATCAATAAGAGATGGATTCAGTTTACATGCTTTAACCTTAAAAATTACAATTATGATATAGCGTACTCAGAAAACGACAATTATCTTAAGTATTGTTATATTCTAATACCAAATATGAGGTACATATACAGTAATTGGATGTGTTATCTGATTCACTTCATCCTAGAGTGGCGGGTTATTGTCCTCTGATCCTGCAGATGTCTCAGTAAGTACCAATTGACAGGTTGTGTGCTCTGTTTCCATAAAATATAGGAATTTATGTTTACATCATTATTGATGAGTGGTTTACGAAGTTCATTTGATTTGTCAGAAAGTAGAGTTGTATACCAGTGATGTGCTTATGAAGTGTTACAGATCTTAAAACACTTAACAAAGTCAGGAAAGTGTTTTAATATGAAGCTGTGGCGAATCCAGCAAGTGTCTCTATACAAAAAAGCCAACAGTGAAGTACAGTGGTATATATATACATATATATATATATATATATATATATATATATATATATATATATATATATATATATATATATATATATATATATATATATATATATATATATATATATATATATATATATATTGACGATTAGACAACTTTTGAAAAAATGACTATACATAAACTCTGAACTATTTATCATAGAGATCTGAAATTTGGCATGGAAGCATAACTAACAATAAAGAAACACTGGTAAAATCAGATCACTATTAAAAAAATTAGACCTTTATCAGTAGAGAATGCAAAAATTCCTGCAGGACAGCTTCAGATAAAGTTATAGTTCTACCTAATTTCCGCTTATATCGTTTTCTCTTGACGCGCGCGATAGAAAATGGTTCACTGTGAATGACTAACTAAAATGAAACTTTTAAACACAGCTAGACGAGGAATTTCGTGATTTTTTGTAATCACACGAGCCCCTATTAGTGGTAAAGCGCAACTTAAGTGGGTTTTTACCCACCTTAAAGTATTTATATTAAGATAATTGCATAGAAAAAGAAATTAGAAATGTTTCATTATGGTTAAAGGAAAAAAATCGGTTTCTTTTTACTGATTTTCGTCATTTTAAGTCATCTTTAAGTAGTTTGCTGTTTGGGCATGTACCTTGACTATGTGGATTTCAAACTAACTATATGTTTTAAGAACAGACCTTTTTATCTATCTTGAAATACTTTCAATTACACTTGCCCTCATTTCCGTGATATTCATTATTTTTGTGTTGTTTAACCTGTAGCTGCCTGTTATGTTTGACTATGTTAAAATAAGCACCATACTTCATTGTGGCAAAGAATTATGAAGCACTGTCATTTCATTTACATCTCATTACCAGGTTAGAGACACAATTGATGGAATACACAGGCGACGGTTGTGTTGACCGAGGTGATGATTTATGATGTGGCAGTAATAGGAGCTGGGGCAGCTGGCCTCACCGCCGCTCACAAGCTTCTCCAGGCGGACCCAAACCTCACCCTAGTTGTTCTTGAGGCCAAGGGTAAGTATCGCTACCTCCTGCAGACACTTCCATTTTTCTCGTTGCCTCTGAGGCCAAGAGTGTGTGTCTGAATGCTATAAAAGAGTGAGTATCATTTGCAGGCATATCCTTCCTGAGAAGCCAGTCAGAAGAACTGTATTTGTCTCAGAGCTGAGCGTGTAGGACACTTGGCATGAAGACCCTTATGGTAGTCTGCCTTGAAACTGTGGCCATCTCTTTAATAGCAGACAATACACTTCTCTGGTGGAGTGACGGATAGAATGAGTTGTCCAGGGTGGTTGCCTATGATAAATTAATTGGTCAACTTTGGCCAAGGTCAAGCAAACATGGAGAGATGGGACCAGCCACTCGAGCAGCTAACGAGTCCATCAGTTAAATAGCTCAGCCTCATACAGATCCTTATTGTTTAGGGAGGATTGACTAAATATTTTATATTTTTCAGGTATGGCTGCAATTTAGTGTGGAGGCTGCCGAGTTTGGCCAATGTTAGGAAAAACACTTAATAATAAACAGTATATAAAATAAAGAAATAATCACTTATTTCAGACAGAGTCGGTGGTCGCACACTGACGGTGCCTGTGGACATCGGTGACGGCAAGACTGACACTTTTGACATGGGCGGCCAGTGGGTTGGATCAAGCCAACATCATGTCCTCAACATGATGGAGGAACTGGGCCTGAGGACCTACCCGCAGTGAGTAGTGACACAGGATACACCAGGGCATTGCAGGACAGATGTAAATTAATGTATTAAAAGGTTACTTTGAAAGTTAGGCTAGAGTTGATAATTTCAAGAGAGGAAAGTAAATTACAGCACAGTACTGTATAGTTTAAATGAATAATTAAGTTTTTACCAATACTTCCGTAACTTCAACACTGAAAAGTGTTGAACTTGGGTGCTGATGATTACTTAGAGCAGTGATGTTAATTATTGTTTTCAAAAGATGAAGTACAGTAAGTACAGTATCCCTTTCCGTTCTTTAAACCTCTTCATATAGTTCACAGATTAGAATGAGGGAACGATATAATGCTATACAGTATCATATAGGTACATTAATGTACATTTTGATGACTCTACAACAAAGTACAAAAAATAAAAATTATCAGACGTAAGCTGGAAATTTCTTTAAACTTTCATTAGTGTCTGTAGTTAAATGTAGTCTGGTCTCTTGAGGGAATATATTCTTGAGCTATTGTCTGCCCCTGTGTTAAAACCCTTGACACGTATTCACCAGGTACACGGAGGGCACGAAGGTGATGCAGCTCGGAGACAACAAGATACGCACCTACACCGGAGACATACCCTCACTAGGCTCCCTCAGGGGTCTCATCCAGCTCCAACTGTTTATATGGAAGGTTAGATAATGATATCACTTGTGTTCTATTGGTGGCATTTACCCTCTTGGTTTACTTTATGAGGAGCTTCAGATGCCCGGGTTTTCTTATGTGCAAATAACTGTACAGTACTTTTCCTTTTATAGTTCCACTTGAATTATGGTACAGGTATTTAAGTTTGGTTACCGTACTACTGAATGGATATGGATTATCCTCAGAGCATTCAGAGAGAAGGATTACAAAGACAATCCCGAGGACTATGAACTCTTCCTAAAAGCTAAAGCAGATTTTACTGATCTGGTATTATATCACAGAGTAAGGGACAAATTAGTGTACTGTACAGACTAGAAGCTTATAACTAAGGTTGATGACTGAGAACTTAAGGTAGACATTGAATCAAAATTGACTAACCTTAGTGGTGACTCAGATTAACATAGGGTCACAGGCGTTGTTCCATAAATGATCAACCTAGGTGTGTGTGTTGCCTCAGGCTGAGCGCATGGCGGCCAAGGTGCCCATAACAGACCCGTACAGCAGCAAGTATGCGGCCGAGCTGGGCGGAGAGACGGTGAGCTCCTTTATGAAGAAACACATATCCAACAAGGCGGCCATGGAAGCTATTGACGTGGGCTGTAAGGCGTCTTTTGGTAAGTTTGTTTTGAAAGTTTATACAGTACTTGATTTATTTGCCGTTGGTTTACTTGTTTGTATAGTACTATTTTAACTGTGAAAAGAAAGGGTGTGTGTGTGTGTGTGTTTTAGATAATGTTATAGCGTCACATTCATAAACAGATGCTGTACAGAATAAACAAATATAAACTCAATATAAAGGGACAGAAGCATCACGGATCAGCGCCCTGTTCTTCATGGCCTACGCTAACTCTGCCGGAGGAGTCATGAAGGTGTTTGAGACCAAGAAAGATGCCGCCCAGGAGTTACGAGTCATGGTCAGTGTAACGTGGAGCAGGACACCAGGAGGTCAACTCTGAGGAAAAGTCTATCTCTCGGTGACACTCATAGTCAACTACAGTACATGTTCAAAATTAATTGTAAAATATAAATTCCTGCTTCACTCCATGGCTGCTAGAGCTCACTGTACTTATTTCATATGATTATAATTTTATGCCCTCAACCCTTATATATAATGATAATATAACTGCCTACATGCTCGACTCTTCTAAATTTATGTCTGTACTTTATAATTAAACTGTTCCTTTGAAGGGAGGAACACAGCAAATATCAGAGCTTCTGGCAGACAAGATTGGGAAAGAAAAAGTCCTCCTCAGCCACCCAGTTTGTGAAATGAAGCAGACGACAGACTCTGTGGAGGTGAAAACGGAAAATGGAAAATGCTTCACTGCAAGGAGGGTCATCATGACAGCTCCGCCAAATCAACTTATCAAGATGAAGTTTGACCCACCTCTACCACCATACAAGCAGCTGATATATGAAAACCATCCTATTGGTCACCTCATCAAGTTTTACGTGACATACAAAAAGGTATGAATGTTTTTGGTTGTTTTTTTCATTGTTGATTGTATATTTCTCTAAAGAGTTCTTCAGATGTAATTTTTAAACCTTTGAAAAACCATGAAAGTCACTGAAATACTATTGGAAGGCTTCATATACTGTACTCTCTCTATAAGACAAGACAACTTTCTTCTAACAATCACATTTTCACCTTTGTGTTAAGTAACAACCCAACACAAAGTACTGAATGTTTAATTACCATTATCCCCAGGTCAACCTCTCCTTAGATCAGGGTCACTTTAAGTCAACCACTGTCCTCACCAACAATCAGCCTGCTAGCCACTTGGGCAGTCAGTGACTTATGCATCAAATTCTGTATCATCACCATAGACCACTAGAGGGAGACCAGCTCAGTGTACCAAGCCTGCAGTAAATCCATTCTTCCTCGTCTCTTGTGTATAATAGGAATTATAACTTGAATCACTTCATCCATTTTCCATAGGCATTCTGGCGAGACAACGGATATTCAGGTGAAATTGTGAGTAATGGTGGTGAGACGGAGGTTGATGGTGTGAGCAGAGGGCCTCTCAGTGCCTGCTTTGATGCCACCACCCATACTGGCACACCAGCCATCGTGGGCTTCATTGCTGGACGACAAGGTGTTGAGTGGCATAATAAGACGGTACTGTAATTGTTTTGTGCTGTACTGCTCTTACATATATGATATATACACTGAGATACATATCAATAGACAAACACTGTACTATAGACAATACTGTACTGTACATATATAACATACTGTACTAGTTGATGCAATGTACCACCTCATATGACAAAGTTTTAAATCTTCAGAATATTAGATTATGACTGAAAATGTCTTTTCTTTAAGGAGGCAGAAAGGAAGAAAGCAGTAATTGATGGTCTGTCCTCTACCCTTGGCAGTGAAGCTCAAGACTATGTAACTTACATAGAGAAAGTGTGGGCCGATGAGCCATATACAGGCGGGTGTCCAGTTATGTTTGGTGTTCCTGGAACTATGTACGCCTTCCCTCACCTGCGTCTCCCATTTGATAGGTAAGACCAAGAGGTTGTAGGGAAGGGAATAACAACACTAAAGATTAATTCATCTCTTGATCCATTGTTTCACTTTTTAATTGAATATCATCAAACAAAAGTTCACCTGAGTGGAAGTTGTCACCAATTCTTTACAAAGTGAAAACAGTGAAAATTAATTTAAAGTATTAAAATATCCTCACTGTGTGCTTATTCATGCATGTTTTTGTCTTTTCTTGATGAATAATTTTAGATTGCCAATACGTTAAAATGATCTACTACAGACAGTACAGGTATATAAAAACAATATGGCATCCCTGTCATTAAATTTACACACAAAAGCATGCACACACACACATACACACACACACACAAACGTATGCGAGTATCAGCAGAAATGATTATTTCAATTGAGCTTCCTCTCCAGGCCCGGGGAGTAGGGATGGTAACCTAACTTCCTGTACAGTGAGCAAGTAAAGAGGGCGAAGGTGATCGACCTTTGTTTGGTGAAGTGAGTGAGGGTGATAAGAATAAAGTGAGTGGAAGTTATGATGAACATAAGGTAGCCCGGATGTCTTGAATTATTCCAGAGTATAAACCACCTTCGGTAAACAGATTTTACAAATTTAATTACCGCTATTGAGTCTGGAACATTATTGCCGAGTGGTGAAGAAATCTGTGGTTTATGGATAGAAAGTCAGTTCTACAGCTTCACTGTCATGTTCCCCTGAATTCTTGGTTAGGAGCTTAGGGGGATGAAAATATAATTCTACAGACTGTATATTATGTATTTACCTTCTCAATACCACTATTCATCCTCAGGCTTCATTTCGCTGGAACAGAAACGGCAACAGTGTGGACAGGTTTCATCAGTGGTGCCATCCAGTCCGGGGAACGAGCTGCAAAAGAAGCCTTACAATATTTTCGTCCAGAATTGTTGACTGAGAAAGATTTGCTGGGGACATGTCATGATCCAAAAAGGTCTTTACTACCTGGTAATAGTTTATAATGAAATGTTTATGAATGAATCTTGGTATGTAACTGATATTTAATCTTCATCAATTTATCTTACTAACAAAAGGTACAAATACATATATGGATTATAAAATGGTTGCTGAATACCATTGGTTATCTGTCTTTCTATATGCAAAAAGTCCTCTGCCTATACTCAAGAGATACATTACCACATCCTCTAACTACTTGTCATTATATTCTTAGGTACTGTATCTCATCAGCCATTTCTTCACATACAGTATCTATCCTTCCATCTTCCTTCATACTCTCTTCTCAGTCCTGTTCTTATCTTTCTCTTTCCAATTCCTTCTCTTATACATTTCTAAAGTCCTTCACATTATATCATCGCTCTAATGTAAATCCCCGCCCCCCCCGTTATACATTAAGGGGTGTAGCAGGTCTCTATCCTGGCCTAAGGGTCATTGATTATCTCGGTGCTCTCTCTCTGTCCATTACATTTTGCAAGTCTTCATGATAACAATATGTACAGTACTTCTCTGCTAATTTATGATGGCCTCGTATATTGTTCACTTCCCCATTTATACAGCTTAGTGGACCAGTGACTCTTGGGGGCAGGACAGTGACTCTTGGGGCAGGACAGTGACTTTTGGGGGCAGGACAGTGACTCTTGGGGGCAGGACAGTGACTCTTGGGGGCAGGAAGTGAGTGCAGCACAGTACCTACTCTACCTGTGTCATAATAATCCTACCACTTGTTTTTCCTCTTGACTCTCCTGCACTGGTACCTGTAGTATAGTATAGTAGTGTTGTGGTAGGAGCTTTGGGCTAATCATTCTAAGATACCACTTTTTACTCGAAAAATTGTTCTTAAATTGCTAGGAGGAATGAGAGGGGAAATTATTTTAATGTATAAATTTCCTTTTTTCTGTAAGGTGTATATTTTAATAACGTAATTTTACTGTAGACTGAAAGTAACTTGTGACAGATAGGAGTAATTACATTTCGAGATAACTACTGTACTAACTTAACCATCTTCCATTTCAGCATCCCAAGTGACATCAAGATGGCCAAGTAAAGGGATCTATATTGTCTATTTGGCTGTTGTGGTTGTGTTAATTGGTGTTACATTCTCAATATACTTTCAAGATGCCATCTGGTGACACATACACAACTGAAAATATCAACATTAATACACTATTCCAACTGAAAATGTGAGAGAATTCAAGAGCAATTGCAAATTATCTTAAATTAGAATCAGTGAATCATTTACATTTACACCATTATAAACCATTTCTAATTTAAGGTTTTTATATACAGTACCATTTACAGTCACCAATAAAAAATTTTCTTCAAATTAATGTGTTTTATGTATCACTTACAGTAACCATTAGTGTTATGAGATGTATCGTATATTTATTCCCAGTGTCTTTGTGTTTAGCAGAATACATCACTGCCTATCATGATTTGTCCAAAATTTAGAAAATCTGTTTATTGGGGACATATACTGAACAACCACTGCAACAAATTACAATACTGTATATTGGATTAGGTCGAACAGTCACAATTGGTGGCAAATTTTAACTACTGTACTTATTGTAACCTTTTAATTGTTACTGGTATGTTAGTTATATAGGGACAGCTGTGTGAGGTGCATGGTAACATCTCACATTATATATTGTACAGAAATTGTTGAGTAGTTCCTTACCCGTCACCACACCTTTAGTTACCCTGGTGCTGCTTTTATTTTAACATTTTCTCCTCAAACTCAATCCTCTTCTTCTACCAATTTTTGTTTCTATATCCTAATAGTTCCTCCTCCACAGGGAATGTTGGTATTTTACCTAAAGTGATGTCACTCAATTTTTAATACTAATCATCTTGATTATCCAACTAGACTGAGAGTCTTGGGAGCAACAACTCTTCAGACAAGAGACAATGGGATGGATCTCATAGACATTCTAAATCTTGAAAGGGATGAAAAACATTAAACCCATACTGTACCATTTTCCACGCTGTCATGCTTCACCAACATCATTCAAGCTTGCCAAGACATGCAGGATGAACATATGGAAATACTTCTTCATACAGATGATGGTAGACCTATGGAACACTATGCCAGCTCAAGCTGTGGAATTGAGAACAGTAGTGGGTTTGAAAATATCCATTGACAAGACTTATTAAGAACAATGGAGGGAACCTACACAGACCACTGGCCTTCTTCCCTCTGTATGGCCAGTCCACCTCTAGTTGGGTTGCCATTAGGAAAATAAGATAGTTAAAAATATTTCCTCTAATTTTGTGGATGTACATCTGATCAGTTCAGGGAGCCAACCACCTCCATCTCTTCAACTTCTCTACTCAAGTCGTGTTTTAACATACAAAATATATTTCCAGAAAATCAAACATCTTAATTGGCGGATTTATTTTATTCTTCAAAAATAATGGGAATGGCAATTTCACATATGCATTGGCAGTGCAAATAGCATAAATCAAGGTCAATATAAGGTGGCAATTGAAAACAAAGCTGAAGAGATTTTACCTTCAGTGCAAATAATGGCATACTGTACACTCTATTAATACCGGATATAGAGTCTGTAATGCCTCCTTAGCTCAGACAAATACAGCAACACCCACACCAAGGTATAGAAGACTCTAAGGATGAGAGAACATCCCCCAAATCAAAATAATTCGTATAATCTGCACACGGGGGGAGGAGGAGGGAAAAAAAGTGGTATACATTAGAGTGTATATTAAAAATAAGGAAAAGGTGCTCTGTATTGACAAATAGGGTCACAGAATGTCACCAGGCAAGACAAGTAAGAGGAAGATTTTATCAACGAACTGAAGAAACTTTATAATGGCAATAAGAAATTTGCTGCTGGAAGGTTGAGAGTGGTAGACAGCTTGTGGGGGCTGTAAAATGCAGGATAGTCAGCCATGGGCTTTGAAAGCTTTTACTTTTTTATAAAAAAAATATTACTAGGGGGTAAGCACAAACCCCTGGAGTCCACGAAAATATCCTAAATTTTCTTAAAAGGTTTTAACATCAACAGAGGACAATGCTCATAACATAACTGTGATATTGAACTTTTTTCTCTGTTGACAGCATCTTGTGTATGTATGAATGTACAGTAAAGTTCTATATATAGCACTTAACAAACTGCAATTCTCAAGAACACCTCAAATAAATCTATATTTTGGGAAACTGTAAACTAGAGCATTTGTATCTAGCATGTCAGGAGCACTTTGGCTTAATGCAGCCATTTACTTTGGTGGTAAACAGAACCTCCGGTCCTTCTCCAGCACTCACAAATTGTACTTGCATGATTAAGATAATGTACTATACTTTACATCCTCAAGTGATGGCTTCAGTCAATAAGGGAAGACCATTGGACACTCCTTCTACCAGCAAAGGAGTGAATCAACACTGAATCTGCCAAGTACAGTAATGTACATCTGACACAAGAAATTTGCAAGAGATTGGAAAATGGTGAAAAGCTAAATATCCACTTGTTAATTATGTGCCATAAAAAATTAACTTTAATGTTATTTAGTGATTCAGCGTGAATAAGGCAGTGCTAAAATAAAAAACATATTTAAATTACAGGAAATAGACAACTTTATGGGTGATTCAAACTGAAATGATAAGAATGAACCAGCATGTGGTCAATTAAGTAACTCTTTTGATAACCTGGTACTGTACTGAAGTATTTTTTAAGAATCAACCATGGCAGTGATCCAGAAGGTTCCAGATACAGTATTACAGGTTACTCGACAGATAATTTCAATACAGTACATGGTGGCCAGGTAGGTGTTTGTCCCTTAGGTCTTAGAATACATCAAACAGTACACCCAGTAAGTGTACACAGACTGTGCTTCCTGAAGAGGATAATAATTTTGTTAACAATAGAGACCCAACACACTTTACTAATCTAAAATCTGAAAAATTCTGATACCCAGGTAGAATACTGGTTCCTCCCCACCAAGATGAATCACGGAGGTTCCACTTAATATGTCCGTACATGTGTCACACTTAGTTAAAATGCAGCTGATGTGTTTGTTTAACAAAGAAAACTTTTGTTTTTACTTTTCTAACTTATTTGGAAACCAGTTCATATATTTGGCATTTCCTTTAAGAGGTCATATACAATCATAACATAAAACTATACCTAAATTAATTCTTTAATTTTAATTATCATTTCACCGCTTTTGAGCTTCCAAAACATTCTGGCAGTTGGTCTGGTCTTTGTTACGAATTTTATTGTCAAGTGTTAGTACAGGAGGGTGTAGTACCCAGTGGAAACTGAGATGTTTAGCAGTGAGGGTCACACTGGATAACACTTTTTATATCTGTCCTGGGCCAGGACTCAAACTCAGGACACAGTAACGAGAGAGATGCACATTACTTCTGTCATACAAACACCACAAATGGTTCATATAATTGTCATCCATTTATAACTTGTATCACAATTATTTATATTATTGTCTCTATAAACACACACATCAGTGTGTTTTCTTGGAAAAAACTATAAAGTACAGTATCACTATTTCTCATGTACAGTACAGTACACCTAATATGATGGCATGTACAGTTTGACATCATAGGAAGTGAGAAAAACTGTGGTCAATGGATACATCTGGCATCTCCTCGAGGTAGTGCGTACTGTAATATTTTTAGATGAATGTATGAATCGCTCGAAATCAACGACTTGGAGTGATTCATTCATGAAAAAATATTACCTACATTACGATCTCTCCATCAGCCACAGATTTTCTCACGTCTATGATGCCAACTGTACATAGTAGTTTACAGGTATAGATTTAAACTTAAAAAAAGAAAAGAAAGCAACTTAAATCGACAATGAATGTAGTTGAACGATTGAAGTGTTTTAAGTGCTACATACTGTACTGTAATCTTCACAACGAGAAATATAAAACAACATTCTCTCCTGAGGACAAGACTGACAACTTTGGTTCAGGCACAACCAGTTTAACCCAGCTATTGTTACCTTATATATAAACAGTTATGTATGGTTGAACAACAACAGTATAGAATTATGGTTTCAATACCTCAGTTTCTAAATACTGTAGTACATAAATGCAGATAAACCCACAGCAAAAGTTATGTACTGTATGTACGCTATATATAATTTAACTCAAACACGTACCTAAACAGAGATATTTTCTATCAGTTTGTGGTAAGTAAACCATAAAAACATTTTTTACTGTATCCAACTTCTACAAGGTGCACACAAAGTCCTGTTACCTCCTCCTCAAACCTTGTCATTCCCTAACATCAATACAGTACTCTATGTATTTTCTTCACTTAATTATAGATGTTATATAACAAAGAAAAAGTAATTATAGCACTGAAGAGCAAACAGTAATGAGCAAGTGAACTCTCTGATGGACCACACACACTGAGGTAATTGGCTCATAACAACTGACCCATAAATTATAAAATGATGTGACGTGTTTGATCAAGGAGTAAATAAAAAACATTACTCTCTAAAAACTACAAATTAAATTTTTCATTCCCCAAAGGTGCGAGGACCCTGTCTGTACCTTATATGATCACGACTCCTCACCAACCTAGAAAATTCTTTTACATAAAAGCGTCATCAACAAAGACTGCAAATGCAACGGTTAGCCGAAGTGCTGGTAAATTTTTATTACATTACTGTATTACAAAGGCCAAAGCCCCTGAGCCTTATTATAATTCTGTATATATTTCTTACCAATTAGATTTGTCGTATATAAAGCTCTCTTAATATATTTAAAACATTTCTTAAGTTCTACATAAAAGATTAAAAAATGTGCTTATACTGTAGTAAAATATGATTATTCAGTATGATGAACATGAATGATCAGGAACATTTACTCGGACTAAATTCCAACTTCGACGACAAATTCTGGAAAAATAGACATGAATATGGATCACTAAATTTAGGGATAGCAACTTCCATCTTGAGAATGTATTCAAGAAGATCACTTATCCAACGATTCAAAGGCTAGAAAAATACTGAAGCCGACGTAACAATAAAATATGAGTGCTATTGTTTGTGTTCAGATGGGTCGTGGCACAACTTCAGATACACTACATGAACTGCTTCTCTACCCTGCTCCTTCTACTATATGTAAAGACATGGCGAGTCATTGTATCAAGCCAGTACTATAACAAATTTGGCTTACAAATTACCGGTCCTTAAATTAAAAAGACAACAGAAATGGAATTCATCACATTGCTGTTTTCACAAGATGGTATATCAATGAACTAGTACTTCTGCATGGGCGAAATATTTCATATCAATGTATTAGAATGGGTTTTATTCTTTTCAACAAGAACAATATCAAGATGCAGCATTTTCCCAAAACAAAATTGTCCCCAAATTCACGTGATGAAATACTGTAACTGCTAAGATACATTGTTGCGATACTAGAGATGTCAACAAGTGCATTGGAGAAGACTGTCACTTTGTCGCCTCAGTATATTGTATTGCAGTTAATAACAACACGCTTACATAGTTCCAATATTCTACAAGTCATTTATTAGTGCTGTAAAAACCACGATGGAGAATGATGACAACTAGTTTTATCACAGAAATTGAGAGGAACTGTACGGAGAATATAATTGCTCAATTCATCACCCACCACTAGTGTTGCCTCTCATTGTGTCAAGATGCCTCAACATAAATCAACAACCCTGACATTGTAAACTCTCTCTTATATAATCAGTTCTCGTTAGTGTGATGATTATGTGAACACTATAATTATAACTGCCTAAAAAAAATGCAGGGAAAATAGTCATATATGGTGTGTGAAAGCACAATATTTGCAATGATGGTGTTTACAATAAATGAAATATCAGTAATAATAAAAAAGAGGAGCATGATTATTACAAAACTGCTGAATGTTGCAAAGTATTATTAATGAGCATAAAACCTGCACTCTGTCAGGACCGAGTGTTCTCTACTTAGACAGATTCTTGCAAAACCTAAATATCTCTGACGGTACACAATTCACACACTTCCAAAATGTTAATAATTGGTACATATCAAGCTCGTTTCCTTTTTCCCATATTGCAAATATTAGAGGAATGTAAAAACACTTATACAAGTGCATATCATTTGTTATGCTTGGTGCAAAATTATCTCATATCAACAATTCCATTCTATGTGAAAATATATAAAAGTCACCTTAATAATTAAGCCTTTAGGCTTTAATTATTTCCAGTGTACTCATTAAAATTCCTGAGCAGTTACACCTTTCTTCACTAACAAACATTACAGCTATTACTATTTCGCCGCTGACTATTGGCAGCATTTGAATTATGTTCCATACTAGCAGCAATGGCTCTGGCAAGCTGAGCATCTGCATCTTCATCCTCTTGGCCACGGTTACCTCCACTTGACTGGACAGCTGACTGATCCTGAACGGAGGCAGCCATTGCTCTTGCCAGAGCTTCATCTTCAGACTGTTGAAACATGATTTACAGTACAGTATTGTCATGCTAAAGCCAATGAATAAATCATCATTTACCACCAATAGAACCCAAGATCTAACCTTAAATACTGTACTTGAGTACAGTGTCTTGCAAAGTCTTCTTCATATATTTCAAGTTAATCTCCTCTTGAAATATTATTTCGTGTGACAAACTCTCTAAGTAGAATTTCAGGAGGGAAGGAATGCAGATAAGAAAGTTTACCTCAAAGAACTTGGGAATGATAGAGGAAAGCGATGGCTAGCTATTTCTACAGCCACCATATAAGTTTTTAAAGCTTGGGTCATCCAGTTTTGTCCTAAATTATATCATTAAGGAGTTCCAGCTGTTATGAAAGAAATAACTTTAGAAATTCAAGCCAACATTAACCTACCAATCCTCCCTGAAGGTTGGAGACGTTGACTGTCCGGACAGGCTGAGCATGACCAGTGGGTCTGGGGCCCACTGAAGATGGGGAGAAATATCTGGTGATACTCTGACTACTCCCGCTACCACTGCTGTGACTTCGACCTGAGCTTCCAGAGCCTTGTTTCTTGTTGTTAGGTAATCTTGATGCAGCAGCTGCACTGTGAAAATACATTTACAATAATTAACATTCTTCCCCACTAATTAGTTAAAAATTAATCTGTTCTTCTTATCCATTACCTTTGGCATCTATCACCATCACTCCATCCCAGACTATTTGAGTGGAAGAAGCGCACCAAACACAGCAACATGAAATTATAATAAAAAGGTTTTTATCCAACATGATTTTCCATCAGCCGTACACCTATTTCTGTTCACAGACTAACGTCCTCATGTCTATCTCAGATTATTAATTCTCCCTAAAACTTCATACACTTTAGAACAAAGAGAAAGACACACAGAAGCATAAAAGAATTATTACATGACTTACAGAGCTCTCTCTCGTGCTGTGGGAGGGCCTTTACAGTCATGGTCGACAGTGTGTCTGTGTCGCAGGCAGAAGTTCTGCTTGCAGGAGTCACAAGATACTGGAATCATTTCTTTAGTTTTGCAACCACTGGCAGAGCACTTGTTGGTATAAATCTGGAAAATAAAGAATAGCATAATAAAATCAACACATATTAATGGCTTTAAATTACCAAGTTACTAAAACAATCCATATCTTGAAAGAGTATACAGTACCCAACAGGTGTTCAGTAACCTTACATGGATCAAACAGATGAAAAGTTTACCTTTTTCTTTTTGTTTTTACAATTGTTCTCCATGTGATCATTTACAGCTAAGTCAGGTGGCTGCCCTCTTTTACTTGGCACTGGCTGCTCACACAGTGGGCATATGGGTACCTGGACATCTGCCTGGTAACTCTCCGTACAATTATGGGCATCATACTTGTGATGGTCAACACTGAAATTAGAAAACAGAAATATACAATACTGTATTACTATACAGCAGTGTGTGTGGCTTTACCGGACACTTTATCACGCTGAAAGATATTGTTTTTCATCCACATCATCCATCCATTGACAAATCCCCGAAGTAACATTTTTGTTCTTCATTACTGTACACTGTAAGATGCGGAGATGCAAGGTAGCAAGTTCAAACTATTGATTTATTTAACTTTTTTGGTACAGTTGACTAAGAATGTGTACATCACCTGTCACACCAACTGAAGGTTATACAGGTACCATCTAACAAAGCAGGCAACGTCTAACAGCTACTGTAGTCTGATAACTTATACTGTTAAGAATAAAGAGGATATATTGCAGTCCTTCAACAATTATTTTCCAAGATGATAGAGGCGAAGATACACATAAAGGGAACATCAAGTGGACGGTGAACATAAAAATACTGTAAAGCCAAATGAAAGAAACATAAAAGTGTACACAAGAGAGTGAAAGTCTTCTAAATATATTCATAAGAAACATCTAAAAAAAAAATATATATATAACTGTATATATACAGTATATATATATAGCATCAATGTCTCTCAAGTAATATCTTTCTAAATGTGGTATTTCAGGAATGTTTATATCTATTTTGTATACCGTACAGTACAGTACAGTATGTAGGTTACTTGATGAAAATGAAGCACAACTTACCAGAATTCTTTTTTGCACAAGTTACAAGTGAAGGGGAGGAAATCTGTAAGAAAAACAAAACAATATATTACTGACCTGTTATATACTCTATGTGGCATATGGTGATGTAACAAGAGTGACTGAGTGATGGTCACATGTGCTGTAAATTCCAAAACATTTCAGCCAAAGACCATTCCCAAGCCTTTAGTGTTAACAGCTGGACCAAACACCAATTTCTGCAACAACTAAAGACTTACCCATCTCTGGAAGCTCCCTATAGTCACAAGCATTAACCTACCAACACAAACACAGCATACTCGGGTGATGGAACACATGTACTGACAAACGAGGACAAAAATTATAAAAAAGTTGGAATTCCTCCACTTCATTCTGGATATTCTTAACATATGAAGCAAGCTATTGAAATTGTTTGTACACTTACTGATTACAGTATAGGGGTACAGTGTCATAAGGGGGTGAAGAGGGGGAGGGGGTGAAGAGAGGGTGAAGAGAGGGGTGAAGAGGGGAGGTGAAGAGGGGAGAGGGGGGAGTGAAGAGGAAGGAGGGGGGTGAAGAGGAAGGAGGAGGGTGAAGAGGTGAATAGAGAAGGACAAATATGGATAATGACGAGTAGTTCCCCACATTTCTTATCTTACTTCATAGTCTTACCCACAAACGGGATTAAATCAATATTCATGGATACACAAGACTAATCTATTTCACATACACTAATTGTTTCTTACATAAATAAGTTGGAAATTAATGTAAAGCTTTGCAAACGATCAGGAGTAACTACCATTTGACCTCTATATCATTACAGATCTCTAGTACTTCAAACACACATATTATCCACCGTGTACTTACCAAGCTGTCGACATGAAGGTTGTGAACAGTGTGTCCCTATATGTGGCAGCTCCATAGTGGTAATAGTGTCCTCCCTCAGCCACAGTCACACCACAATGGCTCAGCTCCAGGGACTCTATTTATATGACGTCACACCACAATGGCTCAGCTCTATTTATATGACGTCACGACCTCGACTTTGGCAGAATAATAGTCACCGCATCCTTCAATATGTAGATATATGCTGAAAAAATAATTGTTTAAAGGATAATCTTATAATAAACTTCACCTAATAAGAGTAAATATATTGAAATATATTTATTTTTTAGTTATATGATATTAATTTTGAATAGGTAAAAATTCCTTCTTATCCAATTATTACCGGGAATTAATCACCAAAGGGATAATGTTATAATAAATTTCGCTTAATAAGAGTAAATATATTGAAATAAATTGATATTTTAATTAAATATTATGATATTTTAATCGTTAGAAATCCATCTTTTCCAATTGTTTAGTGAATCAAGTACAGTGACTATTCTTCTGACAGTTCCATCATCATGCCCAACACGTTTATAAACAAGAAGGAGTCATCATCATCCTCAGGTGACACACACACACATCCTGAACCGTCTCCCTTAGTCTAGAAGGATCTGGGCCATGTCTGAGGAGGAGGAGAAGCAAGTTACAGTGGTGAAAAATGCGACAGATCTTCAACGATTAAAACTAGAGAAATTGATGAAGAATCCTGTAAGTTAATGTTAGGAGATTTTTACTCTTTAGATGACAAATACTTTCTTACCTCATGATAAGATTAGAAAGTTAATAAAAAAAAACTACCCAAAGTTGCTGGTCTCTTTAATGGGCAATGTGAAGAGGAAAATTCGGTATTATCGTTTTGGTCATCCAGCGAGGTTAGGTTAGGTTGGTTTAGGTTGAAATTATATTTTTCCATTGGATTATATAGAGAAGAAAGTTTATTATATCGAGGGACAATTAGATGTGAAACCCCTATTTAATTATTATACCAATAAGTCAAGTTTATTGATGTAACTAAGATCATAATTTCACCAGTATATCCCCCACCTTAGACTTGATGCATTATCTTAATCAGGAATTTTTTTAACTACAGTATAATCGAATCAGTTATATTATCTGTTTCTAAATACTGTACTGTCATCTTATTATTCGATAGGAGAAACCTGCCTTTATACCTGACCGACCTAAGGACAAGAGGTTTTCCGATCCAGCGGAGTTCGTACGCAATGTCATGGGGTCCAGTGCTGGAGCCGGCAGCGGAGAGTTTCACGTTTATCGCCACATAAGACGGAGAGAATATTCACGTCAGGAGTTTCTACAGCAGTGCAAAGAAAAGGTGCGTATGATGGACTGTATTAACGGCCAGCAACGTTCTCTCTGTGGCTCGTTAATTATAGATGGAATTCCTGGGTATAAAACTACCATTGAATCCATAAACATCATATATTGGATAATACATGAATCAGTTATACTTCCTCATAATGACTAAGTTTTGAAGGGAACTTGAGAAGCAACATTTCACAAATTAAAGTAGATAGCAATGACTTATTAGTGCCACATCAGCTGACACTAGTGGTATTAAATGAGTACTGGTAAGGCATTAAACCTGTTTAGCCTTACATGTTGTCCAATTGCCATCCTCATAGCTAGTTCTTTCTAAAATGTTGGGAAATGAAGATTGGTGCTGTGCCTCTGTTTTGCACTTACGAAGTTTTGTGATGAGTAATTCATTTTTTTTTGTTATGAGTTTATATATAACTTTTGCCATTTGTTTAGATGGTGCTGCAATGGTTGTATAATTTGTTAACTACTGTACTTAACTAGTGCCCAACCAGTAAGTAGCAGAGTCCGTTTCCTTCTATTTTTACTTCTCTGGGCTGAATTTGTATTTTAGGAATGTTGTTTCAGAAGAGGAAGGTGGTAGTATTGTGTACAGTATTGTAATTTCTTGTGTAATAATGAAGATTAACCCCCAAAGTTTTCACCTGAAGTTTTGGCATTCAACTTAACTCGCTTGAAGTTTTATCACCATAAACTTAACTGAGTGGGGGGCTAATCTTCATGTGGTCCATAAAGGTTGAAACTGCAATAGGTCTCATTCATACAGTAGTCTCATCTACATTCATTTAAGCTTGAAAATGTGCAAAAATAGTACAGTAGCAGTCAAAGTAACACTAAAAAATGTAAACCTTTGTAGAATATGCGATTTGTTCCTAAAAAAATATCTGCGACGATTTAAATTTTTTGTGGTTCCTATATTTTCTTCTCCACTAATCGACTCCAAAAAATTAATGCTGTTTTTTTGTACAAGCATAAAATATAAACACTGTTTCAGGGAAGGAGGTTCATGAGAACATAACTACAGTATTTAGATTTATTTCAACACCATCTTGACACTAGTGGTATGAAATCAATATATATATATATAGTTCTATTTCATTACTTTCTTTCTTGAATGTTTGGTTTTGCAGTTTTCATTATGTGGACGATGCTGATTAAGGATCTGTTGTCCTCAACTTGATATCTGTATAATTACCTGTTCAAATGACACCTCCAAAATCTTAATTTCTTTTCAAACACTAATTACTCTCTGCCTTTGGGTTTTCAGGATGATTTGGAGATTGATTACCACAATAAGTTAGAAGAAAACAAGAGAGCTGTTGAAGAAAAGGCTGCAAAGAACAGAGCGAAGAGACACCGACTAAAAGAAAGACAAAAAGCAAAGAGGCAAAAATTAAGAGAGATGAAGAAAAAGGGCATATTACCACCTAAGGAAAGTTCATCATCTTCAGAGAGTGAGGAGGAAGAGGAGATGGAGGCGGAGGAGGAGGAGAAGAAGGGGGCGGAAGAGGAGAAGAAGAAGAAGGGGGCGGAAGAGGAGGAGAAGAAGAAGGGGGCGGAAGAGAGGAGAAGAAGAAGGGGCGGAGGAGAAGAAGAAGAAGAAGGAAGAAGAAGAAGGCGGAAGAGGAGGAGAAGAAGAAGAAGAAGGGGCGGAAGAGGAGGAGAAGAAGAAGGGGGCGAAGAGGAGGAGAAGAAGAAGAAGGGGCGGAAGAGGAGGAGAAGAAGAAGGGGCGGAAGAGGAGGAGAAGAAGAAGAGGAGGAGAAGAAGAAGGGGGCGGAAGAGGAGAAGAAGAAGAAGGGGGCGGAAGAGGAGGAGAAGAAGAAGGGGGCGGAAGAGGAGAAGAATGAGGAGGCGAAAGAGAAGGCTGGAGAACTTCTTACTAGTGATATCAAAATGAAGAAACATGATATAAACAATGACACTATAAGTGATAAAAATGGTGACAACGATGTAGAAAAGAGAGGGAAAGAAGTTATGAAGCAAATGGACAGTGATAAAGTGGAGGAAGAAAAGGATTAATGTAAAGTAAAGGAATCAATTACTGTACTGATATGGAGGATAAAATATGATGATCATTTTTGGGTACAAATTACTGTATTAAAAAATATGATCATCATTTTTGGGTACAAATTACTATATTAGTTTACCAAATCATTTTGTTATCAGTTCAACAGATTTTGTGATATACATCAGGTGTTGTATTAACAAAATTAAAATGCAAGCAATCCTTTTGTTAAACTGATACACACACCACGTCAGTGAATTTTGTTTTAAATGTGAGCTTTATTTTGCTACAATTCCACCTACCGGTAGTTATATGTAATATTTTCATAAACTAAAGAGAAAGTGTGTGGCAGGTGTTTATTTTTCTAACAATTTAACTTAATACAATAGTATGTGGGATGTAAAAAAATCACTTGTAGGATGACACTGTACCTTCACCCTTCTACAGTAGCAGTTACCTTAAGAGGAACATGACATGAACACTTGGCAATACAATACACAGGACGTCTTGCAGCGCTCTCCCCTTGCCTTAACACCTTGGGTACTAAGGGTCTTTGTGCTGAATACAACTGTATGCCATTAGCAACATAAAAATATTAAATGTGGCATCCCATAGTGAAGGGGTTAAGGTCCCTGTAACCCTAGATTGATCTCACAAAAATACTGTACCTCAATGGCTGCCATCAGGTAACCATGGCTACCCCTAGCAAGTGTGGAAAATGGCTGTAAAAGTTGATGATAATCATGCTCATAATAATTCACAAGGATATTAAGAGACTTTACAATATTATACAAACTTTAATAATCACCACAATGACCTTTTATTTGAGTTACTTCTCAAGAGACTGCTGGTTACCAAAAAATGCTCTGTGTAATTTACTTACTGTAAAGGACTGGAAACATAAGGAGATTATTTGGGATAATATTGTCAGCAAAGAAAATCCATGGGTTTAAAATGAGTGAAATTATGAAAATACTCAAACTTGATTTTCCCTGAACTTTATTTCAAGACAATCTGATGCATCTTCCAAACTAATTTTTGTATTTGATTACTTAATTTAATATTTGTCCACAAAAGGATTTTCCTTACTAGAGAAAAGAATAACAATATTCTCCCATCCATCTATCACATTGTTATTCAATCACCGAGAGTACCACCAACAAAAGTATAAAGGGGCATTTATACCATACAATAAACAGCTATGTCTGTTTCCTATTTTAATAAAAGCTAACTAAATAAAAGGCATATACTGTATTAAATTTGGAAAAGTGCATACTGGAAGTCTTTCTCGTCCTAAAGAACAGGACATCAATCCACCTATCGGAGTAGATAATTTTCTTCACAAATTCAATCCATGCTCTAAGTCAAGATTACTTGTTTGTGACAAGATGTGCATATCAATCTCTATCAGGCACTTCAACCATGTTGTTTATGCCATCACTAACTTCAGAGTATCCTGAAGTAAGTCCAAAAACATCTTGTCACAGAGTACAGTACTGTAACTCTAATGCCACATTTACTCAAGATAAGAAAGATGAGTTACGAAAATAAACTTACATTATAAACTAATAATTTTTTTTATAAGCTTGGGAAATGATACAAAAATGTATACTATTCCTACGTTCCACTGCATCTTACACCTGACATATACACACCTGGTCAATGTTGCTTATGATCTAAGATGTATTCATTGAGAGTACAACAGTTTTAAGTTAGTACAATATCGACACATTTGGCTTCCACCGACGGCCACTGAAACAGGACAGTGATATAATTTACAATATCTTTCATTTATTGTTGTGCGACTTCCCCATCCAGTCACGCATAATCACTGTCATCGAAGTCAGACGTTCATCTGTGAGTGAGATTTAGTTGACTTCTGCATAACAACAACTCTGTGTCAGCAAAGACTTTCATCACCAGAGCTACAATGTTGTTATAGCTTAATCCAATTACCACATCTAAAAACTTCCCACTTGTGCTTTCAAAAATTAATTCACCGATGTCACAAAAAATTTACAACCAAAGTTCCAAACCATCAAGTAAAACTAGACCAGCTCAGTCACAGGGCGATGAAGCGTGATCCTTCGCTAGTGTTCACATGCTTGGGTTTCTCCTTACCTTAAACACTTTGAGTGATCTATGAACCAAAACACTTCATAACAGAAAAAATGCACATTTCATTAATAAAAAATTCCTTACAACTATTATAGCTTAAAGATGCAATCTTCTCATATGCTCATCCAAAATTATAGATTCCTTTGATAGGAGTTTTTACACTGAGACCCTCAACTGATAACATTTGTTCAGCTTGTCAGTACTAGAGCCAACATTCTCTCAAACAGTTATATAAATAAGAATTTCCAATGAAAGTAAAGAACATATGGGTCCCCAACTAAAACAGTGGGTTGTGTAGTGCAGTGCTGGCAGCTTCTGCATTCAGAGTGTCAGACAGCACCAGGAAAACTTCAACAGCTGCTTTAGGCTGGTAACTGGAGCTTCTTTCCTTGGAGAACTGAAACACAAAATACAGTACTATTATTCAAGGAGTCAAGGTAGAATTTTAAGTATTCTTAATCTCCCCAACATGGAATAAGAGGCATAGGTTTGGGCGTATAGTCTGACTTACAGTAATAAAATGATCGTCCCTGTTTAACTTACTTGAGCTAAAGGGAGCATATATTACCTCCAATAACTACCCAGGTTACTTAAAATGTTTCACACACAATACAACATACATACATTTATTTGCACCTCTAATGTTTCTCACTTTTGGAGACCTTCCTTATTCAGTCACTCAGCTTCTAGTATTTTTTAAGCACATCTATAAAATATTTTACAACTGAGGAAAGTTAGCAATCATCATACCTTTTGTGATGTACAGATAGAAGAAATCGCAGTAGAGGACAGTTTGCACAACTCCAGCCACAATGGCAATCAGATCATAGAAGCCTTCAGCGTAGTAGCGGTAAACCTGAAAACAAAAAGGTCTAAATTTTTCTGCAGAAACATTCTAATTTTGCCGTCTCCTACACCACAGTAACCGACAGTGTCCGTTTAAACATTACTAAAAATTCCTTCTGACACCAAATACTATCACTAAGCACAATTATAAAGATTAAACTGTATATAAGTGATGTTAGAAGGAAGCAAATATGTGGACGTAAGTACCGGTAAAAACTCACCACATCCCGTCCTTTCACATACCTAATAACTTTCTAATAATATAAAATAATTATATAATTTTTGTCTAACTCTCTGACAAGCTGCAGCCAATTCCTATGGGCTACAGCTATGTATAAGCTAATTACAAACTTGTCAGAAATCTCTACGAGGTTATATATAAAAGCCTCGTTACAATAAAACTTTTTTTTACAAATTAATAACTTTAACACCGTTCACTTCAACGGGGAGTTAACCGATAAGGTTATGAAACAATGTGCTGTAAGATCAACAGAACTCCTTCCATGGCTCCCTCAAGATGAGCATGTCATCAGTGTCAAAAGAACCCCCAATCATGGCACTATTTATTCATTTACACCTATACAGTAACTTATATTGCATGACCTTCCAAGAAGAATGGAAGACCACAAGTCAGTATTTCATATGATAATTGTATCAATCACAGACACACTAACCCAGTTGAAGATGTAGAGAGCACGGTAAGAGCCCAGGGCGAACAAATAGTGGGACGTGATGCTCTCCGCCTCACCAGTCTTGGATACCATAAATAGCTGGGGCAAGATGGCAACTGCTTCCAAATAGATACTGAAAGTCCATAAGATCTGTAAAAAGGAAATATTGTAATAATTAAACCATTTATTAAGGTGATTCTACTACAAGTTTAAGTATCAAAGACCTATTTCCTAGTTATAGAAAATAGTAAAATGTTGAACTATCAAATGTTTCAATGATATTTCACCTCAAAATTAAAACTTAAGTAACTGAAAAGTAGTTCTGGAAAAATGTCAAGGAAAGCAAAGAATGAACTGAAGACTCGGGTATTTACTCATCAAGTTAGTGAGTTGTAACCTAAACTAACACACGATGAGATGACCGGTACTCATCACAACCCTAGACCTCACACAGCTACGTGACCCTTGGTGCTGCGGCAGCTTGGGTCATCTGTCATCGACCATACAGGATCCAGTACCAGCTGAACTCCACGACAGAGCCAAAAAGAAGGTTCCAAGTTTTGTCATTCCAACTCCAATATAAAATGGAACTTTAAGAATCAATTGTTTTTCTATAACCAGGTGTTGTTCCAAGGAGACTCACGTATATAAAGCCAGAAAGATGAAGAGGGGTGGGGGATATTTAATGCTAAACAAAGAAAAAACAAATAAATAAAACCTAAAATACAATTCAAAAGTTCTGTGTGAGACAACACAATATGCAACGCTCATCTTTTCTCCCAAGTGATAATGCTGGTAATGTGGTCAGGTAGTGAAGGAAAACCATCCGTATGGATGTAAAAACACTGGTCATAAATGTGGAGGTGACTAAGTCCCAGGTTTGTATTGGTAGCAGCTAAGATTTCATTGCTGGGTAGATGAACAAGTGCAACTCAACATTCCCTCTGCCTATAAAGTGATGGCATAAAGGAAGTGAAAAAGAATAGACACAAGACAACACCGTCAATTCTACAGTACATTAGTGAAACATAACTCCAATTTTAGACAAAGGAGTCGTGGTTCTGTTATCACTGTTTTACCTCTAAGGGAGAGTAGTCGTGGTTGATGAGAAGAGAAAATATGACTGTTGGGATGAGCAGGAACTCCACGCGGAAGGTATCATGGTTGTGGTCGTATGTTGCCTTGAAGCGAAGGTAAATCAGGTACAGAGTAGCATATGAAGCAGCCAGGAAGATCACCTGCAACAAATAATAAACTGTTAAAAAAAATAACCGAACACTAATGTCTTCTGTGAAAATGGAGTTTGGTCCTGCAAATCCATTTTATAACCAAAACTTAATTAGTTGACTCATGTAGAGTCACCCACTACAGTCTGGTCACCTCTCCTGGCCACTCAAGGTGTTCTCCTGCTTGAGCCCATGTGGCGACCACGGTGAACCAACCATAGATGAGTGATTCCACATCATACATATACAGAAAATAAAGGCTCACAATTACTTGACTGTGTACAAGAGATACCGTGTACAGTAAAAATAAAACGTGTTAATCGAGGCCTGACTGCAATCTAATCAACTGGGTATTCTTTTATCTTACACAAGTATGAATGGGTGCTTGAAGAATATGACACTTAATTTTTTTTACAGTTGGGACTGAATTTATTACAATAGTGCCTTGGTATATCAGATGAATTACGGCAGCATCCAGACTGAGGTAGATACTGCACAGAGAACAAGCCCATCTAACACCCCCAAAAATATCAATATCATGCTCAAAATCTGCAGATAGGCATGAAATCATCTCACCCTTACACGGCACTCTGTTTACATGGCATATAGAGAGAAGCAGAGTTGCCAAGTGTTAACAAAGACATGAAATCAGTGTTTACCAACTTACTCCAACCCAGTACTGTGTGTGTGCCAGTGTTGTGGTCATGAGCACCAATGATACCATTTGCAATTTTAACCGTTATGGATCACCTGATGTTTAACCCCCCAAGTGCTCACCTGAAGATTAACCCTGGCTCCCCCAGTTTAACCACCCTAAAACTATCTGGGGCTCGTCTGCAGGTGATTTATAAAGGCTAAAACTAAGAATGGTCTTGTTCGTCGTCTGAACTACATCACTCACGTACACACACACACACACACACACACAGTATACACATTCAGGTGCAGACACAAGAATGATACAATATAAAGGTGACAATAATTTGTACAATATTCACCTTCAGTATAAGGTAAAACACAGCACACACACCTGTACAATTTTCCCTTCCATCTCTGACACCAGTATGGGAAGTAATAACCAATTTAATGCTGTATATTACAACAAACAAAGATTTATCCAAACCTAATCCATCATATTGGTTCATGTGTTGTCATAAATGGTTTGCACTGCAGCATTTAATTCACCTTATTTTAATACCATTTTACTCCCTCTACACTTTTTTTAGCAACTTCCATTTAATGGTTAAGCATCACTAAACTGAACACTTACAGTTCCCAAACCTTCCCCATTGGCCTACATCAATGATTAACATCCTGGAAACTTCGGCCTAGCCCCCCCAGCCAATGTCAGGAACCACCCGCTGAAAATACAGTGGAATGGATGACAGTCAAGTGGATCAGAAACCCATGGCTCCCTCTGACAGCCACACCAGTGCACCGCTCTTACCACATCACCTGCAGAAAAACTCGCAAAATAACGCAAGAGGAGAAAAACGTTCACTCGTATCATAAAACAGAACCACATGGCCTACCCCAGCCCTCACTTGAAGGAGGCATGCACTAGGTGTATATCTAATACATTCTTCCCCAGACAGTTGGTGACTGGAGTTAAAGAGGTTATTATGGCGATTCTGGTTTGTGAAAAATACTGAACTATGAACTGATCTTATCAATGGTGAAGACAGGAACAGGAATACTTGGACATTATTTTCACTGGTATTATTAGTATTTTTATCCTACTATGTCATACCTTCATGGTGGAATTGTATAAGGATATGTAGTTGGTGAAGAGGTCTAGGTATCGCGTGGTGTACGTAAGTGCGAACATCATCTGCGACTTCCCGGAGATACCTGAAAATCAATTGCAGACGTTAGTTACAATCACAATATAATGAAAAATACAATTAACAAAGCTGATATTAATACTGGTACACGTTTGTCATTCTCCATAGTCTAGTTAGAGTACGGTATACACGAGTCACAACACGGTCTGTCATAGAGGAATACCCGAGTGTTTCCTGTTAACACTACAGTACTCTATACTATTGTTATCACAGTAAATAAAAGAAGGAAAATGGTAAACAACAGTAAAAGTCATCAGATACAGTGAATAATAAACAACTTCTCTGTCGCCTTACTGCTCTACTGTCGACCCTTTAATCTCTTCCGTCGTCCTTAATGTATACGGCGAGTTTTTTATGTTGCTCATGATAGCTCACACGTCTTGAGTCTGACATGAAGCTCTTCCTATCAATTTTATATTAGTTGGTACAGTATCTGACACTCCTTGACCCCTCCTTCCCCAACCTTATAAGATCTACCGTTGATTTAGCCAAAGAATCTCGTCATCATTATTATCATCAACATTTTATGGTCACTTTCCACACTCACATGGGTTGGCCATGATTACCTGAAGGCATCTCTCCCTGTTGTATGGTCTCTTGCAGCCTTTTTTGTCAGATTCATAACAGACAAGTCCTCCTAACAAAGCTGCTACTGGTAAGTGAAAACTGAGTGTCTGAAGCTGTCAGTCATACAATGATGTGGCACCAGTTATTCAATTGCCACATTTTATAATGAACCTAAATTTGCACATATTTTTACCAAAATACAGTATCTTATTATTTCCTTGGGAGAATGAGATAAAGTGAAGTACACAGTACTAAGCACATGCATGGGGATGGTACTGCACGGACAATAATTCGAAATAACCATAAGTGTACATTGTGAGGTGGCCAGATGTTTCAACACGCACAGCTATGGTGGGAATCATGACCACCAAGTTGGTGATTCTCTCACCTGGAGGTCTAAACATCACCTCTTCTAGTTACATTTATGTTTAGTAACAAAGAATAATTGCAAACACTAAAATTTTTATTTATTCATCCACAACACTGTCCATACTGAAATACATACAGTGTAGGGTATTAGGAATTTGGGTATTCTCTGCCCATTTGGAAGAAGTCTAGAGGCATTATCCAATTTGTTATGGCAACACTGGCCTCTACCATCCCAGGCAGCCAATCAGCTTTACCAGAGCACAACTAGTGAAGAATACATACAATTAACCTCTTAATTTGTTGAGCTACCTTAAATTGCATTACCATTACTTATTGGATTTACAATAGCAGAATTTTCCAACCATACAACATACATTACTTTGGGACAACTCTGCATAAAAATGAGGGTTTATTAAATATGTTTCCAGAGAGTACTGTACTGTACTGTACTGTACTCCTAACAACATTATACAGCACAATATTATATAAGCATCAGGTTTGGATTCTATGGAGGTGGGAAGTGTACACCAATGATCAGACACACAGAACAAACATTGGGGCATTTTACCACATTTCAAACAGTAAATTTTCAGTAAACTCGCCATAAATGTTTACAGTTCCTTGTAACATGAGTAGCTTTCACTGCCCCCCCCCCAAAAAAATAATAAAAAATAAATACTGTATATAATAAATACAAAATAAATAACAATAAATAAAAAAATACAAGGTTGAAAAAATACGTAAAAATAAATAACAATGAATAAGTACAATACTGTACAATGATGATAACATCCACCGGTAGTGCATAAATCACACTGCATAAGACAAAGCAAGACCCTGACTATTAATACCACTGCGACAAAAAACTACTTCCAAACAAGAGGAAATAATGATCTACTGTAATTTATATCTTGTAAAATATCCCACAAACATAACTGTTTGTTATGTAACACTGAATACAGTATCAAAATTATGTTGTTATGATGATTGTATTTATCTATTTATCCTTGTTTTATGGGATTAGCCCACCCGGGCACTGGTCAATGGCCCACATCAGGCCCTGGGGGCGATAATATAATAATATTAATAATAAATAATAAAAAAATTTTATATAATAATAATAAAGGACAATAAATAAATACAAGAAAAGAAAAGAAAAAAGATAAATAGTTGAGAAGCAATATATGTATGTTGTGTTGTGTTGCCACAGTAAGAGAAACAATTGAGACCCTGCAGTTGTGTGTAAATGAGGCAGAAAGTCAGATCAGCAACCTGGGACTTGGTCATGTATGGCAGCAGGGTCTACCATTAGACAATACATTATACTTCCAATATCTTCACAGGCGGCAGTACCTCCCTGTTTGGTAGCTGCCTACTACCTTATTTGTTTTTTACTTGTACTGTATTTGTATGTGCAAACAAACATTTTTATCAGACAATACTAACTAATATACCGTAAGTAGAGAATACTGTTCTGATAATATTTCAACTACTGTATAATGAAACACTAACACCTGTAGCTACAGTCATCTTATTTTCCCATGTTGTATTGTAGAGAACTTACCCATTTACAGTATTGTACAGTGCCTTACTTAAATACATACAGTATGTACATAATATTAATTTTAGTTGTATATTGAAGTTGTTCTTGAAGCCCTTCAGTGTGTGGGAAGAATGTAAGAGGAAGAGTTATCTGGTAATTACTGTACCGGGTAAATGCTTAATAGGAAGTGTGTGGTACTGTACTCATCCTTGAATATAACTTGTTCCATTAATATCCCTCACAACTACTACTGTTAATTGAGAAATATAACTCCAGAGCTTAACAAATAATATCCATCACCCTCGTTATGCACAAGTTTTCAATAATCTCACATCTAAAACTGTGTCTAAGTCTCCTGAACAATTTAACACAATTCTCCCTCAAAAAAAATGAGGAAAATACAGAACTATGTCACCTGCAGCTCTTATATAAAACATATACGTAATGATCTGCTCTCAACTTGTAATTGGCCGGCCAGAAAGTGGTATTTACTGCACATAATTAATAGTTTACGGTCATTTTCCACACTTGTGTCGGTCAGACGAGGTTAACTAATGGCAGTTCTCTCTTGCCAGTTTTTTTAAAATCCAAAGTCATTTCTTACACCCTCTCTCTATGTCATTCTTGGCCTACCCCTAGCTCACCTCCCATCTACATTACTTCAGTTAAATTAAGCATCTTTAGACCCAATTGTTTTTATCCATTCCCTCAACATGACCAACTGCAAAATACAATAATATTAAAATAAATCACTTTAATTCTTCGACAGATAATTCAAACTGTTCAAGACTCACTGACGCTCTGGTTAACAAACATGGTAACAGCACATACACCACAATTGGTTACATATGTATTGTTCAAAATAAAAACTAACGAAAAAACCCTGAATATTAAAATGTTATTCCTCCCTCCAATTTACTTTATTGTTAAGGTAAGAAATAAGTTTACTTCAATAGATATTTTACCTTACGTAGCTGAACAACCTGAGTGGATCTCCTTAAATTGCATCACTACAAATTCTCATCATTTCATTGAGATTTTCTTGAGGTAAAACACGGTCCGACTAATTACCCAAATGTACCCAAATATAGCCGCAATGAAGTCAAATAATGGTCCTACATGAATAAATCGGACTGCTAATCACTTCTCGACTAGTATTTGGTGTCAGAAAGTAAAAAAAAATTGGAAAACTTACTTTAATCTGAGTTAATAGATCGCGTGCATGTACTGAGGGAGCGAGGAATTACTCAAATGTAGCCGCAATGAAGTCAAATAATGGTCGTACAAGCGTAATTCGGGCTGTGAATCACTTCTCGATTATTATTTGGTGTCATAAAGTCAAACAAAATTGGTAAACTTAATTTAATCTGAGTTGTGTTGGGTTAGGTTAGGTTAGATTAGGTTAGGTTAGGTACATGCACTTGATCTATTAACTCAGATTAAAGTAAGTTTTCCAATTTTTTGTGACTTTGTGACACCAAATACTAGTCGAGAAGTGATTAGCAGTCTGATTTATTCATGTAGGACCATTATTTGACTTCATTGTGGCTACATTTCCTCAAGTTCCTGGTGAATAAGTAACACTATCTTCTAATTTTACTCAATATGGTTTAAATTGTTCAGTTTTCGACATTAATCCCAAATAGGTGGAACATATACTCTTCTCTATAACAATGGTGAGGAAGGATCAGTGAAGCTCCACCACCAGGTTCATTAAGAGAGTGTTGTGGGTCACTTATAGATCACCACACAGTAAGGATCAGTGAAGCTCCACCACCAGGGTCATTAAGAGAGTGTTGTGGGTCACTTATAGATCACCACACAGTAAGGGTCAGTGAAGCTCCACCACCAGGTTCATTAAGAGAGTGTTGTGGGTCACTTATAGATCACCACACAGTAAGGAGTAAGGACCAGTGAAGCTCCACCACCAGGTTCATTAAGAGAGTGTTGTGGGTCACTTATAGATCACCACACAGGAAGGATCAGTGAAGCTCCATCACCAGGTTCATTAAGAGAGTGTTGTAGGTCACTTATAGATCACCACACAGGAAGGATCAGTGAAGCTCCACCACCAGGTTCATTAAGAGAGTGTTGTGGGTCACTTATAGATCACCACACAGTAAGGATCAGTGAAGCTCCACCACCAGGGTCATTAAGAGAGCTCCACCAGGGTCATTAAGAGAGGTTAGGGTCATTATAGATCACTATCAAGGATTGTGAAGTGTTGTAGCACCAATTAGGTGTATTAGAGAGTAGTGGGTCACTTATGATCACCACACAGTAATCAGTGAAGCCCACCACCAGGTTCATTAAGAGATGTTGTGTCATGGGTACCACACAGTAAGGATCATGAAGCCACCACCAGGGTATTAAGAGAGTGTTGTGGGTCACTTATAGATCACCACACGAAGGATCAGTGAAGCTCCACCACCAGGTTCATTAAGAGTGTTGGGGTCACTTATAGATCACCACACAGTAAGGATCAGCTCACCACCAGGAATAAGAAGTGTTGTGGGTCACCACCCCACCAGGTTCATTAAGAGAGTGTTGTGGGTAGATCACCACACAGTATGATCAGTGAAGCTCCACCACCAGGTTCATTAAGAGAGTGTTGTGGGTCACTTATAGATCACCACACAGTAAGGATCAGTGAAGCCCACCACCAGGTTCATTAAGAGAGTGGCAGGGTCTTATAGATCACCACACAGTAGGGTCAGTGAAGCTCCACCACCAGGTTCATTAAGAAGTGTTGTGGGTCACTTATAGATCACCACACAGTAAGGATCAGTGAAGCCCACCACCAGGGTCATTAAGAGAGTGTTGTGGGTCACTTATAGATCACCACACAGTAAGGATCAGTGAAGCTCCACCAGGTATTAAGAGAGGTTAGGGTCACTTATAGATCACCACACAGGCGGATCAGTGAGCTCACCACCAGGTTCATTAAGAGAGTGTTGTGGGTCACTTATAGATCACCACACAGTAGGATCAGTGAAGCTCCACCACCAGGTTCAAGAGAGTGTTGGTCACTTATAGATCACCACACAGTAAGGGTCAGTGAAGCTCCACCACCAGGTTCATTAAGAGAGTTGTGGGTCTTATGAGATCACCACACAGTAAGGGTCAGTGAAGCTCCACCACCAGGGTCATTAAGAGAGTGTTGTGGGTCACTTTATAGATCACCACACAGTAAGGATCAGTGAAGCTCCACCACCAGGTTCATTAAGAGAGTGTTGTGGGTCACTTATAGATCACCACACAGTAAGGATCAGTGAAGCTCCACCACCAGGTTCATTAAGAGAGTGTTGTGGGTCACTTATAGATCACCACACACAGTAAGGACCAGTGAAGCTCCACCACCAGGTTCATTAAGAGAGTGTTGTGGGTCACTTATAGATCACCACACAGTAAGGATCAGTGAAGCTCCACCACCAGGTTCATTAAGAGAGTGTTGTGGGTCACTTATAGATCACCACACAGTAAGGATCAGTGAAGCTCCACCACCAGGTTCATTAAGAGAGTGTTGTGGGTCACTTATAGATCACCACACAGTAAGGACCAGTGAAGCTCCACCACCAGGTTCATTAAGAGAGTGTTGTGGGTCACTTATAGATCACCACACAGTAAGGATCAGTGAAGCTCCACCACCAGGTTCATTAAGAGAGTGTTGTGGGTCACTTATAGATCACCACACAGTAAGGATCAGTGAAGCTCCACCACCAGGGTCATTAAGAGAGTGTTGTGGGTCACTTATAGATCACCACACAATAAGGATCAGTGAAGCTCCACCACCAGGTTCATTAAGGGAGTGTTGTGGGTCACTTATACAGTAATAAAGTGTTAATGAGAGGCACAAGTCACCACCAGCCCCAGGAGACATACAGCCGCCCCCCACACTACTGACTCACCACTACACCTCTTTCTCCAAGGCAACTTATTACCACTCGACTCAAGGACAGTCTCCATGTAGACCTTGAGGTAACGACACACTGGTAGTTGATCTGTGTCAAGTGTCAGCTGGTTGGGTCATCAACATCACCATGATAAACAAACCCGGCCGCTTGTTATCTCCTCCTAATACACAGAATATAATGCCTCTATTAAACTTACCTGCACATGATCGACTCGTCCAGATCTTCAAGAGCAATATAATAATTGCCAACAGGTGGGAAAGATCCCCTGCCAACCTAAAAATGTTCATTATATGTGAGTGTGGCGGACTGACAGGGCTATGACGTGGCTCCCGACACACTTCCTGCCACCGTCAACAGATGGCACTGTGCTCGCTGGAACACTCCGATACTACACTCACCTGTCAAAAATTACAACATTTGTCACAATAACACAATATGGTTCACTTATTTCTGAAAAATCATGCTTAAAAAGTTTTATTCTATCTTAAGCGTATTTAAATAAAGTTCTTACGCTGTGGCTAGAAGAAAGAGGAAGTTCTATAGTGTATACACTTAATCTGCAATTAATTATTTTGAACTAATGGTATGATACACTGCAAACGCTTGTTTTTTTATTTATAATATATAACGTAATTTTTTTTTATTTATAATTAGTTTTGTGGAAAATATTACAATATTACTATGAAACAAGTGTCAATTAAGATCGGAGTTTTCCTCTTCTGTTAGACGGGCAGAGGATGAACTTCTGCTCTGTCAGATGTAAAACAACTATTTACTTTCTTATATATATTAATTTTCTCTTAGAGCATGTGACCTGGCTAATTTTACTATTTTCACATTTCTTTAATAATCTATTAAAATATTTGTGGTTTCGATTATATCTATAACAGAAAGATATCCACACTGTAGTCTGTCACAAGATAAAGTAATTTAAGGTACAGTACACATCAACTACAGTGGTATATTATTCTTGTGGGACATCATAATTTTGGTACCTTTAACCTAAATATAAATAATACTTTAAAATTTATATTAAGACTACAACTTGAGTTATGTCAATCACTATCAGGAAAGTTTTTGTTTAATAAATGTTTGCTACCTACAAAACCCTTAAGGCATTTGTTATATAAGCGTAAAATAAAAAATGTGGACGAGAATTTTACAATATATATAAAATTAAACTTTAAATCTGATCTCCAATTCAGCTCAAGTATTTTCAAGGTGTTCCTGATTTTCATAAATGTCACTAAAATTCAATCAGAAGAAGTACATCACCTCTCACTCCTAAGAAATGGAAGAGAAGTATGATTTATTTAGCCGTATAGACAAAGGGAGCTGGTGAACTGTACTGTACTGCTTGGCTCCCTGACACACCCTCCTGGGCACTAGATACGTGGCTCAGGGTGCGTGGCTCAGGGTGCGTGGCTCTCCATGCAGTTAACTCGAAACATAATTTTAAATTTATCCTCATTAGCGATGAAGAGCAGAAGATTGAATATAGTTTAGAGAGAACAACACCAATTTCGTTTTAGTTACCGATGGCAACTATGCACCTAAGCAGAGCATAGTACAGTACAGCTTATAAACATCCGCCTAAATAATATTACCTTCCGTGGTTTTTTATGGGTGTCTACTGACCTACTGGTGAACGGTGGTCGAGTGGATACAGAACTCGCCTTCTGTTCCATGGGTCAATGGTTCGATCCCCAGGCATTTCGAGTACAATACCGAATAGCGGTTCTTAAACTATGGGTCGTGACTCAAATTAGGGTGGCGAGACCATTAGCGTCGTCAGGGTTGCAAACAATTTCACTCGTCATTTTGCTACTGAGTACTGTGTCAGTCAATACACTTACTGTACGGTGTTGTTTGTACACATCTCGTTCCTTGTTTTTGCTCCACTTTTGGTTCTGTTTGTGTGCATTTTTGTGTCAAGGGCTGCTGAGTTAACCTTGGATTTTGCATGTACTTAAGTAGCTGTTTATTCAGGACGGGGAAACGTGTTTACAGATTAGTATTTTTGTCTTGCATTCACTCAAATAACATGGTTTGGCTGGAAGGTTCTCTGAGCCGTATTGAGGATGCCCTGTGACCCTTAGGACTGGAGGCAAACGCTGTATCCACTCTGCAATCGTAACCTGTGGATACAATTGTATATACTGTACTGTACTGCACTGTACTGTACTGTATTCACTACTCTGCATAGTATATTTCGTTATCAGTTATTGAGTCCCAAGCTAGCCTGTGCAAAGAACATGCTAATTCAAACGCAAAGTAAATCACCGACATGCATAGAAGACGGCACAGGTGGAGCCGAGGGGCGGGTCCTGGGGGGAGAGGAGTGGACATGAAAGAACACTTTATGTAAGGCTGAATGAGCACTTCAGTATGCGTCATCCCCCTCTTGGCGGGGGGGAGGGGGGGGCACATCCCTGCAAGTTTAATTCCATGGGGCTCAAACAACAGGCTGCTAATGGTTGACACAATTACTCATGGTGTTGGATGTTTGGACACAAATTCTGGAACAGGATGGTAATATCGACACTATCTATCTGGATTTTGCCAAGGCTTTCGACAGTGTACCCCATGAAAGGCTGAGAATAAAACTGGAAGGGTACGGGATTCGGTAAGTGTCCTAGCGTGGATTAGAGACTTTCTTCATGATCGCATGCAGTGTGTAGAGATCAATGGCACAAAATCGTCATGTGTACCCGTGACAAGCAGGGTATCACAGGAGAGTGTACTGGGCCGATTGTTGTTTGTTTATTTCTTAAATGACATGCCAGAAGCTATACACTCCTCCATACAAATGTTTGCGGACGATACCGAGTTATTCAGAGAAATTAAGAACCAAACAGACTGTGAAGAACTACTTAAAGAGCTTTATTAGCTTCAAAAATGGTCGAAGGAATAGCTGCTAAGATTCAATGTCATGAAGTGTAAGAGGACGCTCTTGGGTCATATCAAGAGGAAAGAGGCGTATCACATGTCACAACGGGACGATGAGACTGCATTAATAGAAATAGACTGAGAAGGACTTAGATGTGCATGTTGACAACTAACTGAGGTTCTCGGTCCATTGTGAGAAGAAGGTGATCGTCACTCCACGAACAACTATTGACCGGTGAGCCTGACCAGCATAATATGTAAAGTACTTGAGATTATTATCAGAGAAGCCGCGATGGAACATCTACTATGAAACAACCTTGTAAAGGATTGCCAACACGTTTTTTTTTTCTTTTATCCTCTCCGCCACTGATCGACCTGTTAGCTGCTTGGGCGATCGGTCACGTCTCTGATTACTTTTCCTTTTCATTTATCTTCTTCACCAAAAGATCGGCTCGCTAGCCGCCCGGGCGATCGGTCACGTCTCTGTCACGCACTGTTGGCAAGAACTGGACATGCACCGGCTCCTGAATGTACCTGAACCCGCTCCAGTGTTGGTCAAGTCTTGTCTTGAAAGATCTCACACTCGATGCCGTCACAACACTCTCTGGTAGATTGTTCCAAGAGTTTACAACCCTCACTCCGAAAAAGTTTGCCCTCACGGTTTTCTGGACTTGCGGCTTCTTCAATCTTGAGCTGTGACCCCTTGTGGGGCGAGCGTTCGCCAGCTCTAAGTAAGGACACTCAACTGAGTAGTGCCCCCTGAGATGCTTATACACCTCAACTAGGTTCCCCCTTGCTCGTCTGTAGTATAAGCTAGGCAAGTTCAGGCGCTCCAATCTCTCAGGATAGCTGAGGTGCCGAAGTGCAGGCACCAGTCTGGTGGCCCTGCTTTGAACATTTTCAACCAACTGACAGCCCCTAGCATATCTCGGGGACCAGACGGGGTGACAGTACTCCAGATGGGGGAAGCACTTCACTCCTGAAGATCGTTACGAGGGACGGACCGTCCAGATATCTGAACGACCTTCTTATAAGACCCAATAATTCATTTGCCTGATTTACCTTCTTCTCGCAATGGCCCGAGAACTTCAGCTCATTGTCAACATACACACCTAGGTCATTCTCACACACAATCTCAACTAGTGCAGTTTCTTCATCCCGTTGGGACATATGATACGCCTCCTTACCGTTGGTACGCCCCAGGAGCATCCTCTTACACTTCGTGACATTGAATCTCAGCAGCCATTTCTTCGGTTTTGTGCCGGGGCGCTCCTGCTTAACACAATTGCTCAAGGTATTGGATATTTGGACCCATATTCTGTAACAGGGTGGTAATATCGACAATATTTACCTAGATTTTGCCAAGGCTTTCGACAGTGTACCCCACGAAAGGCTGAAAATCAAACTGGAAAGGCACGGAATTCGGGGAAATGGCCTAGCGTGGATAGAAAACTTTCTACATGACCGCAAGCAGTGTGTGGTGATTAATGGGACGAAATCATCATCCGTACCTGTCACAAGCGGGGTACCACAGGGCAGTGTATTGGGCCCGCTGTTGTTTGTTTGTTTCATGAATGACATGCCTGACGTTGTACACTCCTCCATGCAAATGTTTGCCGATGACGCCAAGTTATTTCGGGAAATCAAGAACCAAGCGGACTGTGAAGAGCTGCAGAAGGACCTCTGTTGTCTCCAGGAATGGTCGAAGAAATGGCTGCTGATCTTCAATGTCACGAAGTGTAAGAGGATGCACCTGGGGCGTACCAACGGTAAGGAGGCGTATCATATGTCCCAGCGGGATGAAGAAACTGCGCTATTTGAGACTGAATGTGAGAAGGACCTAGGTGTGTATATTGACAATGAGCTGAAGTTCTCAGGCCATTGCGAGAAGAAGGTAAATCAGGCAAATAAATTATTGGGTCTTATAAGAAGGTCGTTCAGATATCTAGACCGTCCGTCTCGCGTAACGATCTTCAAAAGTGAAGTGCTTTCCCATCTAGAGTACTGTCACCCCGTCTGGATATTATCACCTGGGATTTATGTAAGCTGATAACTGTGACAGAGATAAGATGTGATACTGTAGTAAAACCTAAAACAAGCTTTAGTATTGTTGGGGGGAGGACTTGAAGAACAAGATGTACCACACAGTAAAGGTCATAACAAAAGACTAAAACTCCATATATATTTTTATTCCTTCTTTAAATACTTTAAATATAATATATATATCATTAATAAAAACATATTACAAAGGTTATAAGAAATCAGTATCAAATTCAGTTCAACAGGTTAAAAAATATTTGTGTGATAATCAAGTTCCTCTTGCTTTAATAATCACATGCCAAGTCCACCGGTCACCTCGACACAGGAGCCCGTCATGAAGCTACTCTTGTCAGACAGTAAGAATGCCACCACTTCAGCTATTTCTGATAGAGAAGAGAAAAAGTCATATTAAACCAATTTCCAAGCAAACTCCTTCAATATATGGAGAACAGGTACAAATTTATATATGATAAAACTGTATAGTATTACAGTATATCTCTGATGCATAATTGCCTCAATAACTTACTAGGTGGCCACAAGCAGAACCTTCCTAAATAATTAAACCACTTAAAACCTCCATCTTTGATCTGTCAATAAACTCAACCCTGACTAACTCACTAAGCTAATATTTTTGGATTATTCAATATACTTTGACAAAGTAGAATCAGTGAGTCTGAAGAAAATATCTGAATTTATCCAACACTCTCCAAATAACACACAGGACTGTACTTCACAAACAAGCATCTCTTGCCTTGTCCGAGCCTTACCTTCAGGTTGTGCAAATCTGTTGAGGGGAGTAAGCTTCAACACCTTCTTCTGGACTTTCTCCGGTACAGTTTCTACCATTGGGGTTTGTGTGAATCCAGGAAGCACACAGTTCACCCTCACGCCCACCCTGAGGGAGAACATAACGGTACTATCATAACTACTACAGTACTGTACCTGTATTGCGAAAGGAAATAAAATAGTAAAACAATACAGTAATGTATATTTATCATATAAGCTGTTGCTACAAGTATCTTTAAAGTGATAAATTTGAAATATATAGCGAGTGAGTGAGCACTAAACAATGGTCTAAAGTTCTTAAATAACTAATGGGTGAAAGACAACACAATAAGGTTTTACTTTAGCCAACACCTCTGGTTACTAAAAAGAAATGTATAAAGTATGGTCGGCGGACATTAAGCCACGGTACAATTCCTCACCAGTCTATTGAGGATCGTATTATATTTATCAAAATTATATACAGTACTGTACTGATGTCTTTATTTTGGAGACAGTGAGACCATGGTTAATTTAGGTTAAGTTTATACTGGACTGGTGATGAATCGCCCTAGAACCATAAAGTATACAGTGGATCTTCCTAATAAGTGCAACTCTGAGCAGTATAAAAAACTCTCACAGCCATACAGTAGTTGTAGATGTAATACTTTGTGCTTCAATGTCACAAATGTCAAACAAGAATCTTGCCAATTCTTGACATTTATTTACTTTAATGTCAGGTTTTGCTGGATGTAAAAAACCATGACAACAAAACCTTCAATCTGTAAGTATAATGACACAGCCCGGGCAGGTGTGGAGTGTGGTGGTAAAACAGTGATATGATGATCTCAAGAAGATTAGGAACTCCATCTTACTTCACTTAATCATTAAATACCATAATATTAAATAGGTTAGATTAAGATTGGTTTGGTTAGGTTTGGCTAAGTTAGTGTTTGGGTGTTTAATTATCAGGTGAAATAAGAGAGGTAGACAATAACACAATATAATACATAAATAAACAAGACAAAATTTAATACTGTAGTTGTTATAGTGTACAGCGGTCTAATGAAGAGATGTAACCATACATCACCTGGCTAACTCTAGTGCTGAAGATTTTGTTAAGCCTTGCACTGCTGCCTTGCTTGCACCATAATTACACTGGCCTATATTTCCTGTCTTGCCCATGATGCTGGATAAGTTTACAATAGAACCTGAAGTTATGCCATGTTCTACAAGAGCTGATGTTACCACTTGTGTCACCAGAAATGTTCCCTGCAAAATATCAGTCATAATTATCACTGAATTAAATTACAAAAACATTTAGAGGAATTTAAATAATCATCTTTTGTGGCCAAATTCCATAAAATAATGCAGACTTATTTACACAATCACATAAATAATCACAATTAATGACAACTACAAATGGAGAATTGAGACACATTCCGTAAATTAGAACCACCAATGTACAGTGACCTCAACATGTTTTCGCTTGCACTGACCGGGCAACCAGCTTTAGTATCAGTCCGCCAATACATTAATCGGTTCTAGGGCTTAAATTCCTTACTATTTTAGTAAATATCAAGAAGTTTATACTATTCAATAATTTTAAAAGTTTAATATTCAATTTTTTAGTCATTTTAACAATTATTGAACATAATTGAAGGTAAAGTGACTAGTTTAATGTGCGGCATCCAGCCTCTTAACACAGCAAACAGGAGTTAGTCTCTCTCTGTTTTCACTGGAGGTGACATCTTGCTTGAGACTCTCTTCAACTAAATGCTTTTTTTCTGTTTCCAAGCAAATTATTGGTCATTTTGAAATATATTTTACATATTGACAATATATAATGCAGTGCAGTGTTGATTTAAAGAAAATAATCTTGAAATACACCAAGAGAACTAAAATTTTATGGGTGAAATGGTGCCATGGGGTGACTTCTCTTCCACCCCAATGCCTTCTCTTCTTCCTTCTCCTCCACTCCCATTCTAATTCCCAGCATCATCCAGGAGCCTTCTACATACACACCTCAAAGTAAGTGAACTTTTCTACCATTTTTGTTGAATTTAGGCAATTTTCGGTGAGCTGGAACCAATTACCCAAAAACCCATTGAAACAACGGTTTCGGTTAACGAACTTTTCGGTTAACGAACGACCTTCTGAAACGGATTGAGTTCGTTAACCGAGGGGTCACTGTATGTTAGTACCTTAACATTCACATCTAGAACATCCATGAATGATCGCTCCTCCATCTTAAGCAGGAAGTTGTCTTGTGTGATGCCAGCAATATTAGCTACAAGACTAGGAGGTGCCTGTAGCTTATCAATGGTTGCCTTGACTACTGATTCTACCGAGGCTTTGTCAGTAACGTTCATGGAGAGGGCCACGTGCTCACCAGGATCTGAAACATTTAAACACTGTACAGTACTGGTAATTGTATTTGGTAACTTTCACATAAATTCACATGACTAACACTAGTGTTATGTTAGAAATTACAATCGGAAGAACTGAAGAAATATCAGAAAGAACATGAATACCTGTACATTAAAATTAAATAAATCCTTAACAGTCAACCAAAAATGTAAAGGAATATGGGAAGCAAATGTGTTTTACCCTCAACGTATTGTTATTTTAAATTTTAGTTCATGATTTATGATATTTTTCAGGTTTCTAGATAACACTTCTGGCCCCCAAGATTCATGGATTTCAACCCCATGGAAATCCACAATTACCAAGAAATTGGGGGTTGCAAATTGGATGTTAGTATACATTTACGGTACTAAAATAAGAATAAATTAAATTTCTGAATCCAGAAGCTGTGAATACCGAAGGTCTACTGTACTGTACAAATAATTCATCAATAAAACTTGCACTAATGTGTTCCAGGTTCAATCCCTATTCCAGGTCAGATGTGAGAATGGTATTATCCAGTATGACTTTACAAGACACGGTAAGTTTTCTACGAGAATTTCAGCTTCCCCTTGTACAGAACAGAACAGAACAGTACAGTACAGTATAGTATAGTACAGTATAGTACAGTAAAGTATAGTACAGTACAGTACAGTGCAGCACAGTAGTAACACTGCACAGTGAAGATCATAACAAAGAAGAGACAGACTGTCTGAATGGTTAATAATCTGATAAGAGGTGGAAGTAATAAACATTTGTACATTAATATTTAATATAATACTGTAATAACAATCCCCCAAAATATATCATGACCAATCTAAAGACAGAAATACTGTACTGTAATGTACTGTAATGTACTGTACTGTGCAGGCATCCCCAGATATAAGGGGGTTGCATTCCTGAAGAAATGTACAGCTATTGAATGGTAGAATGGTCACTAATTATTATGCTAACTGAGGGTTATGTTCTGGGAAGGGAAAATGTCGGTAAAGAATAAACACCGGTGCACTGAAAATGATGACCATTATACTGTACAGTAGAGCGTACTACAGGTTTATGTATCTCTGTGTATTCTCCATGGCCATGTCGACCTGTGACAGCTAAAGTTCACATTGTTTAAAGAAAAAAAAATATGAAAATGTAATGGTTATTTGTTACAGCAAATGTTTATGCTCATAGAAATAAATAAAAAAGCTATTAAAAATTTGACTTTCGTTTAAATGTTTTTTCGGTTTTTGGGCATAAGTACTGTACTGTACTGTACATCAGGAATGACTGTACAGTATTGTATTACAACACTAGAAGTTCCCATGACAACCTGTTTTGTTTGACTGACACAAAGCTACTCATCTCACACCTACGACAAGCACAAAAGCCATCACTTAAAACAAATATTACTGTATTACAAAACAACAATAAAAGAATAAATTGTACAAAATAAGCCTGAACTGTGATGATACAAGGATAATGTGTGAGCATAATACAGCAGTAATAATAATAATAATAATAATAATATGTACCTATTTAGCAAAATCATCATAAAAGTTTACAACTGGCTTGCCATGAACACCATACAGTAGACTCAGCAGGGACGGTATGCAGTTCAGCATATGTACAGTATTGACAATGCAGGTACAGTATATGGTGCACAGTACATAGAGTGTCGAGGTACAGCATACAGCTTCCAATGAACCAAAACAATGCACGTATGCAACAATAGATAATAGCAAGGCAATTCACCCAAGGAAAAATGACAAAACCATCAGCTACCTATGTCCAGTAGGGCCCTGAACAAGCATAGGTGACCAGGGACTGATTCCTGCAACATGAGTGAGTAATGTTACATAATGACTGGGAGGAGATGAGGTGTAGTGTGGTATGAGACTATAGTGTATACACCATAAACACTACCAGATTAACCCTTGTATAGTATTAACCCTTGTACAGTATTAACCCTTGTATAGTATTAACCCTTGTAATGTATTAACCCTTGTACAGTATTAACCCATGTAATGTATTGACCCATGTAATGTATTAACCCTTGTACAGTATTAACCCTTGTACAGTATTAACCCTTGTATAGTATTAACCCATGTAATATATTAACCCTTGTACAGTATTAACCCTTGTACAGTATTAACCCATGTAATGTATTAACCCATGTAATGTATTAACCCTTGTACAGTATTAACCCATGTAATGTATTAACCCTTGTACAGTATTAACCCATGTAATATATTAACCCATGTAATGTATTAACCCTTGTACAGTATTAACCCATGTAATGTATTAACCCTTGTACAGTATTAACCCATGTAATATATTAACCCATGTACCCCACAATAATAAAGTAACCCAATACTGCCTGGTACAGTACTAAATTTTTGAATAATAAACAGTAGGTACACTCGCTTCCTAAAGTATATTTGAAATTTTGTGTGACAATATACATGACACAATGGACGAAGGGTCTTGACAACCCTACCGAGGCAACAGGGGTCGAGGTGTTCATATTGAACTTCATCAGACCACCTCCAAAAAGATACTTCATGGAGCGAGTGTACATTTAATAAAAAAATTCCTTCCCTCTCCTATAGACTAACTACATCTTGTGCAACATTTCAAGAATATGATGAACATAACACCAATACAGTACAGTACATCACTTACTGACAAGCATACTGACGGTCTCTTCAACAGACTTAGAATTAATATCAGTGGCCACAACTCGCGCTCCATCTCTGGCCAATATGCGACACACGGCTCGACCTATTCCACCTCCTCCACCTGAAATAATCAACCATTACTTTAACTTAAACAATCGTTACTCAGTCAATACCATTTCTGTATTCTATCAGGTTACTCCCCCGCCTCCACAATGAAAACTTGTCGAGAGATCTATAAAAAAGAAGAATTAATTTATAAGTAAAACAGTTGTACATTAATCAAACCTCACCATACCTTATGATCTTATTTTATGGCATCGTGTGCGACCATCAATAAATTAATTCAGTTTCCCGATTTAAGTTTTGACACAACTGCTGAACTTAATATAGATTTAATTATGGTCAATATCCCATCAAACAAAAAAAATTATAAGTGTTCAACCAAATCTTTTGACTATTACACTAACAGGACATTAATTACTGCAGTATCAGCTACCAGCCAGTGATAAGAAAACCTTTGGAGAGTATGAGTGAGTCACCACAACACAGTAGCACAAGTCACCCAAATTGTGTAAATATATTTTTGATTCCGAGAGTTTTTAAAGTTAAATAAGAAAAAAAAAATTAAGGACATGATACATTTTTGGTGGTTGTTGTTGCACAGAATGAACCACCGAACATCACCAGTAATCATCTATAATGTTCTCAACTATACAGCCATTCACTGCTGTACTGAATGAAGGTAATTATGATACACTGTATGTATGCTTTAAGGCCTCACTTGTTGAAGCTCAGTAAATAAAAAAAAAAAAAATATTGAAAATGATTCCAATACAGTATAATAGGATCTCATGACTTTACCTGATGAAACGTAACCTAACCTGATGACTAACTTAACCTAACCTGATGACTAACTTAACCTAACCTGATGACTAACTTAACCTAACCTGATGACTAACTTAACCTAACCTGATGACTAACTTAACCTAACCTGATGACTAACTTAACCTAACCTGATGACTAACTTAACCTAACCTGATGACTAACTTAACCTAACCTGATGACTAACTTAATTTTAACCTAACGACTAATTTAACTTAACCTAATAACTAACTTAACCTAACCTGATTACTAACTTAATTTTAACCTAACGACTAATTTAACTTAACCTAATAACTAACTTAACCTAACCTGATTACTAACTTAACCTAACGACTAATTTAACTTAACCTAATAACTAACTTAACCTAACCTGATTACTAACTTAACCTAATGACTAATTTAACTTAACCTAACCTGATTACTAACTTAACCTATCCAAATTTAACTTAACTTAACCTAACCTAATCTAATCTCACCTAACTCTCCCATTCAGCATTAGGATGACCTTATGTGGTTCGTAATCTTCATCAGATGTGTACAATATATTGATACAGGTAACATACAGGTACAGTATACGTTTTGTTGTTTAAATTAACCTGAAAACTCTTGCCATTTCACATTTTTCCTCATCAACCGCATCATTAGTCTAGGAACACCACTAAACCACATCTTACTGACAGTTACACATGAGAATAGGTGTTTCTTCATTAAATCCTCATGCGAGTGTACATAATTAAAATACAACATACAGTAGTTCAGCATGTACCAAGGAATTTGCAGGTGACAAATTACATACATTACAATGAAAACTATTACCTCCAGAAAACTATTACCTATAATATATTATTTCTATTATTCTTTTTTCAGTTGTTAAATTCTGCTGTACAGTATTGTCAACCTCAAGGGACTGGACTAGTGATACAGTGTCAATAAAACAAATAATTTATAGGGAATGTTAGGTAATAAACTGTATTGTTCTTATTTGTGGCCGGTGTGACAACCAAACTGTGATGGTACAGCCTTGATTTATATCCTCTACTGGCTATATTGATGATCAGTGTTAGTTAGTATGTGTACAATACCCAAGAACTATACAATACAGTACATTACACCACAATACTGTACCTGTAACCAGTGCGATTCTCCCAGCAAACATTGTACTGTATAACGTTATCAGTCCAGCAGATTGACTGACAATACAACACTGGAGTATACTGTACAATCATGGTATATTAACTATGTTATACAGTACAGTACATTAATAAGATTATTTTAAATGATTGCCACACACACAGACAGTGACGCCGCCTGATGGCAGCACAACCAACCTTCCAAAGAAAACGTCTATATAAGGATAAACTCTAACTGTTTACTGAGCTTCATTTTAATGTTTAGCAGTTTATTCTTTGGTACAGTATTAAAAGTATAATACCCTTGGAGCATAAATGACAATTAGTTTTATTATAAATACTAATGTAAAAAATGGGATCTCAACCAAAAGTTGAAGCTATAAATTCAGAAAAATGTCCCGGCATTTCTTTTTTAAGTGTTGTAAACTCTTGGAACAACCTGCCAGTGTTGTGACGGTACGGCCCAGTGTGGCCTCATACAGAGCCCCAGACTTGGCCAACACTGGTGCAGGACCCAGTACATGTCCAGTCCTTGCCAACACAGTGTAACAGAGACGTGCCTGGCCGTTCACCGACTAACAACCGATGAGGCGGTGAACATGAAAAATATTTATTTGCATTTTCAGTAAAGACATATAAACGTGACTATGATTGTTATTTTAATTGATATTTTTATTCGATTCTTATTTCAGCGCAACACAATGTATAGTTATTCACTTTGACGTCCAATTTTAAACCTGTAAATTATTCCCGTAAGGTAAAGGGGCGGATCCAGGACTATCAAAGATAAGGGGGTCCAAGAAGTTGTGGGTGGGGGAACAGCGAGCCCACCCATCTTTTTTGGGTGGGTGGGTGGGGGGGGCTGTAATCCCTCCAGATTTTTTGTTTTAAATCTGTCCAATATCATGGCCATTTTGAAGCCAAGTGCACTTGATATTAGGAGATATCTGATGTCAATAGTATTTACTTTTTACTACACAAAAACGCCCGAGTACTATCCATCAGTAAAGAAAAAGTATGAGGATTTTCTGAGGAAAAGGGGATCCGCCCCTGTTGCAAGTCCTTGAGTGTTAATGGTATTGTAGTGGATTCATCCCCTACAAACGCTTGTCACTGAGTAGCCGACCCCTCGAATTCCCCAGTGTATGCCTCGTGGTCTAGGTCAACCAGCGCCACCTTACATGACGGAGGTCAACTATTAAGCCACGCCTACCTCCGCTATATAAGACCTCACCTCGTGGTGACCTAACTCTCTCTTTCTACCTACAGCCACCAGCAAGCAACACCCTCTCTGCTCCTGCCTGGCGGCCCTCGCTCCCGCCAGCGAGTCAGCAACCATGGCGACCCACAAGCTGGTCCTCCTCTGAGCATCCTCACCAACTAGCTCTCTCTACTCAACGCTTGTAACCACGCTGCCACTTCCCAGCACCAAGCTGCATTGTACATCCAATACAATATGTGTACAGAGAGCACATTGTGAGTTTCCTTTCTCCATCCCATCATGAGTGTGAACCAAACATCTCGTACCCCACAAATGATGACCCCCGGAGACTCGCACTCACACAGGATGGAGGAGAAATATCTCATAACCCCACAGTATATTATTTCGTTTGAAAATATACTAAAGTTTTAACTACACGATTTGTTCTTGCGATATTCTTATGAAACCCTGTTTTAGCATTTATCAATAGTTCCTATTTCACAAAATTGCGTTCCTCTTCGAAAAAATAGAAGTGAAATTAATATTCTAAGAGTACCAAGATATAATGAAAGCAGGACGAAAATTGGCATTACTATTCTTCAGGAGTTACATATCCTCATTGTATATTCCTTGGAATGGGGGCTACGGTCTCCCCAGTTCTCACCGTATTTTAAATTAATTATTTTACTTAATTACTCCGGATTCAGATTCTATGAATTAATTTTTCTTAACCATCTGTGTACAGGGTCACCTCTCGGGTGAATCAAATAGTCAGTGTAAAATATTATATGGCGTCTCACGAGTGAAGGTTAGGTTCCCGAAACCAAGCGAACAAGACTGACCCTCGACACCCGTTATTAACACTGTGGGGTATGGGTTCACTCAGGATGGGATGGAGAAAGGAAACTCACAATGTGCTCCCTGTATACGTGTTGTATTGGATGTACAATGCAGCTTGGTGCTGGGAAGGCAGCATGGTTACAAGCGTGATGTAGAGAGAGCTGGTTGGTGAGGATGCTCAGAGGAGGACAGCTTGTGGGTCGCCATGCTCGCCGGCGGGAGCGAGGGCCGCCAGGCAGGCGGAGGAGGTGGTGTAGCTTGCTGCGGCTGCAGCTAGAAGAAGAGGGAGGGCACCGCGAGGTCAGGTCTTAAATAGCGGGGGGTAGGCGTGGCTTAGTAGTTGACCTCCGTGATGTATGGCGGCGCTGGTTGACCTAGACCACGAGGCATACACTGGAGAAGTCGCGGGGTCGGCTTCTCAGCGACAAACAGCGTTTGTAGGGGAGGAATCCACTACAACACAACCATTATCTCGGTTCAGTAGACACCCTGGATCAGTGAGTCATGACGCAGACAGACAGAGGACCACAGCGGTTATAATTCATTTGAGTTTTATGCGCTACTTTATATTGTTCTTAATGCACATCTTTACTGAAACAAAATATTTGTTTCTGAGAAGAAAATATATTAATGGATTGATTTTGTGGGAGAAGAGCTATCTGTATCTTGAAGTATATATACACACACATATATATATATATATATATATATATATATATATATATATATATATATATATATATATATATATATATATATATATATATATATTTATGTAAATCCACAATGAAAACGTGGATAAGATAAATCTTGATAAAATCACACGGGAAAATGGAAACAACGGAGCACCTTAGCTTTCGTCTTTATTCAAGACATAGATGCTCCATAGAGGAGAGATTATAGTGAATAAACCAGATAATTAAAACTTTGATAATGTTTAAAATACTATAACACAATTCAGTACATAGCGTTTGGTTTGTCTCTACAGTATAATGTTGTGTTGTACAATACAGTGACAGGAAGAGGCGAGTGTGGGAGCCATGCGAGGAGATTACTTTGTATTTCACGGTTTATTAACAGTTTGAGGAACTTAACTTTTGAAGTGGCGAGAGAGAGAGAGAGTCCCCGTCTCTCACACTGTGAACCTCTACCAACCATCGGCTGTTCTGACTGACATGAGGGAGGGCGGGAGGGAGGGAGGGAGGGAGGGATGGAGGGAAAGAGAAAGGGAGGGGAGGTACCTGAGTCTTTCTATTTCCTTTACTGTAATAGGATTCCAGGATCAATTCATCATTTATATCCTTCAGACCATCCTGAGGTCTGAGGAAGGAGAGGGGAGGGGAGGGGTGGGGAGGTAGTGGAAAGGGGAGGGGAGAAAATAGGGTAGGGGGATGAAAGGGAGGCAATAGGGGAGGGTGATAGAAGGATAGGGGAGGGGGAAGACTGACAGCTGATTAATTGTTATTTTCTACTGACGTTCTACATTTGACGTCAGAATCAGTATGTAAAATTTACCTGCAAACATCCCTCTCTTTATTATACATTCTCAATTAAGTTTTATTACACAAGAGGTAAAACATTATCTCTCCCATGAAATACAAAGCTTCTAAACTTAGCGGTGAGTGTACTACAGGTAGATATTTGCTTAATTAGATGCGTGCAGGTAAGGTCATTAAGTAAGACAGGTGAGCTAATTCTGTTTCCCCCTGAGAATGTTTTTTATTTATGTTTTTAGTTTGGGTCTCTCTCTCTCTCTCTCTCTCTCTCTCTCTCTCTCTCTGTCTGTGTGCGTGTGGGTATATATTATGTAGTGTGTAAGTATATGTATTAATGTATAAGTATATATGTGTGTTTATACGTAGTTGTGTTCGTATATATATATCTACCTAAGTGTTTTATCGACAGTAATAAATAAAGTCAACAATTCGTCTTCAATATGTCGAAAAGGTTGGCAGGTGGTTCAAGTCTTCCCCGCAGGTGGCTCATGTGTCACCAAGAACCGTATCGGCTTTTGTTCATCCACCTGAGAGAGAGAGACAGGGGTGACACTACCTCCTCTACCTGTACCTTCTTCACACTTACCAGCAGATCTGATGTTTATTATTATTATTATTATTATTATTATTATTATTATTATTATTATTATTATTATTATTATTATTATTATTATTATTATTATTATTATTATTATTATTGTTATTATTATCCTCAATGGCGTGATAATTCTAGAAGACTACGGAGGTCTGGTACTAAATGATGCGACGGGAACTGTTAGACTACATAGCATTACGTAGCCTTAATAGACAGCTGTTTGAACATTCATTAGACGAAAATAAAAAGATAAAATTGCTTTTTCCGTATCATTATGTTTTTCATTAACCTTTTAAAAGTTCCAAATTAACAAAAGCTAAGTGGAAGCTGTTGATGGAGAGAGAGAGAGAGTAGGTGGAAAGGTTAGGTTTGTGGTAGGGTGAATAATCTCTAGGTGAACTGGGTGGTAGAACTTTCAGGTGATTGTCTGGTCTGTGTATTTTGACCGATATACAGTACACATCCATACCTGTGAATAGACCAAGCAGACATACACAAAACACTAATACCTTCACTACCAAGCACTTGACACAGCACGACATATACAGTACAGTGTGTCCCAACGCCAATACACTCGACAAATCTTATTATTTTCCATTATATTTCGTCTATTATATTAACAGACTCATAGATTCGTTTATAAATTGTTTCATTGAGAGTCTATGAAAGCGTATGTATTTTATAAATATAAATGGCATAGATATACAAAACCTAGAACGCACACTGGTTGAATATTCCATTTATTTCAGCAACTCTGCAATAACTTTATATGTGGGTGATTTAATTAGTGTTATATAGAGCTTTAAACACTAATTACACTCTTAGTACTAATTATATCTGGCTAATTATGACATGACGTGACTCGTAATGATAAACAAACAAGTGAACGACGATGAATTTCCCTAGCAGGTGTTTACTACTACAGAGCTGCACGTACACCAAGCAGTGGTCCTCCCCGCCCTGCTGTGTGGCGGCGAGACATGGGTCACATAAAACCTGAAAAAGTGCCAAATCGACCCCCTCA